CCACAGAGCTTCTCACCTCCTGGAGCTCCTGTTTGAGTTTAAAAATCAAACCTTCCTGAACTTGAAAGTCCTCAAGAAGTTTCTTATTTTGCTGCTTGTAACTATCGAGCTCTTTGGTGGTGTCCACACTGCTTCTCAACTTCTGGAGCTCCTCTTCAAGTTTAAAAATCAAACCTTCCTGAACTTGGAAGTCCTCAAGAAGTTTCTCATTTTGCTGCTTGTAACTATCGAGCTCTTTGGTGGAGTCCACAGAGCTTCTCACTTCCTGGAGCTCCTCTTCAAGTTTAAAAATCAAACCTTCCTGAACTTGGAAGTCCTCAAGAAGTTTCTCATTTTGCTGCTTGTAACTATCGAGCTCTTTGGTGGTGTCCACACTGCTTCTCACCTTCTGGAGCTCCTCTTCAAGTTTAAAAATCAAACCTTCCTGAACTTGGAAGTCCTCAAGAAGTTTCTCATTTTGCTGCTTGTAACTATCGAGCTCTTTGGTGGAGTCCACAGAGCTTCTCACTTCCTGGAGCTTCTCTTCAAGTTGAAAAACCAAACCTTCCTGAGCTTGGAGTTCCTCCTGCAGTTTCTCATTCTTCTCCCGGTAACTGGCGAGTTCTTCTTTGGTGGCGTCCACACTGCTTCTCACCTCCTGAAGCTCCTTTTTCAGTGTACAAATCAAGTCTTCCCTTGCTTGAAGGTCCTCCTGCAGTTTCTCTTTACGCTCCTGGTAGATGGTGAGCTCTTCTTTGGTGGCATCCACACTGCTTCTCACTTCCTGGAGCTCCTTTTCAAGATTAAAAATCGAGGCATCTCTGGCTCGGAGGTCCTCCTGCAGTTTCTCGTTATGCTCCTGGTAGATGGTGAGCTCTTCTTTGGTGGAGTCCACACTGCTTCTCACCTCCTGGAGCTCCTTTTCAAGATTAAAAATCGAGCCATCTCTGGCTCGGAGGTCCTCCTGCAGTTTCTCGTTATGCTCCTGGTAACTGGTCAGATCTTTTTTGGTGGAAGTAGCATCGCGTTTGACCTTCTCGAGCTCCTGGATAACTTCTGTCATGGCAGCTCCATCTTCTGCAGCTTTTACCTTAAAGATAATTAAACAACATATCAAATATAAAGGTTGTTATAATAAAATTTTAAATATACAGTTTATATAATTCAGTGAATACATTATCTAAAAATAAAGTTTTGACTTACTTGGAAAAGTTCTCCTTTAAGGTGAGCAATGGTCATTTCTCGCTCCTACAGAGGAAGCATTCATCGTTAGATATTTTATCTGTAGATTTTAAGATAACTAGATTTTTCTACAATCAAAACAAAGTTATTGTGATTTTTAGAATATTGTCATAACATAAAACAGATGAAGTGTTTTTTAATTAGAAAATCTAAAAACACAAAACACTGTATGCTTATATGAACTAAAAAAAAATCTGAAAACCTAAAACTTCGCTCTCAAATTATTTTCATTACTGTGAGTATTTAATGCCGTGTGCACGTCTATTAATAATTAGTTACACACTAATGGCTACAGCTCACTTAAAAATACTGTGTGTATTTATTAGATTTATTATACAACACAATGTTTAAATATTTGCATCTTGTTAGTGAATTTCTGAGCTTCCAACCTGCTTTTAAGTGGATTTTTATTACGTTAGGGCAAAGCTAGGTGAGAACTTTTATCCGTTTTATACAATGGTAACTAATCAACTGCAGGCTAAATCCTGATCTCATCACCTGATTCTCAACACAAGAATGTAAACAACTAGGCTAAATATTAACTTATTTGAAAATCTACTTAAATAAACTATAATTTAAAAAAATTATGGCATTTAAAATTTTTGCTAAAAATAACCCCAAAAAAACGATACAGCAGTTTGTTTGTGTTCAGCCTGAATGTCTTTTGGTTTTCTGAATTTCAAGTTGTTTTACTGGCTCCTCACCTGCAGCAGCTCCTGCAGTTTCTCCAGACTTTCTTTGCAGCTGCTCAACTCCTCTTTGGTGGAAGCTGCCTCATTCAGAGCCTCCAGGAGTTTTCCTTCGAGCTCAGACGTCTTTGTTTCTTCCTCAGCGTTGGATGACACCTGCAACAAAAAAAAAAAGCGAAACATTAATTTTATGTCGCTAAGCATGCTTCTTATTAAGAAAATGCAAAACACAAAGAAGCAAATTTGCATTCTAACCATCTGAAGTTGGCCCTGAAGTTTCTCCACAGTGACAGTTTTGTCCTGGAAAGAAAAGCTCAGCGTTATTACCAAACAGAACGTATAATAATAATTATCGTGCACGGGGAGTTCATTTAACATACTTGAAGCTCCTGCTGGAGTCTGTTGCAGCTCTCCTTGTAGTGTTCCAGCTGCTGATAGGTGGTGCTGGCTTCATCTTTGACCTCCTGCAACTCCCCAAGAAGCTCCGTCACAGCTGGCTGCTCAGCAGAACAGATCTGATGAAGAGATGAATGTTACCAGAGCGCAGAGAGTCAAATAGACAGACATTATCACAGAGAACAGAAGAGGGATTTTATTGTTGGAACATTAATATGAGTGCTGGAGAGACAGCCATTAGAAAATATTTTTAAAAATTGATCATAAATATAAAACTCAAGGTTCAAAGCCTAAAAAAAAATTGTGATTATTAATATATCACAAAAGTCACAAGCTAGATTTCCATTGTATATTTGTTTATCTTAAAATGTGCTTGGTGCAATCAGGACATTTTCAATTGTTTCATTCAAATGTATTCACAAACAGAGGGAGTTGTTTCAGTCATTTTCTTTGAGAGCTGCTTCAGTTTTCCCTAACTTTTTAATTTGAAACTAATTTATTGCTCTTTTAAAGGCTCTAAGCGGTTATGGCAATGATTAAAACTTTTTAAGATACTCATCGTAAAGTATGAAATTAGACATTAAAAGATTATCCTATCCTTAACACAACAATTTCCTGTGGGATCAATAAAGTTACATCTTTTATCTTAGATTATCCTGAATTATATCAAAATGTGCATTTTAAAATAATTTATTTTGGTAGTTTTACAGAGTCATTTCTAAGCAGTTCGGGTTCATACTCCACATAAATGAAGTGCTCGGCAGACTCATGTGACTGACCTACATTAGGCTGGCTGCAGTCTGTGTTGGTAAATAAAATATGATCGAATCGGACAAGAGTAGACTTTTTGAAAAGACATTATAAGAGTAAATGTGCAGTTAAATGCAAAAATAGAGAAAGAATAAATAAGAAAATGCTCAAGAAAGACAGTAGAGTGTCATAAAGACTTTTGTGAAATATTTTCTAGAGCAGTAATTTTACTGTTTCAACTAAAATTAACCTTTTTATTCCTGCATACTTTACTCAACAACTCTGAACATTACTATGAACCAGTACATCAAAACGGAGAGGATTCTGGAAATGGATAACTTTGTTTCCGATCTTATTTAAAAAATACACCTTTATTTCACTAAAAAATATCTAATATTCATTTTGAAGAGTGCAAATGCTACATTAACAGTGCACTATAAACACTGACAGGACTGGCAGATGCTGTAGAACAACGTGATGTATAAGGAGGGATGTAAATATTTTTGGTTCAGATCTCACCTCCACAGATGAGGATGCTCTCTGGGATGGCCCGGCCTTCATCTGACTGAGGAGATCCGTGAGCACGGCCAGCCTCCTCTCGTACTCGAGCACCTCCTCCTCTGAGCTGGAGAGCAGCTGCTTCTGGAGCTCCTGGTCTCTCTGGATCCCACTGAGTCCAACCTCCAGGTCCCGAAGCTTTTGTGTCACATGGACCACCTTCTCTGTTGGGGACTGTTTTGCCTGATCCAGCTTGCTGAAAACCATTTGTGGGGTATCAAAGTCAGCGAACTCAAAGACGCGAGGAGCAGGAGGTCTCTGCAGCTCCTGCTGTGGTTTTGAGTCCTCAGATTGCTGCTGGAAGGCCTCCAGCGTAGACTGGCTGACCAGTGCAGCAGCTACTCTTTCCCTCAGATTTTCTTCTAAATTATGAACCTTTTTTTGAAGATCCTCTGCATAGCTTTGACTTTGCTCCACAAGAATCCGACAGTGGTCCATCTCCAAGTCTTTCTCACCTACCAAATCTTCAAGCTCCTGAATTCGCAGACCTAGCTCCTCCACTCTAGAGGAGGCGCTCTGCTCCAAAGCTTGTACTTCCGCCTGCAAAACCACAAGCGCGGCAGTTTTCTCTCTGAGAGCTTCACCAAGCTCCCCCTCTGAGCTGTCCAGCTTTTCTGCTTCAGCTAGAGCTTCTGCACTTTGGTTTAAGTGCAGGTGCGTGTCCAACAGCTTGCTGTGATCTGTCCTCAGCGTCTCCAGATCTTTGGTGGCTCGGTCCATCTTTTGCTTCATTTCGTTGTACTCCTCTTTGGTTGGCTCCCACGTAGCGCTCTCTAACTCGCCTTTACTATCCTCCTCTTCCTCAGCAGCCTGTTTATGCTCGATATTGGCAAGTTCCTGCTGGAGTTTCTCGATGACATCATTCAGCTGCTCGAGCTCTTCTTCTTTATTTCTCTTTAAGCGCTCCTGTTCGCTGCGCAGACACTCTACCTGGGACTCCAACTCTTTAATCATCTCCTCCCTGTCATCAAATTCCTAAAAAAATAAATGAAAAAAATTATTAAAGATAAAAAAAAAGGGGCGGGGGGCGGGGGAGACTTAAAACAAAACCATGGATAACCCACACAACAGTTAAACGTCTGAGTCTTTGTTGTGCTGAGAAAGCTATTTGGGTAGCATTCTTTCCATTTTTACTTAAAATATAAGTTCACACAAAAAATAACTCAGAGGTTTAAAGAGCCACTTCACAAGAGCAAATGATCACCGCAAGACAAAAAGACGATGAATCTACCTACCAGAGATGAAAAAACAACAAGAACAAACAAAAACGGAGCCAAATGGAGCCAACTAACACAAAATGGGACCCAGAGGACACACACAGATCTCCACAGAGCTATGCGTGTACAACATAGACTTTAGCTCTATGTTGTACACGCATGTCTGGTTACCTTGTTATCAGAGGCTGATTCCATGTGTTGAAGCTTAGTGATCTGTTCATTAAGAAGAGCTATTTCCCTGTCCTTCTCCGCCATCACCTTCAAAAGTCAAAGATTATAACTTAATGGCTATTAAAAATATAATTCATTCAGTGTCAGCCTCATGGAGCACAACTGGATATTTATAAACTGGGAACAGGTTAGGTGTCTTTGGAGCAGAAGGGAGCCAAAATAAAAGACGGATAAAAAGCTGCAAACTCAATTTGTAAGCAAGAATTTGTAAAGTACATGAAAACGACACAGTTAGAAATAGACTCACGAAAGAAGTTATTCTATTTAAAATTATCTAGTGCCAGTTTTGTTGGTAAGATTACTCTTTTGTGTTGTAATACAAAGAAATTAAGATGAAACATATTATTTGACAGCAATAAAATCTGTCAAATCAAAACAGTTTCAAAGCTATCAGTGAAAATTATTTAATCTGAACACTCTCCACACTGAAAGACAAAACTTTAAATAATATGAATAAATAAATCGCAAAAATAAAATCACATTTTATACATTGTGCTTCACAGAGAAAACACTGCAGGCGTGTTCACCTGCAGCATGCTGTCCCTGGTTTCCAGGTATTGCTGCTGGCTGCTTATCTCCTTCCTCTGGATCTCCAGCTGCATGTGAAGCTGCTGCACCTCCTCGCTCTTGTTCTCCAACTCCTCTCTGAACTGCTCCAGCTGCTCCTCCAGATTACAGATCTGACACATCAGATAAACAGAAGCTGAACCTTCCAAAGCACATCTTAAGATTTTGCACATAATAAGGATCAGTCAGAGCCAAACATGGAAAATGAAGCTGCTGTGCAACAAAAACACCTACTCAGACATATCAGAAGGGTTTGTGCCATCCACATTTTTAGTATTCAGTTTCTATACATGTTAGTTTGTCAACTGTATTATTCTACACAGTAATGAAAGGTTTGCTTCAAAAGCTCCAGCCTTTCCTGGTGAGTGCACGTTTTATTTCCAGGATTTAAAATAGTGCACAGACATGATCTATATTTTTGACAACTTTCAAGAAATCTGCATCTGTATAGTCAAAATCAAACACTTTGAAGAGCATCAACTGTAACACGACACAGCTTATTAAAAAATAAAGACATTCCACTGCAAGTCATTTAACAAATGGGGTCTGTTTAAAAAATGGAGATGTGATGCTGCACACTGTAAACTGATTTAAGAATATCTCCTTTGTGGCACAAAAGTGAGCAGTCCATTACCTCTTTCTCTTTCCTCTCCAGAGCCTCTCTCTCTGTTTGTAACTGAGCCTCCAGAGTGGAGTGCTTCGCCTCAGTGATGGATTCATGCTGTTTTTTTTCTTCGACCTGCGACAAACACATGAAAGAAACGATGTGGCTCGGCAGCTTTTAAAAGCATGTGGAGAAAAGCATAAAATCTCTTTCAGTCATACTGATCAAGCGCTCGGTGTATAAAGCTGCGCAGTGCAACTCCAATCAATCTTCTGCTGCTGAATATTTATAGTGTTTCCAACCATTCCTTTAGTTCCATCATCAATAAACACCGGGGGAAACCTTAACATTAGCTAGCGACAACTCAGCGACAGAAGACTGCCGGGGCGGCTGAAGATGACCCACCCACACATTGTTCTCCCTCCCAGCCCTCCCCCTTTAGCTGTCACCTCAACTACATGCTTGTACACACACTGCCACACTCCCTTTTCTCTCCTGCTGTCTCTGCTTCAGTCTTCAGCGCAACCTTCACCTCCCTCCTTCCCCCTCCTCACCTTCTCCAGAGACTCAGCGCTGGCCAGCAGGGCCTGCTCCAGCTCGCGGATGCGGCTCTCCAGCTTTTCAATCTCCTCGTCGCGCTCTCCCAGCTCACGACGCAGCTGCTCGGAGCCGAGCAACAGCTCACTGCACCAATCTGCCTTCTCCTTCAGCTGGGTGGTCAGCTGCTCCACCTGGTAACCAAGAGAGGGAGAAACAAATGACCAAAGAGGGGAGGGGGGGATGGTTTAATGAGATCCGCTTGCAGAACAAAGTCGCTACAGTGTAGCTGGCACATGTGCAGTTAGCGGTGCAGTCAGCTGATCCACCTGAGAAAGAGGAAGGGGAGGTCGGGTGTGAAAAGAGGTGCAAAGATTTCACTCAGGGTGACACAAATCAGGACAGGAACCTTAAACAACTGAGAGCTAACAGATCCACCTGTGAGAGCGAAAAGATCAATAAGAGCAGGGAGAAAGGCTGACAGGTGGGGAGGTGAACCAACAAGACGGGATTGTATTCTCATTAAGAAAATCAAGTGCAGATGGTTCTCCTGCTTGGTTAAATCTAAGAGGAAAACTCAAACCAAAGCTCCGTCATAAAGCTAACTTTTAAGATGCATTTTTTAAAGGAGTGTAACCATTAAAAAGACAAGACTGTAACAAAATCAAAGCCAACGTGATGACGCAAACAATTGTCTTTTCACAGCATTTATGTCATTTAACATTAACGCACAACATGGACTCATCATCAAACCACTTTAGAACACAATTTTAATGTGGCTTAAGCTTTAAACTTGATTAAATTGTGAATATTTTTATCTAATTTCTCACTTAATATTCAGAAAAATCTCGGCAGCTTGTTTATTTATGCACAGCCACAATTGTTCAAAGCTGTGAAGTCCACAGATGGCATCTGAGTGACAAATGTACTTTTTATCTTTATCTTTTAGCCCACACTGAGGAAAAAAAATGGTACACTGCATAGCAAACAAAAACACACAATTTATTTCACGCCATATCATTAAACACTTTTTAAAACTCGGACGTCCTCCCCAGCTGTTTGCCTTTTGGATATTGTGCAGGGACGTCAGATTTGGAAACAAAAGGATGGAGAGGAGGGATATAAACAAAACAAAAGATGGAAAAAAGATGGGAATACGAGAGCTGGACGGCATTAATGCACTAAAGGTTTGCAGAGGGAGAGCACGCAGAGCTAGAAGCAGTACCTTAAAGGCTACTCGATCCACCTGCAACAGCCACAGGAGAAAGAAGGCAGAGGCATAACGGATCACAGGGTGGAGTTCAAATGCAAAAGGAAAGCAGAGAAAAAAACACTTAGTAATGATGAAAACGTTACGAGAGTCTATGGAGATTAATCATGGTGGAGAGGCTTCAGGATGTTGAAAGCAGAAGAGCAAACTATAAGCTTGAAGCACGAGAGCCCAAAATCCAAAATGTATTTAACTTGAAAGAAAATGTAGGTTATTTTTTATTTAGTTATTTTTCCAGATCATTCAGAAGCCAGAACACAAGTAATTAAAAATGGATGACAAAACAAATCTTGTGAAATGATTTCCAATCAACCAATCAAATGCAATTAGGGAAGGAATATGAGAAAAGCTTTTTTTCAGGAGTTGATTGTTTTCCTTTATCACATAGCAGAAAATTAGCCGAGTTAAACTGTTGTCTTTGGTAGAAACAAGTTGCCTTCACACTCGCAATTTCCCAGCAAATTAGACAAATTACTTGCAAATTAGATCGCAGTGTGCAACAATTTAATCTGTTTGAGAAAATTATCACCAACTCAACTGTGCGTCAAGGTCCTCACAACAGTGTAGATATAAAAATTTCTCATCTTTTGTGAGCTTAGTTAAAAATAACAAGAACATATCCTTAAAAAAACACAAACAGCACAGCTGATAGATGGCATACAAGGACAACCGACTTGGAATAAATGACGATGCACAAACGCAAACAGTTTTCGTAATATTTTGTTGTAACACTAAAAATACTTATCAGTATATCCTACAAGCCTGCTGGTATAATTGGAACAAAATTAATTAATTTAATGTATTAATGACAAATGATTCACTAAAAAGTAAACACCCCATCTTGTCAGATGCGTCTGTGAGCTGACATAATTATTGAAGCAGTTTAGTTAATTTCATGGTCAGTCTGGGACGATTAACCCGTCAGCACATTTCAGACATAATAAATCTAAAATAACGGACGAACTTTAGATACAAAAGTCTGAGTCGCCTCTTCTTTATGTTTTGTTTCCAAGGAGTCAGACTTTTTAGAAATATTTAGGAGGACTTGAACAATAGTTCTCCCAGTTTTCTAGTCATCTAAAAGTATTTCTTATATTTTTTTGTCTAGTCAATGTACCTAAACATTTCCTAAAGCCAGGACTTTTTTTAGACACCTTTACCCCAAGTTTAGGCTGGTTTCTGTTTTTGAATGAGCTTAATAGCACTAAAAAAAACTATTGTATAAGTTCCAAACATTCTTTTTTTTTCTAGATGTGCTTAAAAAATTGTGTCTCTGCAATAAACTTGTTTTTGCATCGTTGTTTGTGATAATACATTTAATAATTTCACTCTAGCATCAGTAAAGTATCCGTCGCTGTGTCACCCGTTGTGTTTAAACCATGCATGACTCAAATGTCTGTATTAAGTGGCTCCACAAACAAAAAGCGTCCTTCTGAATGAGGTCAAGGCTAAAGATTGGACCAAAAACAAGTGAAAGAGCAGTCGATGAAGAAAGAAATACTTGTGAAAAACGTATTAAACTCTTGCTTAAAACCATTTTTAAAACGTATTCTTGTTTTTGAATATCTTGGGAAGCAAAATCTAAAAAACTCAATTTAGACTTTTTTTTTTTAACTTTACTGTGGATATGAACAGAATTTACAGTATTTATTAATTTAAGCATACAAATGAAACTAACTATTCCAGAACTTTCAAACCACAAGCTTACAAAAGGTTTGGTATCACTTTCAGGACAGCACAGGTAACTCTACCTCCTCCATTGTTCCGCTGTATGTCTCCAAGCCTTGTTTTGCAGCCACAACAAGGTAGCGTTTGGACAAATCAGCACTTCTCTGGCACAGAACAGAACTTCCTTTCCCGTTACCTCTCGGTTTCTTTGCTCCGATCCAATCTGAAGCTTCTGTGGGCTCTTCAGCTGCTGCTCCAGCTTCTGGATCTCCTGCTGGAAGAAGTCCCTCTCGTGTTCTCGGTCCACAGCTTGCTCCTGGACACCAAAGACGATATAGAAATACAAAAATGGTTAAAAAAACAAAAACAAGCTTCTAAACCAACTATTGAGCTGCAGAGTAATATCATCAATGTAGGATTACAAACATCACAAATTTGGTTTTATTGTTTTTACATCCTGACAGGTGAAAAGACCTGCTCAATCCAGAATAACCTTTTCTGATCTTGGTTTGACCTTGTGATGAAAATAATATTTGTCATGATCGTTTCCTCTGTTATTTGTAGTTTATCAAGTATTTAATCTGCTCTCAAACATGACCACAAAATCTCTAGCTGGAATTGTGAATGTCTTAAATTTGCACTAAAATAGTAGATTTTACACAGCTTTTTTTTTTATTTTAAAAGTGATATGAAGAAAATATTGTCCAGCTGTTGCCTTCAACATTTATAAACATGCTGTATAATGATGTAAATACAAGACAGACATTTCAGCATTTACAGGCTTATTTAACCCAGTTACTACCAGTAAGACTTCAACTTTAGACAGCCTAATAAGGATTATTTCCCCCTCAATAAAAATTAGGAAATATCTTCATTTTTAAGGATTTTTTATCATCTTGACTATAAAATTTGATGGTCTTGGTGATTTCCTAAAAATGTAAACTAATGACTGAAATTGTGAAATGTAAACAAAACAAAGTGTATTAATTTTCATTACAGCCCACATGTTTAAGTACAGTCACCTTCTGGCCAAAGACATCAATAGAAAAACAGGTATTTGTTATTTTATTAAGATTTAAAAAAAAGTTTATTTGGAGTCATTTTCTAAGAGCCATTTGTTTCTGTATTTTTGTACGGTTTCTATAAACTGTGCAGAAGGAATCCTGCAGTAAAAAAGCTAATGTAGTCTGGTTGGTGAACTGTGGCGGTCTGATAATGCCAAAGTGATGAAATCAAAACTACAAGGAAGTTTTGCATTAGGTGCAAAAAATATTAGCCAGTTTTCATTTTTTAACTCATTTTTGCCAGGGTCAAATTGCAAGGTTGCGAAAAATAATTATGACTGAGTCAAGCGCAGGAAAGAGGTGAGAATAAAAGTGATCACCTTTCAGAATAAATGGTATATGGACTTTTCTATCTAATCCAGATCCTCAAGGCACTTAACACTAAAATCTGTGCCCTCATTTACCCATTCATACAGCATTCTACTTCTTTACAAAGACTAATCAGAGCTTTATCACATTCATACACCGATGGGACACACATCAGAGGCAATGAGGGGTTCAGTGTCTTGCCCAGGGACACTTCAGCATGTGACTGCTGGTGGAATCAAACCCCCAACTCTTGCATTGGAGGACGACTGCTCTAACCACTCAGCCACAGCTGCCCCTAAATAAAATAAAATAAAATACACTCCAGATCAACAAATATTACTATTTAAATAGACATATTTATAAACATTTTTATAATTTCTGTTCTGCCAGTACAAAATTAATTATGAAACGTTACTAAAGAACTAAATAAATCAAACACAAACTGTTTAACAAAGATTTTCAAAAATTGTACATTTTGAGATTTTTAAACGATGACCTAAACCGATCACTTTAATTCTACTATAAAAGCATATATGGGTGCACTTGATTCAGGGCGGGTTTGACAACATCAGAGGCATTTTTCTTAGTGTCTTACATCGAGAAACTTCCTGTTCTTCTCCAGCTGCTTCTCCAGAGCTTGAATTTGCTGTTGGAAGTCTCCGCTCTCCGTATTCTGAGCGTGCTCCAGCTCGATCACCCTGTTGACCTGCTCCTCCAGCTCCGCCTCCAGCAGCTTCACCTGCTTCAGGAGGTCCGTGTTCTCCTTCTCCGCTTGACGCTGGACATCCACCTTCTCTTTCATCAGCTTCTCCGTCTCCTCCAGCAGGTCTACAGGACACGACGAAGGAAGGGGGGTAAGATCAGCTGACAAATCTGTCAATGAGTCACGCACGTTTGATTTTGGAATTGGGTTAAGATGCTGAGATGAAAACGAAGAGTCTAAAGTTTGAGTGCCATCGTGTGGTCATATTTAATCCAACTTTAAGTTTTGAAAATAATTATATCATCTCATTCTAATAGAATAACTTTTACAACTGATCATCTAAAAAAAATAACCAACATTAAACTCTTCCAGCATCTCAGTCAACTTTCCAACCCCGTTACCAATCATTATCCCATCACCCCCCAGTCGCCTCTCCTTTCTGCTGCCACCAGTGATTATCCCACACCGCTGAACTCAGGATCAAACCCAGCAGGACCAGTGCAAAATTAACAGGGTGAGAGGAGTGCAAATGACAAATCAGACACATGACAGTCCAGACATTTAACCATGCCCTTTAAGCTTTTACAGGCAGGGGAGAATTCCTCGTGAACAGCCAATCATTCCACTCAAATATGTTGTGAACGCAGCGTAAAATCATTGAAACAGACGGCTGACAACAGGAGGAAAAATGTTAAAGTAACGCCTAAAGATTAATCATGCCCAAATTAGTGCCAACATCGACTCCAGGACATTAAAAAAGACAAATAGAGACAAAAACCAGTGAAAACAAAAAGCTGTGACAAAAAGTTAGTGATTGCTTTGTGAGCCAAATGCAAGCAAGCTCCGAGCTTTGTTGGCAAGTTGCTGGATTAGGGTCAGAGATCCAACTGCCACTTACTCAGACAACTTAAAAAGAACATTTACAGATACGACTGAGCCATGCTCACAGTGGGGACACACCTGCTTCAGGTGCTGCAACCATTGCAGCTTCAACTAGGCCTACAGGAGAATGAGAAAGCACAGAAATTTAACATGCACTTGTTTTTGTTGCCATGAACAGGAAACGTATTCAATAAAGAGTAGGAAAGGGTGAAAATAGGAAAGTTGTTTTTTTCTTTTTTGTTTCACAGCAGAAACCTAAATCTCTAGAAATTATGTGAAAGGAAAAAAGCACTGAACAAGCCCATGTGTACATATTCAAATGCAGACTACTCACCTTTTCTGGAAGAATAAAAATCAGTGGAAACAGTTTACATTTCAAGTTATTTCTTTGGAAACAAAAGCTTTAATCTAAAAGTGGTCCTAACTCTTTAACAAAGACACAAAAAGTATTTATAACAAAACTTTTTGTAATTAACTGTGGTATGTCTTGTTGGTGATGCTGCCTAAATAAGAGTTTTAAAAATTCTCTATGGACTACAAGAACTCTACACTAAAACAAAAGTCATTGTGAGGCTGTGGTCCATTCCCAGAAGCTTTAGAGCAAATCGTCAGCATATTTGACAAAAAAACAAACAGGAAAACAACTCCTGTGTACTCAAACTAACTTTGCATCAGTGTTTTCACAAAACAAACCTCTGGTGTAAATCAATAAACAATTTACGGTTCATAATCAACTCCTGACCTTCATACAGTCTCACTGAAAGCAGATTTTTGATTCGAGTCTTTGACAATTCAGACAAAAATAAGGAACAGCAGCCAATCTTCAGTAGACCCTTTGAAAAGCTCTTTTTTTTCCTCCTTTCTTCCTCGATACCTACAAAGCTCACGTGGTCCGGCCTCCTCCCTCATGGCGTCCTGTTGTCGTGACAACAGCTCACGCTCCTCAAGCATCTGAAGTCTTTCCTGCTCCAACTCGTGCAGCCGGCTACCTGTTACCTGCGTGGAAAATTAAAATCAGGATATAAGCCTGTTGCCACTAGCTGACTAAATCCGTCTTATTTTTAACAAACTGTACGAAAACTTTGCACTGCTTTTATAACCCAAAATTTTTCTTATTTACAGTAATTGTTAAATATTTTTAAAAATTGGTTGGGTGTCGTTTTAATCAAGTGAATTAGTTGAGAGCATTTTTAGGAGCACAATGTAATATAAATATAATATTCAATTAATTCAAAAATACTTTATTAATCCCAGAGGGACTAATACATTATTACAATATAATAATATAAGTAAAATATATAGTAAGTATATACAAGTAATATATGTATAATAAGTATATAAGTTTATAAGTATAATAAGTAATATGTAATATAAATAAAGGTTGAATGAACATGTGAAATAGTTTCAAATTGGAAATAATTTATTGTAAAAAAGAAATGTCACTCATAGCTGAAAGCTTTTATTATGAAAATACATCATAATTCCAGCATCATCTTTACGATTTATAATCTGAATTTGTGATATTAAGATGACTGTAGAGCAAATGAAAACCATTTTATGACAATTTGTCGCACATCCAATTGTATGAGTTTTGTTAATTGAAACCAGAATGCCTTTGGCGCCAGGAGTAAAATCTACTTTTAATGTTGTCACAACTCATTAGCTTTTCTGAAGTGATTACTCCTCCCTGCAGCTCACCTGCAGCTCTTGCTCGAGGCTCTGCTGGAGTTCATCCTTGTGGCGTAGCTGCTCCTCCAGCGCAGCTCGTTCACCCGTGTAGCCATCGATGAGACCTGCGTGCAGTCCGTGCAAGAAAAGCACAGTTAAAATTAAATGATCAGATTTTCATAGAGCTTTTGAATGCATCGCTTCTGCTCCCATTTTGAAACATTTCAATCCATTTTGTTGTTCTTGTACAGCTTCAGTCACGTAATGACTGCAGGATACAAAATACAAGCAAAATATATAAACAGTTGTGTTTTCGTATAAACAAGCAAGTGCAAATATACGACACATTTTCGATATGTATGAAACAGAGCGGTGAACACAATGAAAAGCTTTAATTACTGTACTGCTTTGTCACAGGTCAGCGTAATTTTCTATTCTGCAATCCAATTAGATGGAGGAAGCAAGTAAACAACAAGAATCTGCTGAGAAAATCTCCATTTTAACAAACTGATTCCAGCACTCAAGAGATCATATTTTATCACTTGATGATTGTTTGTGAGAAGAAGAATCAAAGTCGTTTGTAACGTTTGCCTAAAGAGGGAGCTTTGTGAAACAGCTATCAGAAGATTAAAGACAAAAACAGCTCGTTCAACAAATAACGAGCTGGGTCTTCATCCCGGCAACATTATGGGATGAAAACAGGTAAATAAACCCTGTTTGTTTCTATGAAAACCTTGACATTTAATATGATCCATCGGTCAGTGAACAGAATCTTCTTTTAAGGCTGAGCTCGAATTTAAAACCAGTTTGAAAAGGCCACACCCTGAGGTTTTACCTGGATCATCCACACAATGGCAGACGTGTTTCTCTTTCAGCTCGCTGGTATTTGTCCATGAGATACAGGCTCAGCAAGGATCAAACACTCCCAGAGTTAATGAGGAGGTACATCCCATGACCTCATATTCAAAGCTCTTTTTATTTGTTGTAAAGAAGAAGGTTTACAAACAGGGTGTAGCGCTCACTTCTCATTATCATGTCAGTGACGGATGACAGACCAATTGACATAAAGTACTTGGGACAGCTTTGGCAGACTTTTCCGTATTATTGCCTGAAGAACAACATTTTGTGATGGAAGGCTGAGCAACTTTTCTTTGGATCCTTCAGGATATTTATTGCCTGCTTCCAAAAGCAGATGATAATGATTTTGCCTGTGTTTGTGTGTGTTCGTGTCTGTTTATTACCAAAATATTTCATAAACCATTGGACACAATTGAATCTGCAGAGAATGGCCATATATTTACATCTACAACTGATTAACCACTGATTAAAGTCGATCTAATTTAAAACAGTCGCCACAATTAATCAACTTTAGAAAACACAAAAATGGCTAAAACTCAATACAGTAAAATTTACAAATAATGAGTTAAAATTTGACGTGGCAGTAGCCGAGAGACAATCACAAAATATACACTACAGTAATTTTTGCTGTGTAAGTCGCAGTTTTTTGCATAAATTAGAATGCCTGTGACTTATACAGTGAAGGGACGTATTTATGTTTTTTCTCCCATATTTATAACCCAATTTTTGGCTGAGATATGACGATTTCATTCATTCTGACATGGAAAATATTGAACACTACCATTTTCAGCCACTAGAGGGCCCTCTATGCATATGGCAAGCCAAGTGTCCCATTAATAGGTAAAAGTAGTTATTAATGAGACACTTGGCTTGCCATACCAAGCCACCTTCGTCTCGCTCCGAAACTCCTGGAGCAAATGACTAATCAGCTTCATTTCGTCACAGCGCCCAGACAAAATTGCAGCTAATTTAACCATTAAAGTGCATTTATTAAAGAAAAGGTAAACTGAGACACACCTTTGCTATAATTTCAAGCAAACAAATAATTGTTTTCAGGTGGTTAACTTGTTATATTTTCAAGAAATGCACAGCGAGTCGTCCGTCTGCGCGATCTTGCTCCTGCAAATTGGCTTTTGAAATGCAGCTGATCTGATCGTCAAAGTGCATTTATTAAGGAAAAGTTCAATCGAGACACACCTTTCCTATACTTTTGAGCAAACAAATAATTGTTTTTAAGGGTTAATCTTATTAAGTTCTTGTTAAAGTCCTCCCGTGCACGCTCCCGCGGTCGCCATTTGGCAGCCAATCGATTTTTTGGCACAACACCGGCCCACAATTCCGGGTTGTCAGCGGTGATGCGTAACAACAAACGTGATGCGTCAGTGATGACGCATAATAGGTGCGACTTATACGCGAAGCGACATATTTATGATTTTTCCACTTTATTAAACATATTTGGACTGATGCGACTTATAAGGCGGTGCGATGTTTACGGCAAGCACGGTAATTGTGACATCTTGTGAGACCGCATGTGATTGTGTATAAAATACACTACACAGCTATACAGACACACTATAAAAATAAAGTGTATGCTCAATAATCCAGGTAGAATAATAAAGTCCTTTTTAGGTCAGCAAATATTTGCGCCTCCTCTGTAAGATTACTGAACACAAACATTGTAACAGGATCTCAGTCTTGTAAAAGACAATCCAAGATTAGAAAAGTCCACAAACTCCCTGATGTTCTGCGTTTCTACACAGCCAACCGGGGAAAATGATTAGTACACCGTGCAATTTCCAGAGTATTTAAAGTCTGAAAAGTACAGAGCTTGTATTTGGTTTTGTTACCACGGTTGACACTCACAGACCATCTGCCTCCATTAGTTTACCACCAATCAACAAGATCTTTACCACCAATCAACAAGATCTAAAAGGAAGAAAATGTAACTTATGAAATGACCGATTTACACCAAACAACTTACAGATTTTTGTTTTGTTCAGTTTTTAATGGAACAATCAAATTTTCACCTCCCGTGCTTTTTAATTTTCTAAACAGCTGATGCCTTCACTTCCTGTAACACCCTCAACCTCCAAACACATGTGCTCATGTTTGTCAAATCTTCGTGCAGATAAACTCTAACAAAGTACAGTTCGTTCTACTAAGACGCCTCTGAACAAAAAAACAATTTTCTAAACCCAAATATAAATTGCTCAAAATACAAATCAAACCAAGACAGATTTGTCTTTCGTGTTGCTGCTTCAGAAGGTTATCCTCACTGAGTTTTTGAGTCAAACATGAAAACAAATGCTAACCTTCAGCACGGTGGAGTTCCAGAGCGAGCTGCTCCCGGGCACGAGCCTCCTCGGACAGCCTCTCCTGCAGCTCCTCCTGCTTCTGCAGCAGCTCACCGATCTCCTGGTTGTGGCGGAAGGACTCGCGCATCAGCTCAGTCTGGGTCACCCGGGCATGTTCAAGCTAAAAGGAGACAGAAGACAAAATAATACTGACTAAGCAGGAGGTGGTCTTTGGAGCAGTCACGCTCATAACTTTTATTCAATAACTAACATTACCCTTAAACTGAGTTTTGTTATGGCAATTTATTGCCACTGTTAGATTAAAATAAATAGTTTTAGCAGCTTAATTCAAATGCAATTACAGCATGCTGTCAGGAAACAGGTTAAGGTTAAGTGTGTCAGGATCAACAGGTAGTGATATTAAACAACAGCAGCTAGAGGGAGAGGAACTGTTGGAGAGATAAAGATGGAAATTTGAGATTTCTGTTTCATTATAATTTATTTTATAATACAGAACAAGTACAACACTAAAGGACAAGTGTGATTTGGAGAGCGCTAGTGCTACTAACTTATCTAGTGAGAAGGATGGATTCAAAATTTAACGTTTTTAGCAATTTGATAATCCTGTTTGGGGACGATATATTTGTTGATGATCAAAATGGCTCATTTGACTGCTGCAAACATTTAGTAAGGTGCTTACTTTATACCAACAAACAAACAAACAAGAAAAATGGAGGAGAAAAGATTTGGTATTAGAACTAAAACAACCAACACTCTATAGCAGATGAACAATATTTGAGAATCACGTCTTTGAAATCAGGTCAAAATAAATCCACCAAACGTGGACACGACACTGAAAAATGCACCATCCTTCAGCTGATCTTTTGTATCCCAAGTTTTGAGCCAATAATGTTTTAGCAAATTAAAACAGTTACATTTTTTTTTGCATTAAACCATGTTATCTTTGATATTTTCATCATTTCATTAAGATAAATAGGAACAAATTGTGTCTTTCTGACAGGCTGCTGGTAAGAAAGAACCCAAAGACCCAATTTTAAATAGTTTTTTGCAAAGTTGTTTGTTATATGTTCACAACATTGGTTAATCTTTTCTTATACCTGATTGACTCATGGGTCAAAGTGTTATGGTTTAACAATCATTCAAACAAAAAAATAACTTTCCCTTAAAAGGATTAGGCACTTGAATTTCAAAAAGTGAGCTAAAAATTCCTAAGCAAAACTTGAAAAAACAAAACAAACAAAAAAAAACTTCAGAATGTCCGATGAACCTTTAATCCAGAAAATATTGATATTACAACAAAGTCTGGGTTTTGGAAGCAGAATATAAAGAAATGAGGGATAAAGCGAAGTCTTTCCACAGCACTGTATTTAGAAAGGGTTTGGCAACACAGTTTATAGTCTAAGGTTGTAATGACTTTATGATGATCGAATACCGGACAAACAGTCAACTCGTATGGAACAAAATGAGCTCATGTGCTGAAGTAACAGCTATGCAGTAATTTACAGTTAGAATATCTGTAAAAAGACCTGCTAGTCAGGTGACAGAGAGCATAATGTCCTTGTAAAGCTGCTAAGATATCATGATAATGCAGTAAACCACCAGCTCACACAAGCTAATTTTCCATAGATTTTCATATCTCCCTGAGCAAAGGTCTTATTATTATGGGACCTGGGAAGTGGAAATAAGAACTTGCCGCAGGGGGAAGTCATATGATCTTTCACCTAATGATTCAGGAGAGCTGCTGTGTGCCTACATGGAAAGACATTTTAGCTTACATCATACGTACATCTACAGACCTGGACCATAGAAAGACAGAGAAATGAATCCATAAAACATTAATCAACTTTACATATGCTCTACTTAACTGGTAAAGGAAGCACAACCCCCCTCTTTATGCAATACAGTTCATGTGTGGGGTAACTTACTGTATACGGAGGAGTGGGCAGGGAGATTTTGGATATGACCTTAAGAAGGTGTCCATTAGTCTTGTGATTGACGTGAGAGATCTGTGTCTGAATCACCACGGCGTTTTTCGTGTTTAAGGTGCTGCTCAGTGGGAAGGGTCGGGGAAGGGGTACACGAGATTCCACCTCGTACACATCCTGATCCTCCCCCTCCAGCCACGTGCTGCTCTGCATGCTCGAGTTCCAGTAAGACCGATGGGAATCCATGGTTTTGCTTCCTATCTGGAGTCACGACAAGGAGGTGTCATTTGCCATGATTCGTCAGTCTGAGCTGAGCTGTGCAACCACAAATGGGAATAAAGTCCAGCAAGAAATGAAGCAGCGTTATATGTTGTGGGTAGCTCCAAGCAACAGTCTCTATGTGTTTTGCCCACAGACCCAGGAAGCGTAAACAACTACCACCGAAGGTGACATTCATCTCATTCACATGCTGCCCAGCAGAGGTAGAAAAGGTTCCAGGTGTATAGTCAAAAAAAGAAAAAGAAAAGTCCTCCAGGAAAGGTAAGAGTTTACATAGTCCTACAATAAAGTGTCATCCTCGGGAGCAGGTTGAAGTCAAATCCAGGTCCTGCAGCCTAAAAGGCACTCCTACACATGACCGTGGAAGGTAAGTAAACACAAACATTTCTGCTCTCGGCGTCCTGCGTTCAGACGGTTCGTGTTCTCTGACCTTCTTTCCTCAGAGTGAAACCATAATATGCCGCTCACAAAGCTCACACCCCCACTATTGCTCTTGCTCTTCCCTCGCTCTCTTTCTATCTGGAGATTCATTAACAATACAATCCCCGCTGTAGCAGCCCCAACCTGCAGGCGAGCCTCCCTGGGGCCCCCACTGATTGTCTACTACTCCAAGCCTCAACCGGATGACGGTGAAATGACAGCTCAGATGGAAAGTCAATCACTCGTGATTTTCTTCTTACATCCTTCTAGCTGTTGTCATTCCCTCCTCTCAAACGTTCCTGCGCTCATGCCAATACATCACTATAGCTGGTTTTCCTAATTTATCCTCCAACAAAAGATAAAATCCAAGACTACCAGGTAGTTGTGAGCTTCCAAAAGAGGATACTGTTCCTGCTTCCTACAACAAACACACCTATAAGGATACTGCTCAGAAAAGAAGTGGGAGGGGAAGCAGGTGTGGCTTCAGTCTTTGAAGCCAGTCGACCAGGTAGATTTGCAAACTGTTTAAACACACTCCCCTATCACAGAAACAACCACCAAGAACACACACCCATTCTACAAAAAGCTGCCCAACCAGATTTCCTCCATTTGTAGCAGTAAAAATAAGCAATTAGGGCAGTCTCCACTAGAGTTCAGCCTCTCTTGGGTATGTCTGCTGTTATACTTGCTGCGCATGAGCTATTTGTACGTCTCACTGGTTAATAAAGGCAGAGAGTAACAAGAGAACGAACACCTACTAGAGGGCAAATAATTTACAGCTGTGGCTCAATGAAGACACTTAACATTCCTGATCGGGCTTGTTACATCAGTCTCTACTCAAGACGTGGTGATTCGGTAACAAACGAGACAAGACTAATGTGCACCAGATCAATAGCAACAGGAAAATCATTGGAGAAACCATTAGACTTTGTAGATTGCACATTTATTGTGCCGTCAATGACGTGGACTTGGAAAATAATTACTACTTGCAACTATTATATTTAATAAAACTACAAAACAAAAACAGTTTTGCAGTATTTCATTTATTTATACGCTGTTTGGCCATTTAGAAGATAAACGCAGTAAAATACAAGCGGTTTTGAGACAGTATGAAATAAAGTAGAGCCCAAAAATGAGGTAAAGGAGCTTTAAAACCACGAGCACGATCAGTTAACATAAATCAACAACCATGATGCAAATGTTGCTGAAACGGTAAAACCTGGCAGTTTTCTTTAAATCTATTTTTAGATCGCCAAGACAAAACTCATTTCAGCGTGAATAAAGCATGAATTCCAGCCAGAGGGGGGATGAGTTGTGCTGCCAGTTACAGTAACACACTCAATGGCCTAGTTTTACTGGCCTCATCCCTTTGGACTGACACAGGACACAGTGGGAGGACTACATGGACACCCCTGAGGGGATGGGGTCGTTCTCTGCAAACTGGACCAGGATAGGCTGCTTGGCCAGACAAAAGCTCCGTGTAAATACCGCTCGTATCTACGGGCAACCGCTGGGAATGAGGCAGCTCCTTTGTGTGCGAATTCTAGACACGCCAACTTTTTTTGCCAACCAGATTTTGCCATCTCAACCCCCATTATGTTTCCGTGAACAAGCAAGCGCACAAATCCACACAGAGGGGGTTAACCGTGCTGACAGTTCATCATTTAAATGGTTTTTGACAAAACGTAAAAGCGTCACTTGAGCTTTTTGTTTACTGGAAACTTTAAAGCACAAACAAACATGAGCATTTGAGCAAGATGCTGTTTTTTTCTCCCTAATTTGGAGCCTCAAAACCTGGTAGATTTTATGAAGCTTGTATCGTTTGCTCAACGGGACATGCAGATCAACTGGAAGATGTAAACTTTGTTCAGCTGTCCAACAAATTAAAATGAAAAACTTGCATTTCGGAGTAACAGCAGCTGCCCGTGTCTTCAGACTCTTTATAAGCTTGGCACATCTAGCAACTTGAATTTTGATGTGTTCCACTGGTTTGCAACAATCTCCACAGACACACGGGCTCTGATTTTAATTTCTAAACATTCAAATGTCCCCATCTAAACTACTTTAGTTTTGCTTTAGCTTCCATCCATCGTCTTTACCCGCTTCTTCCTTTTCAGGTTGCGGGGGGACACCCTGGACATGTCTCCAGTCCATCACAGGGATGCATAGAGACAAACGAGACAACCAATCACTCTCTCACTCACACCTAGAGACAATTTAAAATGACTAAATCAGCCTAACATGCATGTTTTTGGTTTATGGGAGGAAATCAGAGTACCCGGAGAAAGCCCACGCATGCACGGACAGAACATGCAAACTCCACCCAGAAAGGCCCCTGGACAGGGATATGAACCGGAGCAACCTGCTCGCTGAGAGGCAGCAGCTCTACCAACTGCGCCACCGTGCTGCCCGCTTTAGCATACCGGTACATAAAATGACAAATATTAGATAAGCAAGGATAAGTATCGCTTATCCGAGAAAAAAAAGCATGTTTCCTACCTGTCCGGTCGTGCCAGTGATGGTCATCAACATCTTCTCCACAGCTGCCTGAAGTCGGCTGCTGACGCCCGTGAAATATTCCTCATTCCTGAGTTGTGGCTCTGCACCGAGGAGCAGGCTGTCCATCATCTGCTGGGACATCTCCAGACCCTCGTCAGCCTCCAGTTCCCCTGACCAGATGCGCACGTTGTCGGCACCGGTTTCACCGCTCCTGCAGCTTTCTGCAGCAACAGATGGCAGAAATATGCCACATTTATTTATTTATGCATCATATAAACTGCAACAAAATACAGGATAATATTTATCTAATTACAAATTCATTAGGACATGCAACAAAAAACATGTTACCAACACAATTTATGTAGAATTCAAAAATCTGATAAGCCAGGATGCAAACAGATTGTAAACTTAGATCCATATTAAGAAAAGAAAAAGAGCATCTGGTATAAATCAACACAACATAAACACTGCTTAGTTATGCAATTCACATTTAGTCATTCAAGCAACTTTCTCATTTTCGTAGGATATCATTGTAGAAGATGGAGGCTGTGCAGCTCATGTATTATTTTAGCAGCTTGTTCTATTTATTCTCTTTATAGATATCAATTTGGAGACAATGAACAGAACAGAAGAATAAGGCAGTGGATGATTTGAAGTACCAGTAAATAATTTAAATTATTATTACTATAGGTTTGTGTACGTGTTCAATGTTGTTAAATGCATCATACAAAAACTTTAAGGAATCTGTCCTAAATATTATAAATGTAAAAAACACCAGAGTGTCACTAATTATGATAATCTAAAAAAAAAAAAACCTACTGAAATACTGTAGAATATTATTCAGATAATACTACAGAGGTACTTCATACTGATACTGGCAGCAGCAGCCCTTCAGAGTTTCATGTTTTTGTTTTGTTTAAAAGAAAAGTTGCTGCTTAACTCGACCTCAAAAGTTATTTACATGAAAACGTTGATTAGATTACCTCGCCTGCACATACAAATGCAGGCTTATCGACAGCAAACAGTAATTTAGTTTGCATGTATATAGACAAAACCTGCTGTGAGACGCTTTTCATCTACAAGTGACTGCAGGTCATTTCAAACATTGACGGTACTGTAAAAAAATTGGAAAAAGTTTCTTCCTAAATAAATAAGTGTTGCGGTAAATGTTTAAGGCATTTGGCACAAACGCAATCTCGTTTTCAAGTGTACATGAACTGCAAATTAATATATGCACAAAAGCAGAGATCTTAACAAAAACTGGCTCTATCAATGTTGGGTTATGTAAGTTTTTAACAGCAGGTTGTTAATTTTTTGTACAAGTGAGACATAATTTTTGACTAATAAGAACAGCTGATGCTTTAAGTATTTAGGCAGCTACAAACAAGTTAGCTTTGTAATGTGAGGTGCTGTTTGTGCTCTAATGTTCATATCTGGCGTCTAAATTTGCAGAATTATCTGTCCATGGCAATATTTGCATGCGATAATGAAGAATCTCTTTGAAATAACAGTGCGCATGTATGTACAAACTGATGTGTGTGTCCACTGCAGAACAAGAACAAAAACTTTAGGGATAGCGGAGAGAACAGATCAGTATGTAGACATAGAGCAAAGACTAGTCAGGCTAGTTGCTTAAATTTCAGCTACAGTCACATGCCATTTGTGATATGGGATCATTTTGTGTTGCAAGTGAAACCAATCAGTTTAACAGACAACTCTCCACAAGCAACGCAAACATGCTTTAAATCAAGATATTTTGACGCTTTTTTAAAATATTTGTGGTTTTTGAATTTGAAGCTCAAGTAATTAAAATGTCAAAACTTGATTTGACTGACTACAGCTCTGCTCAAGCCAGTTCAGATCCAGCTGGGTTAAACTACACAACACAGTAATGCTGCAGTGAAATACGGAGGTCCTGAATAATGCATGCACACAAAATTTTATAAATGTGTTGTACGCTTTGTTTGGTTTATTTTTTCCCCACACAGAATGATGTTTTAATAGGTATGGAGTTTGAAATAAAATTTTGACTCTTGCGTTCGCAAAACAGCACATCAATATCTGTAACCATTTCTAAATCTTGATGCTACTTGCCTGAGGAATAGCGGTTTTTGGGCTCTGCAGTTTGTCTCTGCATGCCGGACAGAGGAAGCTGCATTTCAGCAGAAGTGTCACGCAAACTTTGCATGTGGAGGCCCAATGTTTTCTCTGCAGCCACAGTTGTCTTCAGGACATCAACAAGAACCTGACTAAGCTTCTTGTTGGCTTCACGCAGCAGGTTTCTAAAGAAGAAGAAATAGTTAGAACCGTACATGTTTTTCTTTCAGCTGCTCCCTTCTTCAGGGGTTGTCACAGCGACAGGACTCGCATGAAAGATTTAGCAATTATTTTACGCCGGATGCCCTTCCTGACGCAACCTGGGCTCGAACCTGTAACCACAGGGTTACAAGACCACGGCACTGACCGCCAAGCTAACGCAGCCACCAATTAGAACCATACATATGAAAAATCAGTTTTTAGCTGGTTTGAAATTGTTGTAAAAACACATGTTCAGTACATTTCCATGCACCAAGTTCATTTTATTGTAAATAATAAACATGGATGCAGCATTACCTTTCAGTGTCTTTATCAGAAGGCTCTTCATCATCCTCTGACAGTTTGATTCCTCCTGCTAATGTTGTATGTGTACCGTCCCCTTCATCAAATCGTCCTTCCCCATTGTCTCCCTTCTTTAAAGCCTGAACAGGCAACAGAGAGAAAACCGACAGCAGCCCCGTCATGTCAAAGTTTCAACTCAAACACACTAAACTCAACAGCGCTGGACAGGGCAGCATTATGCGAGAGCATTTGTAAAGCGGATTCAAATAAGGGACAATAATGCACACATAGGAGCACTGCCTCTTTCCAAGCACACATACACACAAAAACACAAACACACACTTTAGCTCCCTTGGAGCCGAGAGAAACACTGCTATCTTTGTGCTGCTATGGCAACAGGTGCACCTGAGGAGCAAGACTGGTAGAGACGGTGGCGCCACCTGTTGGAAAAGCTGATGAAATGCATGGTGTCGAACTCAAGTTACCAAAAGGAGACAAAAATTTAAAACTTTGTCCGAGCCGTCACTTTCAGCTGATATATTAACTCGAGTCGGATACCCAATATCTTTTCTTGGTTGCAGGTTCATCAACAAGAGTTTGATCTGTCTCATTCGACGTTTTGTTGCTCTTTCCACATCAGAATCAATAATGACAGAATGATCCAACCTTCTTTCTGGTTTCAAAGTTAGCCAACTGGTAAGAGAAGTCTATACTAAATTGTGTATTTATCAGGTTTTTTTTTTAAAGAAAAAATAGAAGATCTACAATATTTTACATTTAAATAATCATTTTGGGGACCAGATTTGGCCCACGGCTCTTGAGTTTGACATACAGTATGTGGATAAGTAAAGCTGTCCAAAAACATAAAATCTGAAATTTTCTTTTTTAGGAAATAGATATTAGTTATTGTAAAATACATTAGTTACCAAACTTCATCCTTGGAAAGCAGCTGTGGTTGTGAATAATTATTCAAGTGCTGATGCTGCATCACAGTAAATCTTTTTCACCACTAAAACAAAGTGCCAAAAGTTCATCTAACTAAAGGAAAGAGTCAGAACAGTAAGACTTCTGCACAGTTTCACAGATTTTAGTGCTATTTTGCAGGAAAAAGTACAAGTGAAAGACTGATTTCCGTTGAGTGAAACTATTATTTTAGCCTAAAAAAAAGGGTAAATAAAAACATTTGTGTGCATATTTAAATTGGGACAGAAGCTGTGTATGGAGAAGATCAACAGAAGCATAATAATGTATATATATCATGTGAATGATGTGCAAATTATTTATGCATTTATTTTTTTGAATAGTTCCCTTCACCTGGCTGAAAAACAAAGCAAAACTACATTTAAACAAGTGGGGCGGCTGAGTGGTTAGAGCAGTCGTCCTCCAATGCAAGAGTTGGGGGTTCGATTCCACCAGCAGTCACATGCCGAGGTGTCCCTGGGCAAGAAACTGAACTCCTCATCGTCTCAGATGTGTGTCCCATCAGTGTATGAATGTGATAAAGCTCTGATTAATCTCTACAGATTCAGATTAGCTTTGTAGAGATCTAGTAGAGCGCTGTATGAATGGGTAAATGGGGGCACAGATTGTAGTGTAAAGAGCTTTGAGTATCTTGATGATAGAAAAGCGCTATATACAGTACAGTAAGTGCAGTCCATTTACCATTAAGTGAACCAAACTGTGGAGCATTATAATTTTATATCCAAACAAATATTCACCATTCAGTCATTTGCAAACCGATTATTTCTAAATCAATTAATTGTTAGCAGGTTAAACAAAAAACGTATTATTCTTAGCTGAAGCATCCAAAATATATGAGTCTTGTTCAACTGAAGGAACGATGGTGGGTTTAAAACTGCACTGAGACGCTCAGTTTGAAAATGAATAACAAAAATAAAGCCCATCAGCTGAAATAAGGAAATTTGGTGCATGTGGTTGTAGTAAGTCGAGCGTAAAGCAACACATACCAGCTAAGTAAGTGCAACTAACCTGTTTAGGTTCAGTTTTTTGCAGCGCTTCTTTTAACTTTTGGAGCTCGTTGTTCTTCTCCTCCAGCTCCCTTTCCATTCTCTGCCTTTCCTCCTCCTCCAACCCAGCAACTGCAGAGGGGGAAGCCCTTGGTGTCTGAAGCTTCGCCTCTCTGTCCTCCACCGCTTCGCCATCCAGCTGGGTCTGCATGGAGGTGCTCGTCTGACGGGCGCGTTTGTTGATTCGAGCCAACTCGGTCTGCTGTGCAAACTCCACAGACATTTGAACTATGGCCTGTCAGAAAAACAAAAGACCCAGAATATTTTCTTTAGGACCCTACAGGATGTGAGATGAAACACAATAAAGGCTCAGGTTTATAATATAATGTTGCATGTTTAAAGGCAACCTCTCTATAGTTTAGTAATTATGATACAACCTAATAACTAAAATTTAAAAAAATAAAGAATAGAGCAGAATCAGTGGATTAGAAGCATCCTGTCATTAATTAAGCTCAACCGTTGCCGTTTAGTCACAACAATTAAATACAACCCAAAAATACACATCTGCTACCTTAGCAACTTCCTCCTCCACTCTCTCCTGCTGATGTCTCTCCTCCACATGGAGCTGCGCAACAACGCCGAGGCTCTCAGTGGAGCTCCCAGCACCGATGACACTGTTCAGATCCAGCTTTCTCTCCCCTCCGTCTTCCCGATGCTCCCGTCTTCTCCTCTCCCGCTCGATTTCTTCTCTCAATCTCCTAAGCTCACTGTTATGCTGCTCTTTGAGGGCAGCTACTTCTTGGGTGTACTTGTGATCCAGAGCTTTCCTAAGCGCCTGCAGCTGCGCTGTCAGGGCAGGAGACCTGGCAGATGAGTGCAGCTCCACGCCCCCCTCTGACAATTCCTCCTCACTCAGGTCCTGAGGAGGGTAGAAAGCAAAAAAAAAAAAAAAAAAAGCACAATTATGCTCAGAATTCAGCACTTACACTTACAGACAATAAAACTTCAAGGCAAACAGTCTTAAAAAAGCTTTTTATTGGAGCCGATGCTCCGCTTTACAACCTTTTTTTCTTTTTCAACCTATTAAAAATAATAAATAAGTGACATTTATTACATTTTAACACTGCTTCTCATCAAAATAGATCCGTTTTACTGTTATTTAGGTCTGAAGTTACTAAAGCTTATTATAAAATCTACCACCTTTTCCCTGGTTTCTGTGTGCAGATAGCAAAGCTTTAAAATAAGAGCTGTCAGGATGGAGGAACTCACTAACAAACACAGAGGATAAAAGTTATAGACGACCATGAGAGATGGTTGAAACAGAGAGCGGTTCATTCACTCAAGACAGAATCCTCCTTTCATCCAACCACCAAGTCGAGAATACGTCGCTTGGTTAGAACGCTGTTATGTAATGTCCGATCCTTTTAATGGTTTGATACAGGTCCACTCGTGATGCGCCCTTTGGAGATTTAGGGCACATTTTAGCCTGAAGGTTGAACCTCCTCTCTTTCATCCACCCTCACTGTCACAGCATCTTAATGCTGACACAGTGTGATTTAAGCTGCAGCAAGAAGTGATGGATGTGACTCGGAAGATTAAAATGTAGGAGACAAACCTTTAGCTCCTCTCTGCATTCCTCCATCATCTCAGAGCTGAGCTCGGGAGCACTGGACAGGCTGAGAGACAAAACATAATATAAGTATTGATAATTACAAACTAAACCAAGTGTTGCAACTTTAATTGAAGACATGTATCCAAATATGTTAAAATGCACCCATTAAAATCGAGAAGCAACTATACTACTAAATGTTTAACCATGAATCCACAATAAATGATCATTAATAAACTCCACTAGTTGTGTCAGAATTAAATGCTGTGATAATCTGCTCATGTTTTGCAATATGTCATAGATTATTGAAAATTAGTGAATTGATACAAAATATTAAAGTAAACTAAAATTATATAAAAATGATTGGATTGGAGCGCCAAACTTCATACAGGTATTTTCATTTTCCATTCATCTTAACTTGTGTAACAGGTAAATCTAGAATAAAGAATATGGCTATAATTGTAGCAGTTCTCCTTTTTTTATGTGACAAACATGCCGATTCAAAAATACCATATGTCCAGTTGTCAAATAAAAGTAAAATGAGAAATCGATGCACGCTTTCCTCAAAATATAAGTCAGAGTGAAATCTTATCAGCTGACTATTTAGATAATTATCCAGTTAATTTTTTTTTTAACAAATCAGAAGAAATCAGTGTTGACACCTACCACCACTAAAAGAAGTGGGCATAAATAATAAACTGAATAACTTTCTTCTAAATACAAACTTTGTGAACGTGTTTGATGTGGCTGGAGATAATTCTTTCAAAGACTGTCGGAAAACAAAACATTGTTAGGTTTTATGTTTATACTCAAAACAGTGGAGGGCAGCAGCAAATTATTATCACTAGTAAGAAAAGAACCGCTGACGAGCTCTACCATTCTATAGATATAAATATTCACAGACATGAACAACTTAATATCTAGTTAATAGCAGAGGGCCTATTAAACCTTTAATTGTGTGTAAAGTTCTGGATATTGACCCAACTTCTAATTGCTGGTCACAAATTACAGTAGAAACATGAAATCTTTGACCCTATGGAGGGAACTATGGTGGGTCTGTTTGGTGTATTCTGTTGTCTTGACTTTATCTGCTTTTCTCCCTGTAGAAAAAAAGACAGTTTATTTGCTGAAATAAAACATTTAAACGCTTCAATCCCGAAGGTCATGGCGTCTTAAAGAGCAGAATGCCCCCATCAATAAGACACAAGGGGATCATTGAATGATTTCCTGGATATTATATACTGGAAACTTGATACAGTTTTCTCTGTCACCAGATCTTAATCCGGGCAAAGATCTTGGAGGTTTTGGACCATAGTGCTGCTCTTCATCACCTTAATAATATCAACTGATGAAAAATATAATTAAAAGATGGTGCTCTATCTTTTTAATAAAGGTTTGAAAGACCGGTAAAATCAATACCAAAGCGTTTCTAATCAAATAAATGACCACTCTTCATGTAGAAGTACATAAACTTATGAATTCCCGGACACTTGAGGAAAACATACTGACTGGTTTTGCCATTTCAGTAAAAAAGTTTATCTTTAATATAAAATAAAATTCTTCATCCATCATGTTTTAAATGTAGAATTATCAGATCCATCTTTGATTTGGATGCTATCTGAAGAGATAATCTTACAGGTTAGTTTAAAACAAAAAGAATGAGCCGCGCCTTGAATATTTCATTAGTCAGCTGATGTCAGCTGAACTGGGTCGAGTAGCTGCCACGTGCAACAGAGAACAGGAAGTGCACACCAGTGTCTGAAGTTATCTTTAGTACAATCAATCATTCATCTCAGCCACCTCGCACTGTATTCACCAACATACACTTCTGTTAATCAGACAACTATCAAAATGAGTTTTTAAAGTAATGTTGATTGTTTTAAATAAAACTTGTTTTGGCTAAAGAATAAGCATAAATGTGCCACTCTGCAAAAGCTACAAATCTTAACAGTAGATCCTAAAAATAATATAACGTTTCAATAATAAAATGAAAAATACATTTTTTAGAACATTACCTGTAAGCTAGGACTTTAGTCTAATTGACAAATTCTGAGAGCATTTTTTTATCTTCACTTTTTAAATAGAAAAATACTAAACCTGAGAAGACTGATTGGAAACAACGAGTGTGTGTTTTTATGAGGCATCACCTGTAGAAGGTCTCATCTCCTGTGACGTCCTGCAGTCTCTGCTGCAGCATGAAGAGCTCTGTAGCGTATCTCTCCTCCGTCTCTGCGGCCTGCTGTTGGTAATGAGCCCTGAGGTGCTCCATTTCCTGTTGATGACTCTCCTGCAGCTGGAGCTGCTTCTCCTGAGCCTCGACCTTCAGCTTCTGTAGGTCTGGAATTGAGGCAGAGGCCCCAGTCTGCTCCTCTACATCTAATTACACACAAAAAAATTGTATACATTATACATTTATACAATATATTATAATAATTTATAAACATATTATACATTTATGTATTATTATATTTTATATAAGACATTTTTGTTCTAGAAAAATATGTATTTCAAAGAAATGCACTTGCTACTTATAGAAAATGAATGAGCAGAGAGGATAAAAAGTAAAAATATAAGAAATATGCAGAAAATTTAAACTGTGAACTTGTGATTTGAGCTGCAAAACTTAATTGAAAAAAGGTCTGAAAAAATTTTGACTCCATGCTTTATTTTTTCTTTTCTAACCAAGAATAAAAACAAACCAACAAAGCAGCTCATGTTGTGTAGTTACATACATTAAGTATGACGGTAAAACGGTGGAAAAACTCTGGAAAAACTTTGGAAAAACTTTGACGCATTTAACGTCAGCAAGAATTCAGAATCTCACTTTCCAGACATCGCACACCTTGTTTGAATCTGTTGGCCCGTCATCAATTTTAACTCTTTATTTTTTTTATAGGTGAAAAGATTTACCTCTGTATGAAGATAACCTTGTTTTGTCAAGTTGCATCTGCAGGTCAGAGATCTGCTTCTCGTTGTTGATCTTCAGCTCATCATTGGCCTTCTGCAGTTCAATTATCTAGTAACCCAAAAAGTGTCTACTTTACATACAGCCTGTTAACTTTTAACAATGTTTCCATAAAGAAATGGCCCAGTATTTAATATAAGCCTGCTTTTTCATGCTGACCAAGTGAAATTTTGAATTTCAATAACACTTCGCAAACAGAGAATTGCCTTTTCAAGGACACATTCATTTGAAATTGAATTCCTTTCTGCACCAAAGCAAAAGAGCATTTTTAAAGAAATGCTTCTATTTGCAAAACTTCCAAACCAAAAAACACAGAAAAATGCAATAATCTAAACTATGCTTGGTTTTTACATGTAGTGAGAGGCAACAGATCTTCATAGTTTTACCTTGTTTCCATCCGTTTTGAGCAGAGTCTGGAGATGAGAAAGTCGACGATGCTCATGTTCAATTCTCGCCCTCACCTCCTGAAGATTTGTGTATAACTCTACGAGGAAACAAACAATAAATTCATTAGATTTCATAAAAATGTAACCATATCATATACACACATATCTCTAATGCAATCAATACATATATAAAGATGAATATGTTAAGTCTAAAGTTGATTTAACCTAACCCACAATACAACATTCAATAAAAGCATGTTGTATTAGGTGCACTACATGTTAAATACTGCATTACAACACTTTATAAAGTGTACCTCTGGCCTGCAGGACAAGAGAGGCAGATTCACTAGTTGCTGGCCTTTCTTCTGAAATGAGCGACGACGTTGCCGCATCAACTCTCTCCAAAACTATTTGGCCAAAGATTTTCTGAAAAGACTAACGACACAAATGGCAACAGGGTTACGAGTACTGTAGTGATAATGTGGCAAATTTTATGTGACAACAATTTATTGCTAAACATTACCTGAATAATCTCAGTGCATTCATCCGACACAACTTCCATCATGTTCTGGTATTTGAAGATTTTTTGTTCATCTGAGAAACATGAAAATTGATCACAGGTTATTATATAAACCCCACTTTGACGGTTTTATCACAACTGCAGACCCACTACAATTAAAAACCACGGATCCACTTTACCCTGGTCACTTTGGTCTGTTCGGTGTTGGAGTTTCAGCTCCAGTGAGCGCGTGCAGGCATCCGACTCTTCCTGAAGCAGCTCAAGTTGAGCAGCATGAATCTGAGTCAGGCTGAGGCGCTGAGCTTCCATCTGTAGCCTGAACTCATCCTTAATTTCCCCCAAAACAAAGACATCAACACATTAAAACAAATTAATCAGCAATGAAACATGCCCTTCTATCCGTGAAGCAGAAGCAAATAAAAACACAGTCAAACAGAAAGTTTGACTCCAGAAAGGCATCTCTCTTAAGAGAACATTACTAAAAAATATAAAATAAAAACGAGGAGTGTTTCCTTCAGTTAACTCGACTCAAACTTCATGCAAAATAGAAAGAAACAGCTGAATAACATTTCCCAAAGTGAAAATATAAAGCCTAGTCAAATATGAAACACTAAAACTTCTCAGCCAGCTGAGTACTTGGGTGAGAAGATGGTGCTTGGTATCGTGGAAAATGAATAAACCTATGACTAGCGTTTTTCAAAGTGACGCTTAAATGATACAACCGCCTGCCATACATGCATCTCTTATTTCTCTAACGCAACTGCCTGTAACAACAGTTTTATTTCACACAGCTGATTTGAAATAAACAGGCTGAGCCAGTCAAGTCTTTCTTTATGTGAAGTGTTAAGATCAAATATTTGTTTCAAGGCTGTTAGCAAAATTAAATTACATTAAAACAGGTACCTGCTCTAGGACCAGTGATCACCTATGACTGACATAGTGTCATAGGCTCCATGCTATTTTACTATACTATCCTCTAATTTTCTTGGATTAGTCCACTGTATCCATCCAAAACATCTGTACTAAACCACCACGCTATGAATACATGACAATACCCTACAAATATCTAGATAGTGTGAGTCCTTAGTTGAGCATCAATACTATGAAAGTAGTCAAAAAGTTTAGTGGTTCTCAAAGACGTAAGAGGTGGTGAGAGACAAATAAAATGATTGTCAATAGAATATTTAACCCCAACTGTTACAACAAACTTCAATTATGCAGCACCCTTTACTGGTCACAGAAGATACATGATTAAGTAATACAACTCCTTCCACTCTAGTTCTCCAACAGAGCCACTGCACAAGCCGTGTGTTTGGGATAAGAGCTCTGCTATTATCACTTCAGCCAACAGACGACATAAAGCGCAACATGAGGCTTCCTTCTCTAATGATGCACGATGCATTAGCACCCATTTCTAAGGGTTGCACAATCATGAAATTGTGATTCAGCAACCTTTGATATCCCAGGCTTCAGAGTGTGCACTCTACATCTTAATTAGGATGTAATTAAAATGCTTTGTTACAAGGGGAGGCTCTTTTCAGACATGCGACTCGGATGTTGATGATTAAAACATGTGTAGTCAAACGAAACGATGGTAGCTGTGCTGCTACCCACAAAAAACAGATTATAATTTTATTATGACGAATATGCTAAAGAACAAGTACAATGTCTTGTGAAACCGTTTTGGCTGAATTGTGGGTATTTTACAGAGTTTTTATAAAAAATATCATCAAGCATTTGTCTTTAAGAAACAGGATCCATCATAACTTCAACTCTTCAAACCAATTTCTTAAATCTTGTGAATAACGTTTTTTTTTTTTTTTTTTTTTTTCATTTAGCCTTTATTTATCCAGGTAGTCTCATTGAGCCACGAGAACTCATTTTCAAGAGAGACCTGTTTAGGGAGCACATGGTGGGGGTTAAGGGCCTTGCTCATGGGCCCAGAGTGGGGCGAGTGAGGGTGGGGGCAAGTGTGGGTGTTTCACCTACCCCACCCACAATTTTGATGTTGTCGGGGCCGGGGCGTGAACCGGCGATCTTCGGATCACAGGCCCACCTCTCTAACCGCTGCGCCACCACTCCCCACAGCATACATTAGTGTTGGTGTAAAACCAGAGGGTAATAGTTTTATGCTACATGTTTTTGATTTCTCTCAATGCTAAATAATTTGTTTTCCGTCTCATCCCACCAGACTGCCAACTTACACATAAATCTTTAAGGTCTTTTTCTGTTTTCTTCCTGATTAAAGTGGATGTTCTAGTTGAATTTTTGGTTTGAAGTGCTTCTAATTCTTCGCTGTGAAGCTTTGCAGGTCCGCCTTATTCATTTAGTTTCAACAATAAATTGTTTTCTAAAAGATATGCTAATTTAAAACCAAACATCTCCAGCTCTGCATTGTGTTGCTTGATTGATCTTCTCTGAAGATAATTACGGTAGTAGTACTAAATTAAGTCAAACCCTTTTAATACAAAGTCCTTACACTAATGTAGTTTTTATAAACATCAAATTGGATTATTTTTGTGTTAATTGCAATAAAACCCTAAACATCTCTATTCAACGTCAAATAAATGCAACTATAATGGACAAACACTGAAACATTTTATGGCTTATTTACAGCCTAACTAGTTGGTCTTTCCCAAGACATTAGAATAATTTTTAGAATCAGCTGAAAATTTTTTTACATAATGTTATTAATTTCTGGGTTTGCCGACAATTAGATCAAAGGTTTTGGACAGAAATTTAGATTTATTACTATATCTTTGTCTCATTAAATAGTTCGGCAGTTATGAGAAAACCTCTTTCACGTCGGCAGCTGCCTCGGGGATTTATCAGGGATCCTCTACTGCTGCACCTCATCTTAAGAGACCATGTCAAGCCTCTGACTTTGTGTCACTCTGTTCCCTCTTTATTTCCTTCAAAGCACAGCTCTGCTCTCACCGCACTTGTAATTTCAAAATGCTTTGAGTGGTCTGTTGTCACTTTGGTTGCTATTTGCCAATTTGCAAAGCCAGAAGCTCTAAAAAGTTATATTTTTGATCTTAAATAAAAAATTTTAACAAGTGAGTGAACCACACACTCAGTCTTAAATGGCATTTTCAGGTAATTCAACAAATTAAATGATCAAATCTCAAACATATATACAGTATATAGAGGAGAGTCTTAACTGGAGTTAGTAAGAGAGATCATATCTCCCTGTCAAATCCAGAATTGAATTCAAAACTTTACATCTAACCTACTAAGCTCTCAACAACCAAGCTCCATCTTATATTACAGATCTTATTGTTTCATATTTTCCTTAAAGAGCACTTTGCTTTCAGACTGCAGGTTTACTTGCGGCTCCTAGAGTTTCCAAAAGCAGAATGGGAGGAAGATCTTTCAGTTATCAGGCTCCTCTCTTGTGGAACCAACTTGCAGTTTCTGTTCGTGAGGCTGACACATTGTCCAGTTTTAAGACTTTCCGTTTTGATAAATCCTATAGTTAGGGTTGGCTTGTTATACTGCCATAGGCTTAGACTACTGGAGGACAAATTGACCTCATTTCTTAAAATGAATTGTTCAAATTAAATAATTTTCATTTGAAATTATTTCTATCTCAACGTGACTCTCAACCTGCCATTGTGTATTTATTCCTCCTTCCTGTTCCTCTCAAACCCAGCCGGTCGAAGCAGATGGCTGCATGTCATGAGCCTGGTTCTGCTAAAGGTTTCTTCCTCATGAGGGAGTTTTTCCTTTCCACTGTCGCCTTCATGCTTGCTCAAGATGAGAGTTCTGCAATGAAGTTAAACTCAAAGCAGTCTGCTCCTCAGATAAATAGTGTTAACTTATTATTTAAAAAAAAATAAAAATAAAATTCAGTTCAGTGCCCTGAGATGACTTCTGTTGTGACTTGGCGCTATATAAACCAAACTGAATTTAATTGAATTTATATGGTATTTGTTCAGAGTCCATTAGAGTCCAAACTGGAGGATTTCATTTTAGTAAATATCACAAAAAAGTTCAAAGATCAGAAAGTTTGTAGCTCTTTGAGCTCCCATCCAGCAACCTTTACACTCCACTGAATGATGTATCAAAGCAACTTAAAAGCAAAGAGCAGGATGTGAGGTTAAATGACATTTACATGCTCAGGGGTCTCTTCCTCCTCTTCAGCTCTCTGACGCATGACACGCTCTGTATGGTATCGCTGTCTGTTTACCTACAAAAAAGACAATAAAATTTCATACAACAAAAACAAAGACCATCTCAAATGTTTACCCGGCACTAATGCTAACAAAAATCAGACAATGATGGAAAATTAATCAAATGCACAGTTATGATTCACTTCCTGAGTGGAAGCAGAGAAACTAAAAAAAGTGATTCTGAATATTATCTACTATTTTCTACCATTTTGTTTAATCGTTAAATAATTTATCATAAAAACAATTTTTAATGTGTTGCACGTAGGCCTGTCACGATAACAAATTTTGCTGGGCAATTAATTGGCTCGGAAATTATTGCGATGAACAAAAATATTGTTTGAAATTTGACAATAATTAGTCATTATTGTCAAATGGTCGGCCTGTTAGCTTAGCTCGTAGCTTAGCTTCTTAGCTTAGTTGCTTTTAACGATCCAAAAAAATGTGATTTTGTGCGGTTAAAATGGATTTTAAAGAGGCAAGAGAAAGGCGGGAGGGGGGTCAGTGAAGAACACCTGAGTTGAGCTTTTTTCATCCAGTGTCTTCAGTACAAAGAGAAAGACACGAAAAAATGATAAAGCCGATAAATGACAACGAGGTCGATAATTTTCATTTATCACGCGATTAATTGATTTATTGTTTATTGGGACAGGCCTAGTTGCACGTAGTTTTAAAAACCATCTGACTAAATTTACACAATTTAAAAAGTTAAGAATATTCCAAAAATCTAAATTTTCGGCACCATTAAGAATCAAAATGGTCTTTGGCTTTGAAAAAAAGTTCTTATAGCGAGTATTTCTTTCCAGCTCAGGAGGTGCCAAAAGCCTTATGAAGCGCCAATGTGAGACAGAAAAACAAACAATGTAAAGAATCTTGTGTACTTGCAACACAAAAATGGTTCAAATGGCTTCGCACCTCAAACCCCTCACTCCCTGCAGGACGAAAAAAAACCTAAAATGTACACATTTCTGCACAATGGCAATGATTCAAAGCTGAAGATGTATTTTATTTCATTTCTCAGCTCTTTGTAAACCGATTCTGTGTGAGGGTGAGAAATTTCAAACACAGTGCTGCTCTTCATGTTGATATTAGCAGAATACTACACCGAGTCCTCATGCATGAATTTTACATGCGTAATGCACTGTCATTTTGTATCAATCTTTCCACAACAGCCCTTCTGAACGTTTGTAGGATTTAAAAATGCATCTTTGAACACTGCAGTCTGACTCTGCCTGCAGAATGCTACCTTTCAAAGCAAGCCTGCAGACTCTCAGGCAATTTACAATCAGGACCGTTACTCCCCAGAGAAAACATGCCAGCGATGAAATGCTTTAGTCATATTTTCCTCAAAAATCGCAATCTGATCAGGCTGTGAATTCAGTCCAGGGATTTCTAATAAAGCTGCAAACAATGAAATACCCAAACATTAATTCAGTCAGTAATGACGTTTTAAATACGGCATGCAGAGTTTTTGCAAAAACATATTTATACAGACTTCAAAGCACAAAAACAAAGGCAGCAGTGCTGTTGTGTGTGTTGCAGCAGATACTTGGGAGTGCTTACCGCTCTGTTGCTGTAGCCTCCGTCTCCCTGGTTCCCGTCAGTGGAGTCCTCCTTATCGGCCTTCTCCGGTGAACATGACATGCTCTGGCTCTGCATCTGAGGCAGCATCTCCTGCTCTGCAGTACTTTGAGCTCTCTCTTCCTCCTCCCTTTGTTTTTCTTCCCTGCCGTCTGAAAAAGCGCCGCCAGCTTTGCGCTCCTGCTTCGACCTCTGCCGTCTCTTGCGCCTGTTTGACCCAGAGGCTGCAGACTTGTGCGGGGAGGATCGTCCTTCAACAGGTCCCTCCCCCGAGGAACGCGCCGCTGCTGGAGACGGAGTTTGTGAGAGCCTGTGGAGCTCCAGAGTCTGAGGAACGCCGTCTCTTTCTGCTTCATGCGAAAGGGACTGAAGAGCCTTTACCTCCTCCTGCAGAGATTCAATCTGAAGGTGATGATGCTCTAAAGAACACTCTGGCTCAATACTTCGTCTTTCTTCCCGGGCTTCCTTCTCTCCTCTTTGCTCCCTCTTAATCTCTTTTTCCAATTTCTTCCTGAGGCTTTCATTATCAGCGATGACCTTTGTGTTTTCTTGTCTCACTTGTACTAACTCATCTTCCAGCTGTCCCACTTTGTTTTCTGTAAAGTTCAGCTGACCTGTAACTTCAGAAAGCCTGTCAGTCAGGCTCCTCTTCTCACTCAGAGCAACACCCAGCTTCTCCATTAGCTCCTTTGCATCTTTCTCCGTCACATCTTTGTCTTCAATTTTCGCCTCTTCCATTTTGATATCTCTGCTCCCCTCTTCAAGCTCTTGGATCTGTAATTGAAGGCGTGCAATTTTCGCCTCAAACTCGAGCGTCTCCCTCCGTGTCCTCTCCTCCAGCTGTGTCTTTGCCTCGATGAGACAAGTGTACTCCTCCTTCAGCTCTTGATAGTTCACCTCAAAATTCTTCTCTGCGAAAGAGAAAGTCGTCCGCTGCTTTTCAGTTTCCTCACAAAGCTCAGCCACTTGTTGCTGGATTTGATTGTTCTCTGCAGTCAGTGTCTCAATTTTCACATTTCTGGATTCGATCTCTTTCCCCAAAGTGTTATTAGACTCAATCAGTGTCTCCTTTTCCAGTTTGTGCTCCTTTAGCTTCTCCTCCCAATAGTGTTCTTGTTCTTTTGTCTGGTTCTCCAGCACTTCGATTTTCTTCAGCAACAACTGATTTTCATCCCGAGTTTTAGCTCGGTCTTGGGCTCCTTTTCTAAGTTCCTCCAGTTCAACCTGGAGGTCTTGGAGCTGACGCACGAGTTCATCTGCTTTGGGGCTGTGCAACGCAAGCTTCAGCTCTTCTTTAAGCCCCAAAATTTGGTGCAACAGTTCATCTCGCTCCGTGGCAAAAGTTGCCTTCTCCGTTCGTAAGAAATCCAGTTGCTCCGCATAGCTAATCTGCAGCTCGTCCAGAGTCTTCTGATGTCTAACTGCAGCTTCATTAAGAAGGTTCTCCATCTTCAGAAAGTTCTCCCTCTGCAGATCCTCCTTAAGATTCGTCAGTTCTTCCTCATGGCTAAACAGAAGCTGGGTCCTCAGTCGTTCCAGCTCTGCTTCCTGAGACTCTGCCATTCGGTCCAGAACTTCGTCTTTCTCCCTTTCCAGCATTTCCAGCTTGATCTTGTAGTTGGTTATTTCAGATTCATGTTTGGTTTCTGCCTCTTGTGCAGCTTCTTGAGCAGCTGATAGCTCACTCCTAAGGGTGTCGATGGTCTCCTGGAGCTGCTGTAGTTCATCCAGATTACTTTCCTGAGAGAGAAAGCTGGTGCAGACCTGCTCCACTTCTTCCTTGGCAGCGCTGAGGTCTCGAAGGAGATCCTCAACCTTGACCTGCAGCTTCAACTTCTCTTGGATGACTTGGTTCAGCTCGTGTCTAGCTTCATCGTACATTGCTTGCGACTCCTCTAAAGTGTTCTGTAGCTTCTTTATTCTCACAGTAAGCCCTTCCACCTCCCCAGTGCTGCCACTTGAACTCTGTCGTGTTTTTAGAAGCTCAACCTCAGACTGGTGTTGCTCCATCATTTGCTGCACTCTTGCAGCGTGCTGCAGATTCATCTCCTGTTTCATTTGGACTATCTGCTGACCGTACATCTCGTCCAACTCTGCCCGGAGAAGTTCGAGCTTCCTTGCGGTGTCTTCCTGCATTTTTTGGATGGTGTCACTCTCAGACGCATGGCCCTGGTAACAGCGTTTCTGCAGATCTTCCACTGTGCCCATAAGCTGCATGATTTCATTAGATGACATTCGCTCTTTCTGTCTGGAGGCAGCAAGCTCTCCCTTACAGCTTTCTAACTTCATTTGTTCTTTCTCCAACTGGGATCTACAGCTCTCCGTTTCACCTTTACAACTTACTAATTCAGATTTTGTGCTTTCCAGCTCATCCAGGCATTTTACAAGCTCTGATTCCTTTGCAGCCACTTGCTGCTGGAGATCACGCAGGAGTTTTTCTGAGGTTTCCAGCTCGTTCGTTAACTGGACAAGGGAACTGTCACGTTCTGAAATGACTCGCTCCTTCTCTGCTATAATAAGCTCTTTCTCATCAGTGCAGTGAATAATATTCTCGTCTGTAGTCCTTCCGGCAAGAGCCAGTTCTTCTTGGAGCAGGGTCAATGACCACTCGTGTTCTTTGATTATTGCAGTTTGTTCTGAAATTAACTGATTTTTATCTTTTATTGTTTGAGCAAAAGCCTCCTCTGCTGCTCTCAGCGACTGCTCTCGACTCAAAATAACTTTATCTCGCTCAGCAATCAGCAAGTCCTTTTCATTTATCTTTTGCGTCAACAATTCCTCTGATCTTCTCCCTGACTACAGAAACATTTAGGTTTAGATACACAAAGGTAAACCACATGAATCTAACAGATTTGATTACATGTTGTGAACACACAGGGCTACTTCTTACCATCTCCATCTCGGCAAGTTTTAGTTGGAGCTGGCTGATGTGCTCCAGCTGTCCACCGCTCTTTTTCTGGTGCTGTCCAACCTCGATGTTTATCTCCTCCAGCTGCTGCTGGTAGTGAACAAGCTGCTGTCTTGCCTGCAGGAGATCAGCTGCAGTGCTGCTGTGGCTAGTATTCCTTAGCGTCTCGCCTGCCTGCAGCTGTGATAGAATAAAAAAGGGGAATGCTCTTTTTTTAATTACTAAATCAATGCTGTGCTGTAAAATATATATTTTATGTGTAACCTATGGCAAAAAAAAAAAAAAAATCTAATGAAAAACACAAGATAAATAGAACTAGCACAAAAAAAAGCTTTTCTAACCTGCTGGAACTGAATTTGCAGTTTCTGACTTTGTTCCGTCAGTGCTAAGAACTCTTTCATGATCTCGTCCTTCTCCTCACGAGCCTGCTGAAGGTTGGATGTGAGCTGGGTGATGATGCCATCTCGCTGTTTCAGAGCCACTTCAAAGTCCTGCAGCTTTGAATTAAAAATGAATTTCAGTACAATTACCTCCACAACAAACAGCTTGCTGAGATAGAACTGTGAGAAAAGAGCATTTTTGGGACATTTCGTACAGGGTTAGAAAAGGATTAAAAAAGGTTTAGCTGTGAGAATAAAAATGAAAGGTCCCTGTACGCAGTAGAAGTTACAAATACAAAACAATCCCACACTTATTTTGTCACTGTCCAGTCATGTAAATAAGTACAATGCTGTGCAAAAGTCTTGAGCCCTGTCTCATTCACTAATATTTGGTTTTCAATGTTTCAAACTTTATTGCAACATTTTTCAGTCAAACAATATTTAGCTGATTTCCAATTCAAAATGTATTCATTCATTCAAAATATACCTCACGATTTATATTGTATCTAATCATGACGTACAACAGGACATGTAACCCCATGAAGAATGGCATATCGAAGTAAAGCATTTACCTGCTGTACCGTTTCTGTGCCAAAGTCAGGCCCAATTTCCTCAAGGTCTTGATTCAGCTCCTCCACAGTTTGGGTCCTAGTTGATAGTGCATCCTCCATATCTTGTTCTGTATGCCCCTTTGTGATCTGCTGCAGGGTGTCCACCTCCTCCTGAGCAGGAAAATACAAGTCAGAGCTAACAAAAATTTTACAAGATTCAGATAAGCAATGAAAACAAATCTAATCACCAAAGAACAAAAGACTAGTTTGAGAAGTCCAAAGAAACAGAAAGCAATAAACGTTAATTTGCTTTAAGACAGAAGCTTATAAGTAGATAATGGCTAGAAAATAATTAAAATTGTTAAAAAAAAACAAAAAAAAAACAGAATAGTTGTAGATATGCTGCAGACAGTTGTTTAACAAAGTACATATTGGGAAGCAAAATAACATATTAACAATAAAACTATGATAAAATATTAATAAAGGAGACATTTTGATGTATTATTTCCTAACATGGTCTTTCACCAATTAACAGAATTTAAAGCAGGCCTTATAATAATGCCCAGAGGATGCAAAGTCCAACTATAGTTGAGGGCTTAAAACCTGTTACGTGTTCCTTAAGTTTAGTTTTTGTGGCACAAATTTGAAAAAGACTGTTTTAACCAAAACAGAAATGTTGTGCAAATTACATGAAAAGTGGATGTACTGGTATTTGAATTGTCATTTATTATTTTTTTGTTACTTTCAAGTTCAACAACATCAGAAAAGCGCCAACCTCTGCTTTGCTGAAGGAGCTCTGCAGATTCAAAACAGAAAGGCTGATTGAGTTTATAATATACAGTAGTTGATGTAAAATATTAATACCACAAGGTTTAAAACTTTATCTTCACTGGAAGTAGATTTGAAAATTAAAAAAAGGGGAAATTATGTTCAAACAGCTTTTAAAAGTTTTTGGTTTAAAAAAATCCAATTAAATCTTAAAAAAGAAATTAAGATGAGCAGTTGAAAGTTTTTTTCTTCCATCAAATAAATTATTTTTGTCTAAAATAAATGCATAAATTAAAAGAAACTTCAAATGATCACAGCAAGCTTTCGTTGTCAGATAATTTGCTGTGTTGATTTTTTCCTGCCAAAACTCAGAAAAACATTTAGCACTGAAACAGTTCTATCTTTAGCTTCATACCTAATCTTTGACTTAATTATAGAACTAAAATAATATTTAATGTGCTCCAAATATGTATTTGAGTTCAGTTTCTATCCGTCTCAGCAGTACTGTCGTCTCCATTTGTAATAAATTTAAGGAAAACAAGTTCTTTTGTAACATTTTGTCACTGCCCTCCTCATTCTGTCTGCTCTCCTGCAGCTTTCACAGATAATTTACACTTCTACAATGTCAAAAAGCACCGTTCTGTCCCAAACTTTTAGGTCATTTTAACACTGGTCGTTTTATAAAAGGCAATAACACTGTCTTTTCCACACAGAACAGATTTTTGAATAAATATGAAAGCATACAGTTGTGTAAGACCAGCCTAAAACAGATGTGGTTAGTGGAAGTTATGCAGAAGAACTACCGGTAATCAGCCAGTATGTTTGTTAGCAAAGCAGAGTCAGGAGAGCTGCTGGATTAGATTACTGTACCCAGATAAACTCCTTTGAAGACATCATTAGGCTTTCTGTCATCTCATCATGGCACCCATTAACCTGTTAATTCACAACGTTCTGAGTAAAAAACAAATAACTGGGAAGTGCCAGAGAAATAAATGACCTTGAAGCATCTTTGTGCACCAAAAAGTGAGTCCGGTTGGTGAAATTTATGATTTTCTCTTACTAAAACACTAAAACTACAAGCTATATATATGTGTTAATATTTCACTGATGAATAGGTTTAATTCAATCTGTACAGAGAAAAGAAACTGTCAGTTATTACATTTTACTTTTTCTTTTCTTTTTTGTACTAAAATTTAAGCCTATTTATGGCCATAAATCTCCAATAACACTGGTACCCAAGTAGTCGTATAGATTGATTCTATAATAAACAGAGTAAAAAAAAAAGACAACAACAGGAAGTTTACTTCACAAAAAGACCATTTTGATTTTGAGATGTGTTGACTCACCTCTGAGGAACAATCTTCAGCCGTGGTGGAAACTTCGCTGTCTGGCTGCAACACAAAAATAAGAAATGACTATTACTACAAAGATAACTGACCGTATGAATCAGTTTTTAAACTTATAAACATTAGATAAATATTTATGGCAAATTAGGTTATTTTAGTATTTACAAGCTAGCAAAGGTCAGCATGATGGTCACAGGTCAAGTGTTGCTGTTCAGCATTTTGTTTTTTTATGCTACTAGTGCTTAGTGTATTTTTAGTTAATATTACTTATTACATTAACTTATTACTGCTTTTCTTTTACATTGTAATACTTGAGTTCGATGTAACTGGGATCTGTGTACACAATGTTGTTCCACCACATGTACCACATGTGGTGTGTATGACAAATAAAAAACCTTGAATCCTTGAATGATGCTGATGCTTTTACAAGTGCACAAGCTACATAGTATATTTGCGTACAGTATATTTGTAAATTATTTGTCTCACTCACCAAAGTTCATGCTCAATAATCCAGGTAATAATCCAACAATGTTCAGTCAGGTCATCTGGACGGTTTCTTTTTTTTTTTTTTGCTGAGACGTTTCATCCTTTATCCAAAGGACTTCTTCAAACTGAGGAGTCACCAACAAACTGAGTCCCACCACAAACAGCACACCCATAGTGAAAAAAAAACAACCCCGGAGGTCAACGTATCACCAGCAAACATCCCCCCCCCCCCCCCACCCTATGGGAATGTGCTGTTTGTGGTGGGACTCATTTTGTTGGTGGCTCCTCAGATTGAAGATGTCCTTCGGATGAAGGATGAAATGTATCAGAAAAAAAAGAAACCGTCCAGATGACCTGACTGAACATTAATTGTCTCACTGTTTTCTGGACATATTATTTGCCTGGAGTGAAAGTTGAAGAATTTTGTGCCTTCTGGATCATACACGCAGCCTTTTGGGACACTGTGTGAAAACAGCTTAAGAGACATAACTGACGTTAAGTAGGGATGCATGATATTATCGGAATGGTATCGGCCAATATTAGCAATAAAGATAAATATTGGGCATCGGCCATTCCATCAGAATCACTCACCGATATGAAAGGTGCTGTTTTTTGTACGACAACCCAGTGACAAGGATGCCTGAAACGCCAGCACGTTATGACATCACGTGTGCCGTTGAGTTTAGATTTGTGAAAATTTACAAATTTGCACTGTTCCGAGTGTTGTCATTGTGGTAGAGAGAGTAAATGCCATGAATAAGTTTGACATTAAACATAATCCAAGTTGAAGTGTTACATCATTTTCAGCCCCCTTTTTGGCATCTGCATTTGGTGGCAGGCCAAATTGACAGACCATGCAGAATAATGTAGTATTTTAATTCTACAGCAGAAAAAGATATTTTGTCTCTGTAAGTAGGTCTAGGGAAATAAATAAATAAATAAATAAAAATCTGTATTGATATCGGTTATCGGCCAAATACGTTTTAACATATCAAATATCGGCCAAAAATCCAATATCGTGCATCTCTAACGTTAAGTATTTTTGATTAATTGTTTTAATTTTTAAAAACTCTGATGCTGTTGTGTTTCTCGTCAAGCAGCATCACCGTAGGCTGAGGCCTCGTGACAAATTTAATCTGAATAAACGACAAAGTTTAGCAAGACGAATATTGAAACAAAAGGAATTGTACCGTCACCTTCAAACAAATCATAACAAACCATTCTGTATGGTTTAGCGACTTAAAGCAAGTAAGTTTGTTTGGTTAGAGATGCTCAGCAGCTTCCATTCATTGAGCAGTAAATTACTGTTTGTCCCCAAGTGCTTCATAACGGAGTGGACATCGGGGCCTCTCAAGGTAATAAAATAAAAAATAAAAATGTTATGTACCAGGAAACATAATGATACATTCAGCCAACCTTAAGTCTTCTGAAATGCTTTGCAAGGCCGTAGAAACTGGTCACACAGACCGACACATCCAAACCTGTTTAAAAGCAATTGTCTGTCTCCATGACAACCAGGTAATTTTTTTTTTGTTGTTGATGCGAGTCCATGATGGGTTCAGGGAAAAAGAGCGGCAGCACATGGTCATGCAAAAGAGATTGAGGCGATGGGACAAAATGTACAAGAGCCCTCAGGTCTGCATATAAAAAAAAAAAACAGTTTTATACTGAATTTCTTCTAAAATAATGCAAGTGGATGAAATGATTTTTGTTAGAAATCAATAAAATAAAACTAAATGGCATCTTTTCTACAAATAAACCATAAAAATGTTTTGCAGATGGACAGACGTTTGTATTGTATGTTTATGTTCTTGTTTTTATTTGAGAAAACATCAGGGCTTCTAACAGATATGCATTTGTAATAAAGTTAGATGTAACATAAGAAAAGTTTGTTTTTTTAAATAGGATTTTAGCTTTTCCTGGTTGTGCTTTATTCTGTCCTTATCTGCGTACTTTCTAGGCTGCATACGGTTTCTTTTGATACGAAAACTTGTTATTAATTTCTAATACTCAGACCAGTTACTTATAATGGGTATCAAGCATTGACCAAAACACAACTGCTTGGTCCCATCTCGTCATAAGATGATCTTAGTTTAAAACTCTGTTATGAAAGGCAGTGGGCAATACGCATTCCTTTAAGGAATATCAAATATTGGATTACTTCATGACGTTTGTTGCAGCAGTTCACGCACATTGTTGACGCTCAACATGGGAGACTTGTTCAAATACAACTTTTGTAAAGAGAAAATTTTAGTGTTTGTTGCCCATTTTCAAAATATGGTCAAAATCTCTCATTCATTTAAGGAAATTGAACTGTAGTGTTCAATAAATAGTGTGCAGCAGTGTCATAATAATATTTGGCCCTGATAAGGCTAATAAAGAAAATGTGAGTAATGTACGAGTCAAATGTGTTTACCTCGATCTTATAAGTCTGGTTATGCCTGACAGTTTCTCCGCTCTTCAGCGTCTTGGTGAAGGTAAACTCTGTGGTGGGCGGTTCTCCGTTTCCTCCTTGTGATTCATCTTGTCCTCCACCTGAGACCTCCTCTCCTCCCACAGACTGAGGCGGCTCGACCTCCACTCTTTCCTGCGAATCGCCCTCAGAGTCCTCAGTCGGCTTCTTTTTCTTCTTCTTTTTCTGTTTCTTCTGGGAGTCCGCATAAGCTTTTCTCTGGCGGTACTCAGCAAGCTGGAGAGAGAAGATGTTGAACAGGCATTGTTACAGCTAAGCCTAAAAGAACACACTTTCTGCAAATAAAAGTGACCGTTTAAAAGATCTAACAGGAGCAGTCAGTCCGTTAACTTCTGGTTTTCCAACTGCAGAACCCATTCACATATTTTTGTGTGTGTGACCCATTAGTCAAGATTCATCTGCTTCAAGCCTTATGCAGGGATCCCTCTTAAAATTGCTACCAAAGAAGAAACAAACTGATACTTACTCTGAAATGACACAGCTTAGTGATAGTCAAGCGAAACATTTTATGCCCCAAATAGGAGTTGTGCCCGTTAGGAATGAGTCGTCCCTCCCTGTAGCCATAAGACCCAACACCTGCTTCTTACTGTGACAGGTGCTAATCCTGCCTAAAGGGATTGCTTTTCAATTTACAGTGTGTCTATTAACTGTTAAAACAGACGGTCATGCTTTTTTAAATGGCAGATTTTTAAGATTCGGCGATTCAATTTGAACATGTGTGAAAAGTTGACAACATCTACTTCGGTCGGTTCAGTTAAATGAGCTGCTTTCGCTTCAGATTTGGCTTCTTTTTACTCCATCCAATAGCACTGTGCTGTGATTAGTGGGTTGATTGATGGATTAATGGACTAATCAATTCAAACTATTTTTGCCTTCTTTTATAGATGTTCAAACTGGCCACACCTTAGCATAAGATGATTTAAAAGGTAAACACATCAGCAAAGTGTTGTTGCACTTGACATCATGCTTCTTTTTCAGTGCAATAATGAGAGCCCCCAAATTTGTGCTCACGATTAAAAGAAAAACTATGCATTTACTTGTGAAAATAATAAGGCTTAATTTTTATACATCAGAGCTTTACACATTTTATTTATTGGGTATAAAATGTTAATTTGAAAGGAACATGTGGATGTTTTTACACTTCGAACTGAATTCTTAACAAGCCGTCAGTAAAAGCAGCCTAAGTAAGAATGAGCCAAACCACAACCAATCACCATTTTTGTTTTTTTCATAATCTAGCAGATCAATGTGTATGATGCATTCTTTGTACTGACTATTTCTGTTTCCGCACCGCTTTAGACTCAAGCTTTTTTTTTGTTTGTTTTTACAAGCTACTTTCTACTTGATCATCATCCTGGAAACGATCATACTAATTCATCAGCCTGTAAGGTTAGTACACCTGGCACCCATTATACCTGGACATCAACAAATTAGTAGGAGAGTCACCTGAGTGGCGCTGACAGAAGGGCCACAGGTGGCTGCATGGACCGTCTGCTGCAGACCGTTTTTAGATATGCTGTTGCCAAGGATACCATACTAATGCCCATCTCCTGTCTGCTAAATGTCCCTGTACCGTATGACAGACATCCAAGATGACTGCGCACCTTAACAGACAGGTGTACCACAAGTGCTTTTGTGTGTTTCTTCAAGGACCAGATGGTTAAATGTAGCTAAATCCAATTAAAATTGACCGCGTCAACAGATGATTCGGAAAAACATTCTACCTTATGGTAATTTAATTTAGATTTTGTTTACCTTTTCAGGTCTTGGAGGAGTTTAAGGCTATTTTAAGCCACAAGAATTGCTACAGTCTAAAGTGATTTATCTGTCTTTCTGTAGCAAGTGACTATAATCAGAGCAAAAGGGTAGCTAATGACACTTTAAACCTCGTCCAGGTTCAATAAAATGTTTTGCAATATGCAGTGGTGGGCACAGATAACCAAAAAGTTAGCTTCGATAACCCATACTCCGCTAATTAAACAATTAGTTTCGCTAAAGCTAAACGGGTAAAAAAAAATAAAAATAATATTGCAGAAGCCAACGCTGAACTGCTAACCGCTTAGACGACTGCCACTCAATTTGCGTCGCACGTCTTCGTCTCCTTCCAGTTTAATGTCTTGTCACATGTACACGTAGTAAGTCAACAGCGTGCCAGACAGACTTTGAAACATGCCCACAACGGACAGGAACAAGTTTGGGAATTTTGTTGGACTTAAAGTTGGTAAAACCTAACTTAGTGGAAGCTAATTCTTCTAAACATATCCAAAGTTAGTAGAAACGCTAATCCACTAAACGAAAAATTTGTTCCGCTATTAGCGAATGTGCAAAACTGCACCCTCCATTGGCAATATGTTTCTCATTCACTCCTTCACGTTTACATCCAAATAGGGTTTCCAATAAAATCAATCTTTATAGATAACAAAATATAATAATATTGGGATGTAGAAGGATGGGCATTTCTTCCTGTACGCCCCACAGTAAGGGACACAAGCTTACAAACACAATCCTAAAACCAAATTCAGGTATTCTTTGTGTACCGTTGCACAAACATGCAATCACCTAGAGAATTGAACAGGAACAAAGGAGATATCATGCAGAAGAGAGCACAATTACTGGCTGCATTGCATCCACTAAATTGATTCTTTTTTCAGAAACATTGAACACATGAGGAACAAATCCAGCACCATCACCATTTCACTTTCTGAAATGTTCTCAAGTTGTGTGACAAAGTTTTGAAACAATCTCAGAACTGGACCTTTCCAACAAATGACAGTCTGACCCCATGGTCAGGTGAGACTCCTCTGGTTATTCTGTGAAATGTCTTTGCATCTCGTGAATATATACACTCACCTGCTATTTGATAGATACACCTGTTAACACAAATATCTAATCAGCCAAACATACAGCAGCAACACAATCTGTTTAGGAATCTGAACATGGTGAAAATGACTTGTTGAAAACAGAGTATCGAAAGAAAGAAAGAGAGTATTTAAAACTTGGAAAATGGCATGGTTAGCGCTTGACAGGCTGAGGATTTCAGAAACTGCTGATCTATTAGTATTTTTACTTTCAGCCATCCCTAGGGTTCACAGAAAATGGTCTACAAAGCAGCTCTGAGAATATGACCAGTGTCAGATTACTTTCACAACCTGGCAAACACAAGTCATACACCAACTTAAATTACCAAAACATTTATGCAGTCTTTGGTGCAACAGTAAAAATAAAAATAAAAATTAAAAGCTGTCACGACAAAGCAGAGGAGGTGGTCACGTTCCCACCTACAATTCAAAAGCTCAGAAGCTCTTCATCTGAGCCTCCGCACCTCCTCACATGACTCCAGCTTTGTCCAAACATATCTGTATGTCAAGAGGAGCCTCTTACTACATCTCAAACCACAGAAAGAAAAAGAAGTACTAGTGACAATCTTACAGGACAGGCATTTTACCAGCCACAATGGCAACAGTCATAACCTTTTATTTTGACGCAGAATCAGAGTAACACATGAGCAGCAGCGGGCCTGCTAGGAGGAATCACCCAGAGTTTTGCCTTTTGCTGAGCTGCTTATCATTGCAAGCTGCCCTATTTGGCAGGGCAGAGTGGGCCATTGGCTGAGCATATGGAGAAGTGAAGCCTGCGTAGCTGCATCACCATCTGGGCAAACAGAAACTACGTAGGTGTATCACCATCTGCTGTCTGATAGCATCTACACACGCATTTGTGCAGGGTTGTTTGCATATTGGCCTCCAATAGTGGCTGATTACCACCATGAAAAAAATTAATCAAATGTGCTCTGATCCTTTTTGGAAGATGCGATCCTCCAACTTAACCCAGATAATAGCTGTCTAGCTTGAGATTGCATACATTGATGTATTGATTACCTAAAATAGCACTCATGCTCGTTGCATTATTGATGAAGCCTGAAGAGCCTTAAAAAAGGCTTCAGATTACAAAGCATTCAGTTTGTTGAGTTAGTCAAAGAAATGCATTTCACGGTGGTAATTTTATATGAAAATACATTTTGTATGTACCAACTACAGCTATTGGTTAACATACCAACCAACAATGTTTATATTCAAATGATAATTTTAGGCAAACAAAATTAGATTTCAAACTAAAAAAGAAACCAAGAAAGGGAGGTTTCGAGTTTAAAAAGGTATTGCATCTTGTAATAACATTAAATTCAATCTATGGTGCTCTTTGTCTTAACGTATTCTTGGGGCATACACTGCAAAAAAAGACCCTGAGCATTACAGACAGGAATAGATTCTTGCAGTGCAAAATCCTCACATCATCTGCTGATGAGAGCATCAGCAGCGTTTTCTTAATAAACACCCAAGGGTCTAATAATCTTCTTTGCACACGTTCTAACAGCGAAGGCAACAACAAAAGCTACCACTACCACACCTGGCTCCCCACCAAGTCAGCAGGTAACTTATGGCTACCAAAACTAATAGAGAAGAGAAATACTGACATTACTTTGGTCCTTTCCGTGTCCATTTTAGAGTAATTTCAATTGTTTGATGTGTGAGGAGCTGCTCTGTAGGTCACGTTAAGGAAATTCAAAAAACATGCTCTCCACAGACACTTTAAATTAATTTCTTCTATATGGGTTCAAAATAAAATGTCCTCAAATTATTCCAAAACTCTACTAAACAACAGCTTTGATAAGTTATTTAACACAGTGTAAACTAGTTAAAAAATGAACCCTCATTTTGCCAAGTAATAATAAATCTCAGTTTCTGCTCTCAAGCTGCACAGTATAATAAAAAATATTGATATTGGAATATCAGTTTGCTCAATGTTAACACAAAAAGGATCACACACACACACACAAAAAAAATCTGACAAACTGAATGCAAAAATACGTATAAATCTGGTTATCACATGCACCCCAACGCCATTATATTTTTCACAGCTGGCTCACAGTGTTGTGAACATTATAATGACAGAATATGAGCATTTATTGCAACTAGCCAAGTCAAAATTCACAAAACACTCTTCTAAACAAAAATCAACATGTGTCAATCTAAACGGGTTCTTATGAACAAAAATCTACGCTAAAAACCAAAAAAGCTGCACTTAAACACACCACAAAGACCTGCAGTGTCTTGCAAAAGAAAGCACAACCAGAGGAAAAGAGATAAGAACAGAGAAGTACGGTTCTGCAGAAATTTAGGGAAGAATCAAAGTCATGCACCCAAGTGTGACGGAGGTGTTTAATCCTGCACAAAATCTGCGATCACAGAGACCCTCATTGTCCTAGAAACAGAGCGCAACACAGAAATGTTTTTGAATAAAGCTGATGTTAAAATGAGCCAAACAAGAGATCCATGCAGAGCACCAATCCAGCTTCACCAGCAGAGAAAGAAGGAAAACAAACTCTTCATTAAACTGGCTTGAAACAATAAGTCCTAAATATATTACTTTACTAATTTTATTTCAAACTGAGCTTAGTAGATTAATCTGACTGCATTTTAACTAGCTGAAGAACAGCTTTCTCACGTTTCAAGACTAAAAACAATTTAAATAAGTTATGGAGTTGTCATTCCTGAGCAATGTTCATTCAGGTAATTTTTGTTGACTTTAAAAATACATTGAAAATGAAAATATAGATCTTCATTAATACTTTTATTTTAAAGCAGACTTTACTTAATAAAGTTGGTGTGTTTAATAAAAGGGAGACTAATTGGTTGTTAAATGATAAATACTTTATGTAAAAACTACATTTAAAAAAATAAAGAGTTGATTGAATAAAGAATGATAAATACATGTTTTTATCAAGTTTACCCAGCACATACTTGTTTCCTTGCTGAAATTATGTAATATTTATGTTGACAAAACCACAAATTCAACTCAAACAGAATGTGTTTAGATCTGTTTCTTAAACCTAAAAAGGAAGATTGATTTTTTTTTTACAGTTAAACCCACAGTTTCATGAATGGTATGCTATGAATGCATCACTTTGTTTTCTGTCGTGTGCAAATGTAACATCCATTTAAAACTAATTGCTCCTCTTTCAGTTTTCCTGTAATGTGCTGTTTACCAAAAGACGTGTCGAACGAAAACACTTGTTTGGAAAAAATAAACTCAGTCATCCAAGTTTCGAGACTTGCGCGCTGTCCAGGTTGGTCACCTGCATGGTCAAGGATGCTAATTTTGTGATAGTGCAGCATGCAATAACTACTGCAGCCTGAAAGGAAAACCTTTCAGGGTCAATTAAGCCAATTAATGAGCTGTGTAATCTGTTCCAGATTGTTCACAACACAGAAGAATACACAGCTCCTTCAGCTGAGTGATTAACTATTCAAGTTAAGAAGATCACCTGTCCTCAAAACCTGCAGGAGCACCTGACCGGGATACTGACATTTTAGGCCATCTGAACCCCAACAAAGCCTACTTTATTGCTATTTTACATTTATAATCGTTTTTTTATAGCAAAACTGTTAACTACTGATGTTTGGCCAGATCCAGAATGGAAAAGGGGCCACAACTCACCGTTTCTTTTCCGGTAACAGAAAATCTCACACAAATCTTGAGCGAAGTCTAAATAAATTAAAATCTAAGCAAGAACTGAAACAAATGAATTCATTGTTGACAATAACTTGCTTGTCAAATATGCTCAATTTTGAAGGCAAACATAAAAGGCTACATCTGCTGCTCATGGTTTCAAACAATAGTCGGGCAACATCAGCCCACGATTTTCACTCTGCTTCATGTCTGGTGTGACTCCAAACACTTGTCTGGCGCTGCACAATAGATGACTGACAGTTTACTCTTCACTCCAACATAAACAAAAACCCTGTCGTCACTGCATTTTGCTTCCGTTTTTTTTTTTTTTTTTTTTTTTTTAAGAAAAAGCACACACTCTCATTATTACCACATGAATGAAATATATATTTTGACAAAAGATCGGTCAGTCTCATTTTATATACAAAACTTGCTTAAATATTATTGTCATGATGAGTTTACACAAGCATTGCCTTCAAATTTATCAGCTCAGATTCAGTCCAAACTTGCAAGGTCTCATCTGACTTTTCAAAAATAACCATGCCCTGGATTTATTTACCGCATGTGAGGACATGGTGACAGCCTTGTGTATCCAACAAGCCAACAAGGGGCCTTTATAATCAAAATACCAGTCATACCTAACCCAGGGTCACAATTTTAAGGCCTCTGCGATCTAACTTTAAAAGCAAGAGGACTGAATCCACAATACAATCTGCAATGACAAAAAAGTATTCATGTTATAGGGTTACTCTGCAGCATCAAGATGAGAATATTTTAATGACAGCCCTCTGTTTCCCATCTGTTGTGTAAATGTCATGAGAATCACTCGCTAACAAATCAACTCCGTGCTACAATGACAAAAACTAAAAACTTTGTGGTCACATTGGTTCAAAACTACATAAAATAACAAGGCTGTGGCACAGTTTTGAAACAATTACTTCCATTTTCACTCTGACACACCTATGATGCATGTTGTTTTCAGGGTGTAGTATTATTGTTATCAATATTCTTGTCTATGTAGTAGAGATGTACCCAATAATAAAGCTGATATGAACAGATTTACCTGTCCTACACTGCTCTAAGGAGTGTCAGATTTAGCTGTGCTGGACTTTTATTGACAGAAGTGATGCAGGAGATTAGTTTAGGTGTAGAAATCTACAACATAGTTGCAACAGGAGCTGCTCTGCTGTTTATTCCAGTGACAGTATGGGGAATGTGATAAATTAACAGTTTTACAAACTATTCCATTTTTATTAAAATTAGCTCCTGTACAGATGAGCGTTATCCTGTCATATCTGTCATTGGTCCTTGTTGTCAAAGCCCATGAAACAAGTTTGGCACGTGAAGCAGTGCCTTTTCTAGCTAGTGTGAGGACATGCCTTGTAAATCCTGTTACACCAGCTTGTCTGTCACTTCAGGTGGCTTTCAGAACCTTAAATAACGACGTAAGGCTCGACTTTTTGGTGCTTAAGTTAGCATTGCCTGTATACTCTTACACTGCAGTTCAAGAAATGTAATAAAGCTTTCAGGAGAAATGTCAGAAATGCAGCATGACAAAGGCGTTAGCAGAAATGCTAACCCTCCTCAGCTGTCAGGAGCAGGGCGCATGACAGCTGAGAGGGGTAATGTGGAGGAGACAGGAGGGAGGGGGGCCTAAAACAGCTGACTGACATACCCACAGGGAAAAAAAAAATACAATCTCCCAAAAACAAATGGTTACAACTTTAAACCAGTGGGAGCAATGTTAAAATCAATACCTTAGCTTTGCCGGCCTCGAGCTTCTTTAGCCTCTCCTCGTCTTCCATTCCGGCTGCGTCCGTGGCTGAAACAAGACGGAAACGTCTTCATACGAAATACCTCCGACAAAAATCTCAAAGCTAACAGTCTAATATGTGTCGCACGGCTCGGCTCGAATTCACTAGCTATCTCCTTGATTGTAGTCCGCCGCCATGTTTTCCACGTAAACATGAGACCCAACAGTGATGACGTCAGTAGGTGCATTCAAAGCCACGCCCACTGACCGTTAACTGGCGGCTGCTTCACTTGCTGTCGAAAATATCAAATTTATAGTTTATAATGCAAAATTTTGCAGTTTTTATTATGAATTTAATAATTTTACTTAACACTTTCATTCATAAAAGACTATAAAACAGTGCAATATTTGCTTCACGTGCATTTAAATTATAGGGGGACGCTAAATTATGTTGTTTCTTAATTTGTTGTGACATATTTTAAGCTAGTTCCTGATGTACCGTAAATTGAAACACGGTTTTACTCTTCCAACTCTTCTTTGGGCACATTATTTTGGATAGGCAACATGGACATGCGTTGAGAGTGCAAAAAATCTTGAACTGACTGTATTTTCAATGCATCTGTCAAATATCTCCTTATATTTTTCTTTAGTAGTTACCCTTTCCTACTTCCTTGAACTCACCTAGTTAAAGATTTATAATGTGCCCAAACCACATTTTCCATAAGTAATATAGAAATTTAATGGCTTCCCCCCTACATTTTCAATTTACATTCTCCAATAAAGAAAGCAAATACTCGCCATACGGTTGTCTTTGTCTCTCATCAAAGTTGTAATAGTTACCTTTCTTTAAGCTCATTCAGAAAGCACATCCTAAAATATTTTTTCTCCATAACAATATCCTAGTTTGTTTATTTTTCTACCTCTTTTTTTTCTAGCTTTTTTTTAATTGTTACTGCCACTTAATTCAGATGGAAATTTGGACACTATTTATCAGACTTTCTTCCTTTCTCCACATTTTACAGTTTGGTAAAATGAAAAGATTCAAACTAACAATAAAATAGCAAAATTATAATCTGTATAAAATTTATGTTTACCAAAATTACAACTTCAAATCTAATTAAACAAATTCATGTTTTATGCAAGGAATAAAAACAGTACTTATTAACAGTCAAATCAATACTTAGTTGTAACTTATGGGAGATTAAAAAAAGTATTGAATATAGGACCAGAGTGGCTTCACAAGTTTGTACATTTTACAATCCTGTTCTGTTTTATATTTCTGAAATTCTGTTAAATTAAGCACAAAAAGATTAAAGCTGTATGCAGATTTTTTTAATTATACATTGTGCACTAAAAATGTTTGTCACTTAGGATCAATTGACTGCTTTTTAATGAAATCAAGGTGGAGTTCATTATAAAAAGCTCATATCCTGTTGGCTCATTTAATTTAGAACAATACCTCTATTTATTGGATAACTATTTTATTTGGGTGTAAAACACCAGGTAAATTTAAATGGCAATCAAATGTGCTCCATTGTCAGTGCATGATCGCCTGTTGGTGCCAGTACAACCCTGTAGATTAGAGCTCAATCAGTATGAAATCTAAATGAGCCACATGGCTCTATTCTGATTTTCCCTTATGTAATTTTTATTGGTTTGAGTGTAATAAACATAAATAACAGCGCAGACATAACAAAATCACCTCAGGTATCATTGTACAGTTATGCAAGGTGCCAAATATGACTTTTATTAATTGCATAAACATATTTAAAAGCTATAATCTTGTAAATTTGCCAGTAAAACCTGCCGTCTAAATTCTGTTTAGTTGGTCCAGTTGCTATGGTAACAAGAGGAGAGGTTGCCAAAGCTGTCCCGGCCGAGTTTCCTTTCTAACAATAACTATTCTCATTTCAAAAAGGGTTCAAGCCAATAAATGGCCCCGATGTTTGCCTTTTAGCTACAGTCAGATGTTTTGGTTGTTCGAAAGTGCCACGTTCATCCATAAAGAGGAACAATTTAGGATGATATGGATGATTATAATTGTAGGTTATATGAGAGACCAGCATCAGGTTCAAAGAAGAATGATGAGATTAAGAGAAAGATGCTCAGTGTTCTCACTGTTAAGTGCTAAGTGATTAATATCACTTAAATTGATTGTTCTTAAGAAAAAGAGATCTGTTTGACTTTTATTTGGACTGACTGTGCAATGAGTAATTTATTTATATGCCTCTTAATTACTTTTTACTTTAGTAATAAGGTCATATCTCCTAGGAAAGAATTGAAATACTTAAATATGTTTGCTTTTAACTTAAAAAAGTATTATGCAGCTGGAGCAATGCTTAGAAATTATATGTGAAAATGATGTACTTCTATACAACATTGGTATTTTTTTTATTACTTAACTCCTTCGTTTTGTTTTTAACAACAACATTTGACGAAATAGTAAACTTTAATTCTAAATTTTACACCCAGTTAAAAGATGAAAATCTTTTTGACTTTCATAGCCTAACCCTTTGCTAATACACCAACTGCATACTGAACCTATTTATTCAGCTTTTTAAATCCCAGTTTAACAAACATACCAGTGGCAGCAGCAGCGTGAGCAGGAGAAGATGCTCTCCGTCTTCGGCTGACGGGCGCTGAACAGCTTATGGTCTGGCAGATCTTGAATTCCACCCATCGTCTTTTGGACATTTTTTCCATCAACCAGGGAACACCTACTGTTGGTGCAAGAGCATCTGTAAGAAACTCTACCAGCGTCTGAAAGTTTCGTCAGTTTCTGAATTATTAATCCACACAGGGAGGATATGCATCTCCAGTTACCCAAGCAACTTTGCAGAGAAGTCCACAACAGTTCATGTAAAATTAAAAGCTCAACAGTGTAAACAGTCAGGCAGGAACTAATATATAAATTGACTGAATATTCAGAAAAGCTTAGAATGAAACAAGCAAAATGGATTACCAAATATTTTACACAAAGCTGTAAATATAAGAAGAAACTTAAATATTCCTTGTTAAAAAAAAAAGGTAAATATATGAAACATAAATACCCATTCATCTAAAAGAGCACAATCACCGTTATCAGGGGAAAGACACTAAATTAACATGTTTGTGAGTATTTTCATGTTTCGTTGTTTTATAAATGAATGCCTATTTAGGTTTTTGGTGGTTGAAAAGTAGCGTGGCAAAATATGTGTCCTACAGTATTAAGGTTAGATACTGTTATGTGGTGAATCAAAAGCAGTTATGAACTGATGTAAATTAAGTCCTAATAGTTGCAGTTTTACTTTACAGCAGACTGAACATGTTAAAAATAGATTTATAAGGATTACTTGTACATTAAACAGAAAATTATCAGTTACAAAAATGTTTTGAGCAAGTCTAATCAACTAGAACTATGAGTATAAACAGACATATCCGTGTGTTAATAACAGAGCAAAAACACAGTCGTCCAGCTTAAGTGTGTTCGTGATGTCAACATCAGAGCAGGAAAGTGAAAGTTCTGCATAATGAGGTTTTATATCACTGTGCTGGTAAAATATTCACAAGTGGTGGGACTCATCAGTGATGAGAGGCAACAGGTCAAAAGGTTTTCTTTAATGATAAATGCTCTTTTGTACAAGAACATCACAGCCAGTGGTGTAGTCTACATTTTTGTATTGGGTACACTATAATTAAAAACCAAAGTACACCGGTTAGCACACTGAAATCATTAATTTATTTTGATTTTAAGCATATTTAACATTTCCAAATTTCTCTGATGCTTATATTTGAATAAATGTACAACAAACTTTGTACAACAGCTGGCTTTGTATTAAAAACATGCTAGAGAATTTATATAAATTTATAAAACAGTATCAAAACAAAACAAAAAACAGTATCAAAACAAAACATGTTCAAGTATTAAGTAGTAAGTACAGAACATATCAATGACATGTGCCTAATGATATGTCATGTATCTTTGGGCACTTTTAACTGGTTACTGAAATTCTCAAGCTTTTTTAGTGGGTATATACTCCGTATCACGTAGACTACACCAGTGGATGAAACAAATTGTTGATGCTTGTAAATGTGAGTTCAATACTTAGAATTATTGTACAGCTAAAGGATTCTTATAAAATAACACATTTATAAAGACAAGTATGTTAGACTGGTACAAAAGTTACTGGCGAGATGTGCTGTAGGAGTGACATATAGCTTCAAGGTGGAGGTGGGAGTGCATCAAGGATCAGCTCTGAGCCCCTTCTTGTTTGCCCTGGTGATGGACCGACTAACAGATGAGGTCAGGCAGGAATCTTCGTGGACTATGATGTTTGCAGATGACATTGTGATTTGTGGTGAGAACAGGGAACAGGTGGAAGAGAACTTGGAGAGGTGGAGGTATGCACTTAAAAAAAGAGTAATTAAAGTCAGCCGTAGTAAGACAGAGTACATGTGTGTGAATGAGAGGGAGGCCAGTGGAACAGTGAGGTACAAGGGGCAGAGGTCACAAAGGTGCAGGACTTCAAGTACTTGGGGTCCACTGTCCAGGAACATGGGGAGTGTGGTAAAGAGGTGAAAAGAGAGGATGGAGTGGATGGACAAAAGTTTCAGGAGTGGTTTGCAACAAAAGGGTGGCAGCAAAGGTCAAAAGAAAAGTTTACAAGACGATGGCGAGACCAGCTATGTTGTATGGTCCGGAGACAGACATGGACAAAAAGACAGGAGAAAGAACTGGAAGTGGGAGAAAAGAAGATGTTGAGGTTCTTCTTAGGAGTGACAAGGATGGATAAGATTAGGGATGAGCTCATCAGAGGTACAGCACAGGTTGAACAACTGAGAGATAAAGTTAAAGAGGCCATACTGAGATGGTTTGGACATGTCCAGACTAGATGAGGGATAGTGGGTATACTGGTAGAAGGATAGAAGTTTAGAAATGCAGCTGCCAGGAAAAAGAGAAAAAGACCAGCTGAGATATATGGATGCAGTTGGAGAGGACATGGAGGTAGTTGGAGTGAGGACAGAGAAATGGAGGAGGATGACTCGCTGTGGCAACCCCTGAAGAGGGAAAAGCTGAAAGGAAATTTAAAATTGAAGTGAAATTAAGTGGCAGCATGTTTTATTTTAAATGTAACTCTATTTCAAGTGATAGAGGGCATGTGCTTTATGAAAAATATTAAGTTTCTACAAACAAAATGCAAACACCTCAGACTGACACTCACAAGGTATAAAAGCAGTGTTAAAGTCAGATTTCACAAAAATATTGTCATCAAAATGTTTGACCAAGAACAGCGCGTAAGGCACTGCAATGGAAAAGTGATGTATGGGAACTATATTTAACAAAACCATATGAATCAATTTATTTTGAAGGAAAAAAAATCTAACAAACAAGTGAAGTTGAGAAATTAATGCATTAATCCGGTGTAATTGATTTTTTTCACAGACCATCGATTTACCTTTTGGCTTTGAAAGTGTCTTTAGCCTTTGCTGCTACCTGCTGGTTAAAATAAAATGGCGAGAAACAATTTTACCTCCACAACGATAGATGGCGGTAGCTTCATAGCTATCGGTTTTCTCAAAGGTTAAATCTCGCGAGATTTCCCGCACGTTCATGTTTCAAGCGCTGCGTGTTCAAGGTACGTGCGAGTGACCCAGAACAGGTTAAAGTAATTTGAATTACTGTGCAAAGATTTGTTTAAATATATTTTTTGATAAGAGGGTTAATTAGAAAGTGTTAATAGCTAAAATTATTGTGATGTTAAGTAAAACGCCAAATAAATTTATAGATAAGATGAACTCGTGACATGGCTTTACAAATTGCTGTTACTGTTCCTGTTTCACCTAACTCAAGGTGGGACAACATCATCAGCCACTGTTGAAATTTCAATAGAAAAACAATAATAGAGTAGAAAGTGAATTTCAACATGAATTTGTCAGCAGGTTGAAGCTATGTGAAAGTACAATTTATAATTTCCTACCCATACTATGTTACATGTATTTTAATGGTACAAATTATATATTTTTTAATATTCAATTGAACTTTTGCATACATATGTATCGAGAGTCAGAGTTTCTTTATTGTCATTTGCGCCTCATGTGGTACATGTGGTGGAGCGAAATTATGTACACAGGGTCCCAGTTACACCCAGTTATACAGAGAGATGGTTATATATAGAGAAAATCCAATTTAACAAGCTGCCCACATGTAGATGGATACTTATGCAGTTTGAATTACTTAAATTCATCCATGGTCTGTATTAAAACACCACTTGAATTATCTTAAAGTTAATTAGAAACATAATTAATTCAACCTTTATATAATGTGTATTGTAACAATGAAGGAGGCAATAAAAATAATAATACTTTAATTCTGCCAGGACATAATCCCAAGTATGAATGCAGCTATTCATTACTGTGCACAGTTACAGGAGATTATCAACATTTAACACACTTATGATGTTCCTTCATGGTTCAACATTACCATTATTCATATGGCAACTGTCACTAATCATAACAATTTATATGAGACCAGTTGTACCATATATATATATATATATATATATATATATATATATATATATATATAATTTACGCCACAGTAAATTTAAATTCTTGTCATAACACTTTTTTTTCTTTCTTTCTTAGGTTTGTGACCCTCTTCAGTAAACATGGCAGCAGTTCCTGCAGTGAGGGCTCTCCATGGCCTCCACCAATCATTTGTGTTGCAGCAGAGCTTTAGGCTCGTTTCCCTTCAGCTCACATCAACCTGCCTTTCACGGAGGCTTTGCAGTGCTGCTAATGGACCAAAGCTGCCACAAAACCCAGAGAATGAATCTTTGCTTGAGAACTTAAATCTCATGGGAGTGGATATAAGGACGGCACACCAGCGGCAGCCTGGGGTGTTTCGGAGACTCTTCACAAATGAGAAAGTCCTTGCCCAGTTTCTGAAAGAAAAAGGTGCAAGCTGCAAAGTCATTGCCAGCATTGTGTCTCGCTTTCCTCGCTCCATCACTCGCTCATTAGACCACTTGGAGCAGCGCTGGCAGCTGTGGCGGAACGTCTTCAGCACAGATGCAGAAATCATCAGCATCCTGGAGCGCTCACCTGAATCTTTCTTCCGCTCTAGTGATAATGAGAACCTGCAGAAGAATATAGCTTTTTTGATGTCCTTGAGTTTGAGCTCCAAAGTCTTTCATCGGCTGATGACCAAAGCACCACGGACGTTCTCCAACAGCGTTGCCCTGAACAAGCAGAAAGTAGAGCTTCTGGAAGACATCTGTTTACAGCTTGGTGGGAAAAATCCACAGCAGTTTGCTAAAACTATAATAACTAAAAACATCTATGTTCTCATCATGAGTGATAAAAGAATCCAGTCAAACGTCGACACACTGAAAGACTTTCTTAAGTTGAGCGATTCTGCACTTCTGGATCTTCTTGAAGGCCGGGGAGCATACATCCTGGACCTCTCTAGTGAGTATCTGAAGAGAAATCTTAAAACCTTTGAGCAGAAAATGTTTTTACTTGGGTGTGATGATGATGAAATAAAAAAAATGATAACCAAATACCCAGAGGTTCTTGACTTTGGGCCAACAACACTGAACGCCAAACTTGATTGCCTCCTAAATGGGGGCATAACAATAAAGCAAATCCTGGAGAAGCCTAAAGTTTTGGATTTCAGAGTGCAGATCATTGCTGAGCGACTGGAGCAGCTGCAGACAGTGGGATACGATTTGAAACAAAATGGTATCCACATCCTGGACTCCAGTCAAAAGAGATTTCTTGAAAAGATGAACAAACTTTCTGCTTTTAATAGAAAATAGATTAAACCAAAGACTGTTAATCTTGATTGTTTGTGACTATAAGATTATGTTTCAGGCTCTACGTGCCTTATTTGTTTGTGTAATGACAAACAATGTATGTATGTTGGCAGACTGCAAAATTGTAAGTTAATAGTATATATAAACTTGTCTAACCAATAGTCAAAGCTCTTGAACGTTCAAGTATTTTACAACATAAGGAGGTTAAAAACATCACATCTATAAATTTTAAAAACTGTAGCTAATTTTTTTGTTTACTTTGACTCGAACATCAACCTTAAATGCCAAAATGATTTTGTTACAATGTAAAATGCCCACCTAATGTGTTTATGTATTGGTAAAAGGCATAGGCGTTACATATTCATGAACTGTTTTTGGCTGTTATATGAAAATGTAATTTTGAAATAAAAGCGACATTAAAAAAAGCCTTTAAATTTGACGTTTTCACTTCCATTGTTTTTTTACATACTGGTGTAAAAGCAAAATTTCTTATGATTTATTTGTTTTTAAGCAATAAATATCAAATTGTGTTTTATTGTTCATAAGGGCAAGTTTGTGTGTTTAGAAAACAAAAGTCTTGTGCAAGGATTAAAGGATTCAAGCTTCTTTATTGTCATTCTCATCACATGTGGTACATGAGGTGGAACAAAATTGTGTACACAGGGTCCCAGTTACATCCAATAAAAGTATAAAATGTAAAAGAAAAATAATAAGATCTATGAACTAAGAAAAATGTTAACTACAAATACAATAAGCACTAGTAGCATAAAAACAATACGCCGAACAGCAGCACGAACATGAGTTTGTGTGAGCAAATGAGTACGCATGAACACAGCAACATGAAACAGATCAGCAGCAACATGATGTGATTTTTTTTTTCACAGTGATTATTCTGGTTAGAGATTCATGAGTCTAACAGCCTCAGGGTAGAAGCTGTTACCTGCCTGCCTTGGTTGGACCTGCCTTTTGTGTATAGGACCACAATGGAAATTAGTGTTTTATTATCTTGCATTATCCAAGTATTTATAGTGGATGTACCATGTACACTGTACATATATATGCATTATTTTTATAATGTATTTATTTTTTCATTCAACCTTTAATTAGGTTAATCCCACTGAGCCTCTAGGACTCATTTGCAAGAGAGACCTGATTTCTTAACAAAGAGTGATGACCAATGGAAAACAACAACAATAGACAGTCATAAAATAGGCATACACATTTACTTTAATAAATTACATTTAAAAAAATATATGTGTGTGTGTCCGCCTCTATTTAAAAACAGTATTTCAACTGCACGGTTTCATTGATCATGCGGAACCAATATTTGCTCCGATGTTCAACGTAGGAATGGGCTGGCAGTTGCACAATTGCTACCGCATGACGTTTACTGAACTTTTTTCTAATGAAGGTGTGCAAATTGTGTTTTAATCTTTATTGTATTTTCGGCATTTGTTGCATTTGATGAAACTTTGTGTGTATATAATTTTAATGAGGTTACTACTAGCCATCTGCTAAAAAACGCTTTGTACTGTTAGCTTGTTAGCAGGTTCGATATTTTCAGTTAAACAAGTCATCGCTGTGTGTTATCTGCCTTTTGTGACATCTTAGAAACGAGTAAATTAGCAGACTTGTGTTGAGTCAAGCAAGATATTTATTTTTTTTATATTGAGTAAGCTCTAATGTACCAACTTCATTGTTTTCTTGCAAACTCAATGTTGTTTTGCTTCAGCCCATGAAATGTTAAAAGTACATAAATTATATATAACGACATAACATGTTTAAGCTTTCATTTAAACCAACTTATTTGGACACAGTTAACTTTCAAGTTTTCTTTTGTAGTTTTTTGTAAATTATGTTTTAGAAAATAATAATACGGTACAGACCAAATGACAAATTATCAATAAATATAATGTATTCCTTCCATAGTTGCAAGAATTGAATTCCTCAGTGAGAAATTAAGTTAACTAAAAAGTGTAAGTGAGAGGAAACATTCCCCAAATATATATTTTTAATCTTGAGTAAAATGTTCAAATTAAATGCACTTTCTTAGATTCTCATAAAGCTGTGTATTTTTTGGTTGGTGAGTAAAAATGTTGATTGAAATGTTTCAGAATAAGAATTAGAAGAAAGTCTGAAACCGTATGATGGAAGAAGCAATGGAGAAAACCACAGAAAGAGGGGGAGACGCAGCTGTGAAAGGTGAAGCTGCCATCAAACCAGAGTAAGAAACCTACCATTTGTTACACTATATTTCAGTCACAAAAAAAAAAATAATTGAAAAGTAATGAATTGTAACATGAATAGATTTGGAATAAATACAGTTAAAAGCGCTTCTTTGTTTGAATGCTCCACGTTTTCAGTTTTGATAAAGTTTACACTAAGAACATGCAAAAGCACACATCATCATCTTACAAAAGGATCACATTTGTCCAACTTGAATTTGCAGATTCCTTACCACCAAAGAGAAGTTTCATGGGTTTGTAGACTCGGAGTCTCAGGACTCTAAAGGAGAGAAGACCAGTGATGATAATGTCACACCTGAACAGACATCTGTGGAAGAACCTGAACCTAAAAAACTGAAGTTGGACTCTCAAGAGGGAAAAAATGCAGAGAAAAGAGACAGAAAAAAATTTCGGGGACAGAATAAGTCAAGACCCCACACAAAGCCTACGACCTATGAAGAAAAACGACTGTGTCTGTCAGTCCTTCAGGTATAAAACTAAATATCCAAAAAGACTGCCTGCAGTACTGAATGTAGTGAACCAATTTATTTATTCATATATATATTTTTATCCATGCAGGACAGAGAATGCACCTATGGAGACAAATGCCATTTTCTCCATGACATTGCAGAATACATGGCCTCTAAGCCCGCAGACGTCAGCGAGCGTTGTTACATGTATGACACATTTGGAAAGTGTGAATATGGACTCGCCTGCCGCTTTGCTAAAGCACACATTACACTCGACTTTAAAACTATGGTGAAGGAAGACTTGGTGAAGGCGTATGAAGGCAGGGTTATGGTGAAGAACAGCTTGAGTAAAGACCTGCAGTATCGTCTGCGGAAGCGTTCAGTCGCCTTTAAAAAGTCAGAGGAGTACCTGAAAACACTGTCAAACAACAAAGAGAAAAAGAAACAAGGCAATGGTAAGAGAAGTTGATCTGAAAAATTTACGTTGTGAAAGGTGCTATTACCGTATTTTTCGGACTATAAGGCGCAATATCAATGAATGGGTCCGTTTTCATACATAAGGTGAACCGGTTTATAAGTCACATTAAGTGAAACAACAGACCGATATGCCAAACTTTCTTCAACTCATTCACAAGAACTCAACATCGTTCAGTTGCACCACATAAAATCGGTTCGAGGTCAGTAAGCACAACCGGAATTAATACGTAATCACTGTTGATTTTTGAGAAAATTAAAGGATTTTAAGTGCGCCGTATAATCCGAAAAATACGGTAATTAAAGTCCTTATTAACATACAGTGCCTAATTTACCAGCAAATAAACTCAACATCAACAGTTTGGGCAACAATTTAAATATGAAGCTAAACGGGCTAGTGATTTCATTGTTTAAAAATAATTGTAATAATTTTAGAACTGTAAAAAGAAAATAAATGTATTTATGTTGTCTTCATGGTTCTAAAGTATTTTAGTTTTCTGTCATATTTTGAAGAAAAAAGCTTTTGGATTTTAAATTAAACTTTGAGTCTGATTTCTCCAGGTAATGTATGTGCTGCTGAAGTACCTGCAAACCTTAAAGAAGAAAACAAGCCTATTTCTACTGAAGCACAGGTACAACGTTGTTCAAAACTACAGATTTCTAAGAGAAACATGTTTTTATTTGTACATCAAGTGTTTTTTCTCTGTTGCTAGCTGCACACCAGCCCAGACGAACCTCCTCCTGTGAAGACTGTAGGTCCACTTACTGATGTAGATGTCATCAAACTGCGCCCCTGTGAAAAGAAGCAGGTTTGTATCATTATTATTATTATATTATTTATATATTATTTATTTAGCTCCAAACATGCTAATAATCACCAATTAATCAATACTATTATATATTTAAAAGCTTGATCGCCAGTTTTGTGGTTCCATGTATAAAAGGTGTTTTTTGTGTTTTTCAGGTGGACTTCCAAGACAAGCTCTACCTTGCTCCTTTAACAACAGTAAGTAATAGCAGAAGTTTAGTATCGTATAAAAAGGCATGTTTTGATGAAGTTTTATATTTAGTTCCTTCAGAGAGCCAATAACACAATTGGTGACTAAACCCTGAGCTGTAATTGGGCTTTAGTTCTTATCACGTGTCTTTTTTACATCTCTTCAGTGTGGAAACCTGCCTTTCCGTCGCGTGTGTAAACGCTTCGGTGTAGACATCACCTGTGGGGAGATGGCCATGTGCACAAACCTGCTGCAGGGGCATCAGTCGGAGTGGGCTCTTCTCAAAAGACATGAAAGTGAAGATGTTTTTGGCGTGCAGGTGATGATATTGGTTATTAATCAGATTATTTAGAATTACCAATTAGATTATTTTTGTAGGAGAGTTAGGCTGGTGTATATTTTAAAGGCTGAATTGTTCCTCCAGGTCGAAGGTTGTTTCCCCGACACCATGACGAGGTGTGCAGAGCTCATCAACAGCTACACTGAAGTGGATTTTGTGGACATCAACTCTGGATGCCCCATTGATCTTGTTTACAAAAAGGTCTCATCCCGTAGTTTGTACATCTTTGCTATCGAGTTTTGTAGCCTATTGGAGTAATTTTTTTTCTTAATGTAATGCAACAATTACTCATTAATTCATTTAATAGCTAATTTTGGTTGTAAGATTTGCGTTTTTTTTAAAGCTCAGAATTTGCATCAGCTTTGTTCGTCAAGCTTAATGGGAAGTTTAGGATCTTGAAAGGGTGAAGTTAAACACAATGTAATTGCTTTTTTACAGTTCATTTGACAAAATGTATTTGCAGCTAAACAAAGAAAGCCACTTAAGATGAACTAATTGTACGATAAGTGCAGCTAGATGTAACTTGCATTTTATGATGCAGCATCATGAGCCTGGACACCAGCTGACCGGAACTACTAAAGGTCTGTTTAAAAAGCTTTGACAGATGGTTTTTATTTGCTTTCCATCATCAGGGGGGAGGCTGTGGCTTGATGACGCGGACCAGAAAATTTGAACAGATAGTCAATGGGATGAATTACGTAAGTATGACTTTTCCATATTGGAAATGTTTTTTAGTGTGAAGGCTGCCTCATGGTGTTGACCGAGAAGTTTCAAGCTGTTGGGAAGAAATGAACAAGTAGGGATTTAAAACTCCCTGTATGATTAAAATTGTGTGGTTTTTTTTTTTTTTTTTTTTTTTTTTGCATGCCATGGGTTGTAAAAACTATATATATAGTCACATGTAGGCCTGTCCCAATAAACAATAAATCAGTTAATTGCATGATAAATGAAAATTATCGACCTCATTTTCATTTATCGTCTTTATCATTTCTTCGTGTCTCTCTTTCTACTGAAGACACTGGATGACAGAAAGCTCACCTCCGGTGCTCTTCACTGACCCCTCCTTTTCTCTGTTCTCTTTAAAATCTGTTTTAACTGTCCAAAATCTCGTTTTTTGGATCGTTAAAAGCAGCTAAGCTGAGAAGCTAAGCTACGAGCTAAACTAACAGGATGACCTCGGGGGGGTGGGGGGGAACCTCCGTCTTGTCGAAGCTCCTAAATTCATGGTTGAAACCCGTGCCTTCGTGTAAAATGTTGTTTTTCTCTGCAAAGAAGCTGGGAACTTGTTTACTGATTTTTTTAAATTAAAAGCTTTGTGTGGAAAATGCTATGCTAAAGAGCTCAAACCACACTGAGCGTTCGCCATTTTGAAAACCAAAGAGAGACGGCCCATGTCACGTCGTGGGGCCTCCCTCCCATTTTTTGTTGAGACACGCTGCTCGCTCCCTTACTATTCATCCTTAGGTTCAGTCTTATATTGCCATCTGGTGGTAAAAAAAAGATACTACTGTACATGCAAAACAAATGAACAAACATTTCTCCTTAAATTTGACAATAATTACTAAATATTGTCAAATATCAAACAATATTATCGCTTATCGCAATAATTTCTGAGACAATTAGTTGCCCAGCAAAATTTGTTATTGTGACAGGCCTAGTCACATGAAAACTTGTTTTTTTTTTTACCATGAAGGTCCTTGATGTCCCTTTAACAATCAAGATCCGAACTGGGGTTCAGGAGAAGTCCAACATAGCGCACAAACTCATCCCAGAAATGAAGAATTGGGGCGTCTCCATGATCACTGTGAGTGTTTTATTATTTAAAAGCTCTGATAAGAAAGGCAGCTTCAGAGGAGTGTGATAATTTATCTATAAAGTGCTTTCACAGGCACATTTTTCAGGCATTCATGAGATTATGTGTTACGTTCAGACATACTGTAAAAATGTGTCACACTGCTGTCGTTTCCTTCCAGTTGCATGGCAGATCCAGGGAGCAGCGCTACACAAAGTTAGCTGACTGGGATTATATAAACACGTGCTCCAAGCTGGCGAGCCCCGTCCCATTGTTTGGTATGAAGATTTGTAGGCCTAAGCAGCTGTGTTTCTTTAAATGTGATGAAGTAAGACGGCTTGTTTGTCTTGTTCCAGGTAATGGAGACATTCTGTCGTATGAAGATGCCATAAAAGCGAGAGAGACCGGTGTTTCTGGGATCATGATTGCAAGGTTGGAAATGTTTACACACCTTGAAAACATCAGACATTTCCGATTGTTTGGTTTAATGCGCTTTACAGAACCACTCTTGGCCATGCTTGTGTTATTTTGTAAACATTTTGTTTGATTTTATATTTTCTCATAAGTTACATTAAAAAGAAAAAAAAGAATACATTTAATCTAACAGAACATTCAGTAATAATTTGACTGCATTTAAGTACAAGTCTTTTGAGGGGGTTCATTTGAATTTCTTTTCACCCTGATATTTTTTTTTATGGCTGAAGATCAAAATTGGAAGCAGATATTGTATTTTATTAAATATACATTCAGTAAGAAGTGTGTGGACTTTTTAATTTTATTTATTTATTTAAGTTTATTCAGTTTTTTCACACACACAAAAAGAATCATAATACATAACTGCAAGATTACAGTGCGTGAATCAGGTCTCCAAAAAGCTATTTAAAGCTTCTAGACTGAGCCTGGGTTAGGGGTTGAACAACTACATGATTTTTAAACTCGACATTAACATAATAAAACTCGAGTACTTGATGACATCATAGGATCTAAAGATAGAAAAATAAATTAATTAATAAAACCGCAAAAACAATGTCATTATTTACAAAAAAAGACCAACAAAACATTGGGAGCGTATATTATGCTCCTACCGTTTATCATACTGCAAATAAGTCACAGGAAAAACAAAACTATTAGTTATTATTATTAAGCTGTAAAAGTAAAAGAAACATGCGGCACGCCAAAAACAAAACTAAAAACAGTGGGGCGGACAACCACCTCGCACCACCGCCAGCTGTGGTGCGCATTAGGTTTAGTTTTAGAGATTAATATGTTTATAGGTTTTTTATAGGTTTAGAGATTAATATTTTGTGCTTTTTGTTTGAAACAAGGTCAGAGGAAGCTGGTTCTGGTTCAGTCATTGCACCCGGTGTTACACCATATTCTGTGACCTGCAACAGTGCATGCAACACCGCCCCCTACGGTCACAATATACGGTGGTCACAGAATATGGTGTAACACCGGTTGGCAATGAGCTCCAAACAGTCAGGAAGTTGATTCATTTTCTGTTTCCTTACGGTAGTTGAACCGGAAGATTCATCTTTAGTGAAATATTTTCATACTGTTGATGCATTTCTGTTTGCCAAGACTGGGCCTGCTCCGCTCCATCTGTTTGCTCGGAGGAATCCATTTTGTAACCCGCGCCTGGTGCGGATCACGTGACGCAATGACGTAACAGCGACGTAATGACGTCACCACGAATGCTCGACGTGAAATTGAAAAACTCGATAGATGTCCTAGGAATTGATGTGTAGATTACTCAAGTAGTCTGTTAAAGCCCTAGCCTGGGCACATATAATTACATACAATTTATAACATATTAATAATAACATCACAATAAAAACATCATACATTCCTCATACAAAGTCCACATACAATACAGATTATGTTACATCTGATCAATCAGTTCCAGGTCCTACAAGTGATCTCAATTATATAAACAGAGCAATTTGGTCTTTAACAGTTTTTTGAAGGTGGAAATGAATTTCAACTTTTTTAAACTCTCATCTAGCTATAATGAGATTTTTGCCCTTACCCATATTTATGTTAATGAAAAGTGAATCATACTTGATTTTTTTCTAAATGTCAATGTAGCATTTTATCTGCATTATGTAATTATTACTTTTCCTTTTGACTAAATCACTTTTTTGATTTTCTTACACAGACATTATAAGAACCCTTAAATGTGTTTTTTAATGGATAAGCCAGGCCTTTATGTGTAATGTGTTTTGCCCTCTTCAGAGGTGCTCTCATCAAACCTTGGATCTTCACCGAGATAAAGGAGAGCAGACACTGGGACATCTCGTCCGGCGAGCGACTGGAAATCCTCAAAGATTTCACCAACTTCGGCTTGGAGCACTGGGGCTCTGACACTCGAGGTGTGGAGAAAACTCGCAACTTCATGTTGGAGTGGCTCTCCTTCATGTGCAGGTCTGAACAGGAAATAGTTTTATTTTCTTTAAAGTAGCAATATTTGTTTGACTTGTTTATATATTAATAAAAGCTACATGATGAACGTGTTAGAGCTTTTTTTTTGGTCTCTCCTAGGTATATTCCTGTGGGCCTGTTGGAACGAGTGCCTCAGAAGATTAATGAAAGACCTCCGTACTACATGGGCAGGAACTACTTGGAGACACTAATGGCCAGTCAGAATGTTGGAGACTGGATCAAGATCAGGTGAGCTAAAAACCATGTTCACAAGAAATTCAGCTAAATAAATATAATTTATTTTACAATAATGTCATCTCTATCTTTCTTTCAGTGAAATGCTGCTTGGGCCTGTACCGAAAAATTTCAACTTTTTACCTAAACATAAGGCAAACGCCTATAAGTGATTTTATTTATTTTATTTTATTTGTGTGTGAGAGACTTCTGAGAAGAATCCAGGCCTGAATCCTTGTGTCTGCTTTTTTTTATGTCTAAAGAAAGCAAGATCAAATAAGAATTTTTGTTTTATAAATGACAAGAGATGAAAAAAAATCTGTTTTTGTTGCAGTGAACTGCTGGGGTGTTTAACTTGAAATATTATGCTAAAAACTGATGCGCCACATAATGTGTCATGTTTTTATTCAGCTAATGTAATGAAATTAACATATTACTTAAATGGTTAGGTTTGGATTGAGTTTTAAGTAAAACTACTTTATTAGAATTTAAAATAACACACCTGGAGGGAACAAAAAGTTTTGTGTTGAATTTATTGTATATAAGTATATTAAACAAATTGTCACATCAAATCAATACAGACATTAAGTGTATGATGTACTGGTTTGTGCAGTATCAGCAGTACAGCTCTGGACTGGTTCAGATCCTGCTTAGCCGAGCATACTTTCTGTCTGCCTTGGTGACCACGTGCCCTCGTCTGCTCCTCTTTTGTGTGGGGTCCCGCAGGGCTCAGTTGTAGGCCCCCTCCTCTTCACGCTGTACCTGTTCCCTTTTGGCTCTATTTCTTAGAAAACATGGGATCTCTTTTCATTGTTACGTGAATGATACCCTCTAAAGAAAAGGGGTCTCCTCTGGGCCCTCTGTTTTCATGTCTGGAGGACATAAAAGCCTGGATGGCTGTAAATTTTTTAAAGTTTAATGAAAACGACTGCAGTGATAGTTTTTGGAAGCTCTACTGAGACCCCCATATCATTGTTGGTTTCTTGGCCCAGTATATAAGGCCAACTATTACAAACCTAAGTTGATGCTGGACTAAAGTTAGAAAATCACATCAGAGCAGTTGTTAATCTAGTTTTTTCCATTTGAGGCGCTGGCTAAAGTATAGCTGATTCTTTCTTGGCAGCATTTCGAAACGGTACACGCCTTTGTGACCACTTGGCTGGATTACTGTAAAACACTTTATAAAGGAATCAGTGATTCATCTAATCTTCAGAGGGTACAGAATTCTGCTGCACAGCTTTTAACTGGCACATAAAATCTGACTACATTTCCCCTATTTTAGCCTCCCTGCATATACATTATGCTCATCAGGCTGGGAAATGTTACAAAACCACCTCTAAAGAGTTTGGACTCCACCAATCCACAGATAGATTGTGCACAAATGGAGGAAATTCAAGACCATTACCTCCCCAGGAGTGGTCAACCAACAACGATCGCTCCAAGAGCAAGGCGTGTGATAGTGAGGTCACAAAGAAGCCCTGGGTAACTTCTGAGCAACTGAAGGCCTCTCTCACATTGGCTAATGTTAATGTTCAAGAGTCCACCATTAGGAGAACATTGAACAACAATGGTGTGCACGGCAGGGTTGTAAGGAGAAAGTCACTGCTCTCTAAAAAGAACATTGCTGCTAGTCTGCAGTTTGCTAAAGATCACGTGGACAAACCAGAAGACTGTTGGAAGAATGTTTTATGGACTAATGGGACCAAGATAGAACTTTTTGGTTTAAATGAAAAGCGTTATGTTTGGAGACAAAAAAAACCCAGCATACAAGTACCTTCCCATATGTGAAACAAGGTCATGGTTTGGGCCTATTTTGCTGCATCTGGGCCAAGACTGCTTCATCACTGACGGAACAATGAATTCTGAATTATATCAGAGAATTGTAAAGGAAAATGTCAGCACATCTGTTCATGAACTGAATCTCAAGAGAAGGTGGGTCATACAGCAAGACAATGTAAGCACACAAGTGGTTCTACCAAAGAATAGTTCAAGAAGAATAAAGTTTTGGAATGTCAAAGTAGTCCTGACCTTAATCCAATCCAGATGTTGTGGAAGGACCTGAAGTGAGTAGTTAATGTGAGAAAACCCACCAGCAATTGTTCTGTACAGAAGAATGGACTAAAATTCTTCCAAGCCGGTGCAGGACTGATCAACGGGAAACGTTTGATTAGGGGGTCACATACTTTTGCCACTCACAAATATGTAATATTGGATCATTTCCCTCAATAAAGAAATGACCAAGTATAATATTTGTGTCTCATTTGGTTCTTTTTATCTACTTTTAGGACTTGTGTGAAAATCTGATGTTTAAGTTTATGCAAAGAGAGAGATTAACACACAAGATTACAAGAGTAATTGGCTAAGCTAAAGCCATAAGTAATTATTATTCATGATACAAAATAACTTTATATTTTAAATTGGCTATTAAAATCAACCATAAATCATAGTTTCTTTATTCAAAACTTTAATTTGAACGTGTGTTGTTTATTTATTTATTGGAGTTTTTTGGAACTTGAATGGACCAATCAAGCAGCTCCAGGTTCAACCAATTAGTGTGAAATCAGAAGCAAAACAGGAAGTTCCGGTTTTATTCCGTGCCTGCCAGGTGATCGGCTCGCATTTGGTCCATATGGCTTGGCGACGGGTCGGGCTGCTGCTGGTTCTGACTGGGACTTTGCTGCTGGTTTCTGTTCGGGGATGGGGATGGGAACGGGTCAGCAACAGTGAGCTTCTAAGGTTTTACGAGACTGGTCTGTGGAGGGAACCATTCAGCTTTACAACAGGTGAGACCAACAGCCCAGTTAATGTGTCCATGTGTGCTTTAAACTACAGCCTCAGATTTCAATGTTGGTGTTGTCAGATATATAAGTAGTGCACTTAAACAAACAAATTTAAAAAAAGCTGCAGTGATGGTCAATAGTCTACAGGCTGCTGTGGCTGGTGTCTTAACAAGATGATCACAAATGACATTTAAATGACATGTAAAAGACAGTTTGAGACATCAGGGACTATGAGCTCATTCTTGTTTGTGTCAGTGATGGACATGTTGATGTCAGGCAGGAGTTATGATATTTGGGACATCTGAGAGTATATGGAACAGGTGGAAGAGAGCACAAAGAGGTGGATGTATCTTCTGGAGAGAAGGCAAGCAAAGGGTAAGCAAAGGCTTTGTGTGATGGGAGGATACTAGAGATGGGGTGAGATGGAGGCAGATGAACTGCTCTAAGAATATGATGCAAGAGTACACTTTATATGCATTAGGGTCAGTAGTTTTCATTTAATATGACACGTGCTGCTTGATATCAAAAGGTAAGTGTCAGTGCAACATTTAAACCACAAACAATGTTTTGATCCAACTTAATTGACTTTTAGAACAAACTGAGGATATGTGATCAAAATCAGTCGTTTTGTACAAGTGAAATGAGCAGTTAGACGTTGGCTGCATAGTGACTACAAACTTTACCTGTAACAACTTTCTCTTGCAGATGACGATGATGTAAATGAATTTCACGAAGGTAAAATGCTCAAAGAATCTGAAAGCAGTGGCATGAATGAAAAGACTCCCGAGGAAGCAATTCTGGAAGATGATGTTTCCGCATCTCCTGGGGATGCACTTCAGGAAACTGAAGGTGTTTCTACTGTTGAAACCTTTTGTTCTGAGTGACTGAGTCTTATTGACACCGGTTAACAACTGCCCTCTCCTTCAGATGACGACTATGACGACTACAAAGATGAGATTTTTGACATTGAAGGCTTTGCAACCATTGAAATGGTAGACCCGGTCACTGGCCACGTAGACGTAAAAGGTTCTGAAGGACGCCACCAGCCATCAGTTAAAGGAGATGAATTTCATGTTGAGTTTGTGGATGCCCCTCCAAGAAGCTGGATTGGCTGCACAAGTTCTGAAGGGATAAATGTGGATTGCAGTGAAGATGGCTTCCAAATTACTCTACCTTCAGGTCGACTAAGTGGGATTCTAGTTCTGGGTATTAACCTAAACTCTTTGAATATTTGTCTACTGAGCCTTGTCACATTTCTAGAATTTATTTCTCCCCCTTTTGCACTCCAGGCTATGCAAACATTTCTGTGGAGGATGCTCCAGAGTCTTGTGGTTATCACTTGATCCACCACAAGAACATCTTGACAGTACGCTTCGCTGGATGCAACGTGAGGCAAGATGTGGAAGATGTAGGTTACTAAAAAGTAAACGTATAAAACTTTTCATTGCTTACTTTATTTAAACGACTAATTTAATGCTTTATACACAAAATAACAGGTTTACAGTCTACAACTGTCCACCATCGTCTCTGGTCAGACCCAAGTGTTTCATGCATTTTGTGTCGAAAATGCAAAATACGTCTCTGGAGAGTTTCCTCCAACTTTTGACAAACGCACAAAATGCAGTAAACCAACACCTCCAAACACATTTCCCATACCCTTGAAGTGTGGTCCCAGAACCACCGCGTCGTCACCGACAACTTGCAAACCAGCGATTGTCATGCCAAGAAAGTGGTTTGAAAGAACAGCTGTAGCACCGGTGACAACAGCCGTCCCCATGAAGATGAATTTTACAAGCAATGTTTTGTCGCCAACAAAGCCACACAGTGAGTGTAAACACTTATGTAAAGGGATGATGGATATTTTATTTGCTACGTGAGTTTTTTTTTTTTTTTTTTTTCCTCCAGATTGTGCTGTTGATGTGAGGGAGCAGATTTCTTGTGGTCAATCAGGAATATCACCATCGGACTGTGAGAAGAAGGGCTGCTGTATGGATATGTATAAGAAAAACTGCTACTACCCGCTTGATGGTAAGGTTTTAGTTTCCACTTGGTGTTTTCTGAATAAATACCGAACATCCAACAATGTTCAGTCAGGTCATCTGGACTTTTGTTTTGTTTGTTTTTTGAGAAGTTTTGTCCTTCATCCAAAGGATTTCATCTGTCTGAGGAGGAGACTCCTCGGACTGATGAAATCCTTTGGATGAAGGAGGAAATGTCTCAAAAAAGGAAACCGTCCAGATGACCTGACTGAACATTGTTGGATTTTTTTTGTTTTTGTTTGTTTTACCTGGATTATTGAGCATGAACGTTGGGAGTGGTGACACAAAAGGTTAGAAAAGGTGGGCCTGTGATCGGAAGATCTGTGATTCAACTCCCGGTACCGACGACAACAAAATGTGGGTGGGATTGGTGAAGCAGCTATTGAGCATGAACTTTGATGAATACCTAACACATTCTGTTGTTTTTGTCCTTCTCTCTGTAGAATGCACTTCAGATCAGCACTTTGTTTTTGCTCTTCGCCACAACTCTGCAGTCATCCCCATGGACCCCAGAAAGCTTGTTATTCCTGGGAGTCCCCTTTGCAAACCAGTCATTGTTAATGATGAGGTTGCCATCTTTAAGATCAAACTTGGAGATTGTGGAGTTCATTCTTACGTAAGTTGTTCCCTTTTTTGTACTTCCTGTAACGATCTTAGAATCTCGTGCTTTAAGCTCCAGCAGTGATTCTTATTAAGGGTTATTCTTTGGTAGTTTTTGGTGCTGCAGTCCTGCTTTCAACAAATCTGGACTTCTCAAGGTTTTCTTCAGATGGTTTCTACCAAGTGGGGAAAACCAATTTGGAGTTGGCCTAAAAAGACACTACCGTTGGAGGGATGTTTATAGAAAATGTTTTCGCAGTTTGGAAACCTCTACATGAGTTGGATCTGAGTTTAGCATCAAACTTGATTTTATTTGTTGATACCACATCTCAAGCAATCATTTATCATTTTAAAGAAAAATGTAGTAGTTTTAATCTGAACTGTCGCTGCATAGATTCTCATTTCTACAACATGGTTTGGTTTTGAGTAAACTCATCTCTGTCACAAATATTGCTTTTTTTTTTTTTCTTAGGATGTTGGTGACATGAAGATCTACTTGATTGAAGTGCACACTACTGTCAATGCTCTCCACCTCAAGTATGGAATAATTAGTAGAAGTGATCCACTCAGGTTGGTGTCACATCTACAAAGGCCCAATTTTCTGTAAAAACAACTATCTTTATGGCTTATGGGTGAGCTTTGTTGGTTCTGCTTAAGGTTCTGTCTGGACTTGTAACTTTTCTAGGTTCATGGTTGAGTGTCGCTACAGGAAGCGTGGTAAGGATGCTGCTGAACCGTCAATGGCCAGCGTCGGCTACATGGTCAAGACCTCAACTTCCAATTTGCCGTCATCGATAATCTCCAGTGGCTTATATGACATAGAGTTGAAGATTGCCAAAGGTCAAGGGTTTATACTTTATTTTTAATTTAATGTGTTTTGATTGGTTTGGTTGAAATAACATGCACAAATTGCTTTAAATGTTTTATTTTATTAATGAATGCATTTTTTCTTTTTAAATATCAGATCACACATATTCAAGTTTCTATCCAACATACCATCAGCCCTTGCAGCTGCTCCTTGGCCATCCTGTGCATCTTGAATTGAATCTGAAGGCTTCTGATGCATCAGATGCAGTGATACTTGTCAACTACTGCGTGGCTTACCCTCGCACTGCAAATAACGCTTTGGTGCTGATTCATGAAGGGTAAGCACGGATGTTGGGATCAGTGCTTTTTGCTATTCAGGTTCGACCGCCATGTTTGTGTTTACAGGTGTGCCAATCCCAACGATCCAACAGTGTCTCTGCTTAAAGTTGACAACCTTCCCAACAGTCGTCATCAGAAACGTTTTAAAGTGGACGCTTTCCGGTTTATGGATCAAACAAACGCATATCTAAATGAAGAAGTGAGTGAAAATGTTAAGATTTATTTTATTTTTCTTCTGTTAAAACTGTGAGGATGCCTTGGAAATGTGTAATTAAATAATTTAGGAGGAATCTGTCCAGCTCTGTTGGGATTTTAGTGATTTTCTGCTGTGTTTTAAAACGAATGCACTTTAAAACTTAATGTGAATATTAATAATTTCTACATGGGGATTGTCTTCTACAGATTTACTTCATGTGTTCTGCAGAAGTTTGTATCGTGTCAGAAAAGCCTTGTGAACAGCAGTGCTTTGATGCAAATGTGAGTCTAGTCTTTGCAGATATTTTGTAATCTAAAAACAAATAACAGTAATAATCATTTGTTTTTTTTATTTATTTTTAGGCACTACAAGAATTCTGACACGCCAACCGGATATGAACTTTGAACTGCAAAAATAAATGCAACTTTTTATATAACCTTTGTGCATGCATTTAAAATGTGTGTGGGTGTGGGGTGGGGTTGGTGGGGTGGGGGTGGGTGGGGGATTATGCCACAGGATCTGCAACGCTAAAAGTTTGACTTTAAATATTTGAGTGTTATGGATTCAGATTCTTGGTTAAAACAGAGTATGCAGTGCAAAAAACATTTGTTAATTTTTGCAATACAACTTGGCCTGCTTGTGCAACACACATTTAATTTAAAATACAATAATTGTGATTTTTGTAAGGGTGAGGGGAATTTTTTTTGTTGTCAAATTTACATTATTTAATGAACCAGGCAAGTGTATTGCATTTTTCCCCTCCAAAGGGACCAAAAATTCAAGCCATAAAACTTGTTGTTTCGATATCATGAACTGAACCTAAAAACACTTCAAACTATATCATCACTTAATGAGACCCTTCTGTCTGCAGGGGACCAAGAGTAAAATGCCATTCAGCTTTGACTTTAAAAAAAGATTAGTGGGTTGTTACATGTGCACACTCCCCTACAGTTTTATATTAAAAAAATAATTAAAATGAATGTACCTTTCTCCCATTAAACTATATCAAACTGGGTTTTTTTTTGTTTTTTTTTGGTAAAATTGTATTAAGTTTAACCAAAACAAAAGTCCAGCTAAATTCCAGGTTGTAATGCAACAAAACGGAATACAAAGAGGGATGGATACTTTTTAACCAACTGTGTTGCTTTAGTTATAAGTATTATGACTAAAAGAAAAGCAAAGAAAACATGTCGGCAGAACATTTTCAGAATAAAAAAAAACCTGTTTGGTAGTTTATACTGTAACTAGCAAAACAAATTGATTTAGCTTTAATTACATTTCTAAAAACATATCTATAATTATAGATGGTTTATTTATTTTTTTACTGTAATTAAAGCCATGCTTTTCTGACTACAGACATTAAACATTTGTTTAAATTCAGTAAATGAGCCATGATACTGCTGTAGTGCAACAAATAATTTGTTTTCCTGCTAAAATGCAGATTTTTTTGTAGCATCTGAACATTACAGATGCTTGCATATGTTATATCTCATGAGGTCTTTAGTTCCTGCATGTTGGTCTTTAAAATAAATATTTGTGTGTGTGCAATGCATGCCTCAAACACCTCGCAATTGAATGTACATGCTAAACAAATAAAATGCAATTTATTAAGAGCCACTGAAGTTTGAAAGGGTGGCAGTCCAATAAATTTTGAATACAAATGCACAACTCAAATGTTCAGTTATACTGTTAACAAACTATGAAATGTAATTTACCTTCTTTTAAATAAACCTTACATTTGCTGTCCATTTAACTGCATAAAAAACTCAAATGAAAACATATTTAAAACGGGCAAGTTTTCAATGAGTAAAATTATTAGCAAAGCTTGGAAACCTAATTATTTTTTTTTTGTAAAGAGGCAGAAAAAATATTTTAAAGTTTGCAGGTCATTTTTTTTCTAAACAAATGACATTGCCATAGTTCAGATAAATTAATAAAAAAGGTTAAAGACCAAAAAGTAGACCAGACTATTTTTCATTCAACCTTTTTATTAGGTTGGTCTCAATTTGCAAAGGTTAGAGTAACGGTCATCTCTGTGGAAAACAAATTTTTGATAAAAAAAAAACAAAACTAAATTTAGTTTGCAAAGATACAAGCAATTTGGGGTTGAATTTATTTTAGAAAATACATCACTGGATCAAATGGACCGACCCGTAAAGGGAGTTGCGGATAAGTAGTGAATTCTATAAACAGTTTGCAGGAGAACTGGCCCCTTTTTTAAAAAATATGTTTGAAGAGTCAATACTGAGAGGTGAATTAGCCCCAACTCTCCAGCAGGGATTGATTAAGCTCATCCCTAAACCCAAAAAAGATCATTTGAGTATTGAAAACTGGAGACCAATTAGTCTTTTAAACAATGACGCTAAAATATACGCAGTTATCTTTGCCAAGCGACTGAAATTAGGTTTAAATGATATTATTAGTGAAGAACAATCTGGATTTATGCCTGGAAGAAACATTAGCAACAATATTCGTCTAATATTGGACATGATTGACTACAATGATTTTATTCCTGATGAAAGCTTTATTCTGTTTATCGACTTCTACAAAGCGTTTGATACCATAAGTCATAAATTTATGTTCAAGTCTATTAAACATTTTGGATTTGGAGATTTTTTTTCCAAAGCTATTAATACCCTGTACCAGGGCTGTAACAGCTCGGTCAAGCTGGCACATGGGACAACGAGAAGGTTTAATATCAATCGAGGTATCAGGCAAGGATGCCCTCTAAGCCCATTCTTATTTCTTCTGGTTACACAAATTATGTCTATACATGTAAAAAAAGGTCAATTCCAAGGCATCTTAACTCTAGATAGACACTTCACATTATCACAGCTGGCTGATGATACTGCGTTATTTATCGCTAATGTAAATGAAGTGAGGAATGCAGTTGACTGTATCCAGGAATTCTCTTCCGTATCAGGTCTAAAAATGAATCTTAATAAATCTGTTCTGTTCCCACTAAAAGACTGCACACTTTCTGAAATTAATGATATTCCTGTCAAAGAGCAATTTACATACTTAGGAGTGAATATTGAAAAGAATCAAAATTTGCGTAGCAGCTCAAACTTTGGCCCTATTATACAACAAATAACAACAAAATTTAACATGTGGCTAATGAGGGACCTGTCATTAAATGGTAGGGTACTACTGTCAAAAGCTGAGGGAATATCTAGATCTGTATATACTTCCTTATCATTAGAGATGCCAAAAGATGTATGCAAAAAATTAGATAAAACATTATTTGACTTTATATGGAAACATAAATGCCATTACTTAAAAAAAGATATTCTCTGTAATAATAAAACATTTGGAGGTCTAGATGTCCTAAGTTTTGAAATGCTAAATAATTCCTTTAAAATTAAATGGTTAACTAACTTATTAAAAGGGAAAGATACGCTTTGGAACACTTTCCCCAACCATATTTTTAATCAGATAGGAGGAATCCAATTTTTATTAAAATGTGATTATAAAATTGAAAAATTACCTATTAAGTTATCGAGATTTCACCAACAAGCTCTCCTGTCTTGGAAACTTGCCTACAAACACAACTTCTCCCCAACTACATATTGCATTTGGAACAATGGGAATATTTTATATAAGAACAAGTCGCTTTACTACAAAAATTGGATGGAAAATGGAATTATGCTTGTACAACAACTATTAAATGATAATGGAACCTTTATGACATACACTGAATTTCTGACTAGACTTAAAATTCCTGTAACACCTAAAGAGTATGCTGTAGTTTTTGATGCTCTACCAAAATCTATGAGGCAGCTCTTCAAAGGAACAAAAGTGAACAATTTGCCTAGAGACCAACTTAGAAGCCCCGTAATGCTGGATGGAATCGATGTAACAAAAAAAACATGCTCCAACAAACTCATAAGAACTTGTCTGCAGAAGATCACTCTGCCTCCTGGTAGATTTTTCTGGTCTTCCATATTTGAAGGAGTTAACTGGAAGCAGATGTGGTTAAATTGGGAAAAATTTTGCATAACAAACAAAGTTAAAGAGGTTTCATATAAAATTATTCATAATGTATATCCTGTTAAAAAAACACTGGAAAGATTTAAACTTGACATTGACTATTCTTGTACATTCTGTGAACTACACATAGAAACGATTTCTCATTTATTCTATCAATGTGTTCATACAATCTCATTCTGGAGAGATGTGCAACAATTCATACAGCAAAAAACTGGACAAATAATTCAGCTTACAGAGAAAGACATTATACTATGCTTTGAAGACAAAGGCACGAATAAAGACTTGTTGCACTTCACCCAACTTCTACTTCTCCTGGGAAAGTTTCACATTCACAAGAAAAAATGGTCCAACTCCAAACCAAACATAACCCATTTCAGCAAAGAACTTCTTCAATACATCACCTCAATTAATGGACTGGAAAACCAAAAGGCAATGAAAACCATCTCAACTCTGGAAAAGCTTAATGTGAATTTAAACTCTGTATAAATTGTAAATATAATTTCATGGTTTTTTATGTTTTGTACTAGAATATTATCTCTTTTACATTAATATCTATACCCCTGGCAAACAGATGTTTGTAATGTGTGATTAAAATCTTTAATAAAAAAAAAAAAAAAAAAAAAAAAAAAAAAAAAAAAAAAAAAAAAAAAGGGAGTTGCGGATGACCCACAATCCTTTGCGCGAGGAACCAAACAAACTGAACATTTTAAAGAGTAACGCACACGCGCGCGGACACGCATTTCAAAAAACCGAACGCGTCAGTCACGTTAAAGGAGTCGTATGTGGACATTGTCTGGGCGGTGTCATAAGAAGGAAAAGACATTTAACTTGAACAGGTTGGTTTTAAATCAAACGTGCTATCAAGTATGCTAACTGGTTCTCCCTGCGCGTGACAGTGCATGCTTTCACTTCACTGTCTACAAAGCCAGTCCGTCATGCTACGTTTACGTGCAGTCTGTAAATATCTCGGGCGAACTTTTTACTTTCGGTTATGCAACAGACCTGTGTAACTCAATTTGTTTTTGGTATTAATTTATTTCACTACGGTGGTCCGCCTGGTCCAAACGACGCTGCTACGTTAAAACTAGTTTGTTTAATTTATCTTAAACGTCTGTTCTTCCATGGTTAGTTGTATTGTGTACAAAATTAAATGTACGAAAAGGGGGGGGGGGGGGGGACGTAAAACAAACACGCATGGTAAATTAAAGGTATTTTTCTTAAGACATATTTACATGCACGTTTTCTGTAAGAAAACAAATATGCTCAACATAAATTTCAAGTGCATTTTAAGTTTTCTTCACTTCTACAAATCACTGATTTCTGTAATGTTTCACTCTCCAGTTGATGGAGCATGGAAGAAGCCATAACTTGTATGGCCTTTTAGCTTCATGACAATCTCTCATCACATGAAGACACAGTTTCTGCAAAAATATAATGAATTGAGCATTTTGCTTTAAAACCTGTGTATCTGGCACTTACCCAATCCACGTGTGCATGACAGAGGATGTACAAAAACAGCAGCAGTCAGCAGGTTTGCAGGGAGGAGTGGTTTTATTTTTTTGGTCATAAGACTACTGGGTTAGAGGTAGACTCTCATTGCTCTGCTTGTTGAACACCTCAGCTCCTGTCTTTGGCAAAAATGGCTCATCTTCCAGCACTTTTTAACTACGTGGACAAAAACCAGGACCTTTACGTGAAGGTATGATCATTCTGAAAGACAATTCAGCATTACTTGTTTTGCAGTCTTACCAATGTGGTCACCAAACCTTTATAGTTGTAAATTGTACTGAAATATTTCATGCAAGTTAATCAAACTGCACTCACTGCTGTTAAAACTCATTCAATTTGAGTGAGGAGTAAAAGTAAGTTTGTCATGAATGTCAAACCAGCACACTTAATGATTTCAGTTGTAGTGACTCTTTAACTATTGTTGTAGTTAAGTGCTGAAGTCCAAGCATAAACTTGTGGCTGATTTTATTGTTGGTGCGAAAAAACAGTAGAACCGCTTTTGTTAAAGGTATCTGACTATATTAGAACTTTTGTTTCCCAGCGCCTGGCAGAATGGGTTGGTGTTCAGAGTGTGTCTGCCTGGCCGGAGAAACGCGGAGAGATCAAAAAGATGATGGAGATGGCAGCCAAAGACATTGAGAGGCTGGGGGGGACGGTGGAGCTGGTGGACATCGGCACACAGAAGGTGAAAATGCATTTCCGTAGTTATTTAACCGCACATCACCTAAATCTTCACTTAAGTTACATTTTATTCTCTTAGCTCCCTTCTGGAGAAGAGATCCCCCTTCCTCCCATCGTTCTAGGACAGCTGGGGTCAGACCCGAGCAAGAAGACCGTGTGTATTTACGGTCACCTTGATGTGCAACCAGCTCAGATCGAGGATGGCTGGGACACGGAGCCCTTCACGCTAGTGGAGAAGGATGGTAAGAGCATGTAGCAATGATCAGTAACTTGACCTGGGAAGTTAGACAGCTAAAAATGAAACTGTTTCTTTTGGCAGTCATATGATTAGTCTGGAGCTCTGTTTGGAAATGTAAACCAAAACCAGACAAAATGAGTTTAAGCATTTTCAGTCATCTGTGTAATGCTTTCACTGCATTTTTGTTGGACTTTAAAACACATAATATCATATCTCACTGATACAAGGTTTTAATGATGAGGTGTAATCAGAAGCAAAGTCGTATTAGATTACAAACACGTGCGTCTTTAACAAGTCACAGTAACACTAGCAACAAATGCTCTGTAAGGAACGAGGCGACCGTTTTCCTCGTAGTTGCGTAAACGTATCCTTGTGCTTGGATGACCCTTGTGCTTCTACCAGCTTTATACCCGTCATCGTGTCATAGTTAATAGCATATTTTCAAAGTCCATCTCAAGTCACCGTTCCGCAGGCAAGACGCAGTATCTTATCTAGAAACTGCAAAAATCAGATCAAACCCCTTTTAAGAATTTGGCCCATGTGAATCCAATGAACTGCATGCTGGTGGGTGTTGTATAGATTTTATATATAATTTTAGCTTTTGTTTGAACTAAACCATGTTTAATATGACTTACTGCATTTGTAAATGTCAGCGAGTTATCTGCAAAGTACATGCTTTTCCACTGTTATACCTGTCAATGAATGTAGGTCTGTTATCAACATATTATTTTGAAACTACTAATGCTGACAGCTAACTGATGTGTGGTTTGTGGTGACAGTCATCTGACAGAAAGTAACACATCAGCTTCTTCCTGTCTTGTTCCTGTTTTCTCAGCTGAGTTCAGTTCTGCCTCTAAGTTTGCTCCGTGTCACAAAATAATAGAAAAGGGAAACAAACATTTGAACAAGAGTAAAAGTCTGTTGCCACGTTAATATGGTGATTTTGTCAAGAACATGAAATGCATTGTTTGTTGAATAGTAACAATCAAAATGTACAAAGGGCAGTTAATATTTAAAGATGATCTGTATGTAAAACTGTTTTGTCTCTTTGTAGGTAAACTCTATGGAAGAGGATCCACTGATGACAAAGGTCCAGTGTTGGCCTGGTTTAACTGCATTGAGGCCTATGAAAAGACCCAGCAGGTACAGATATTTTATGTGTTGTCTGAATCAAAAGTGAAATTTCACATCTGTGTTCCTTGTGAAAGAAAAGAAAAACATGTTTTGCAACACTCGAGCAGTTTGCAAGAAGCTGATGAAACAACGTCGAGTATTCTGTCGCACTCCTTTTGGTTTCTGTTGGCTTCGTATGAGAAGTTTGGTGTGTGAGAATAGTGACTGAAAACATCTGGCTTTCAAACAGGGTACCAGTCAGGAAGCATGGATCAAAGAGAAAACGTGACTTTATGTTGGCAGAATTTTCTGTCGGTTGCAAAGCCAGCAGTGAAGAAAAGAAAGCTGCAAAACTGATTAACTGGTGAAAGGACCATCATGAACACCTGCTGTTATAGCTCTGCTTTGATATGGAGGCTAACATGTATGGATGTGTTTGATGGAGCCTGTTTGTTCAGGCACATTTTCTGCTTATACCTCTGAAATAACAGCATAGTAAGAGATGGAGGAACTACGATAATATGTGAAATTATTTTCTAAATTACTAAAGGTCATTGTGGTGTTTAAGTGCAATGCTCATCTGCTTTTTGCTTACTGATAGCTTTAAAACTCCCTGCAGTAAAGTTGAAAGGTCTTGGAATAAGATTAGCAATAATGCTACATGCTTATCCAGCCATCACCTAATGCAAGGTGTCCAGTCCTGGTCCTCGAGGGCCATTATTTTGTACGTTTTGGAGCTTTTCTGCTCCAACACGAATCAAGTGTGTTGGAGCAGAGATTGGACACCCCTGACCTAACGATTAAACCAAGCCATGTTGATTTCAGTCATCTTTGTGTTATAAAAACGACAACAGTCACATGCTGCATACAGTGAACCTAATAAAAAGCTAGTCAACAAATTCAGTTATTTTCCAAATGAGAACAGCTTTAGTTTTTCTCTGGTTGTGAGTTTACAGTATTTCTAAATGTTATTTCTATATCCATCTTCTTTATTTTTTATGCAGAAGCTTCCCATCAACATCAAATTCTGCTTTGAGGGGATGGAAGAATCTGGATCTGAAGGTCTGGACGACCTGGTGTTTTCCAGAAAAGACTCGTTTTTCAAAGACGTGGATTACGTCTGCATTTCTGACAACTACTGGCTGGGCAAAACCAAACCCTGCATCACCTACGGTCTGAGAGGAATCTGCTATTTCTTCATTGAGGTGAAGTCTTGGCACAGAGCAATTCATGTTTTAGCCTAATAACTTGAAATAACTTTAGTACATTTAATTTGAAGGTTAAATGCTGTGATAAAGACCTTCACTCAGGTGTTTTTGGTGGTTCGGTTCATGAGGCGATGACGGATCTGATCTCACTCATGGGTAAGTATTGATCATTATACCATAAGTCCATTTGCACCATAAAATATTTTCATTTCATATGTGTTCCTTGTCTGGAGTTTTAGCCTTGAATTATTTTTAATTTAATCTCAGGCTCCCTGGTTGACAAAAAGGGAAAGATTTTAGTTCCTGGGATATACAACGACGTGGCTCCTCTGACAGAAGAGGAGAAAAAGCTGTATGAAAAGATTGATTTTGACTTGATCGAGTACTGCAAAGATGTTGGAGCTGGGAAGCTGCTGCACGATACCAAGGCAAGGAATAGACTAGTGATGCTTATTTTAGCCAGAGGTGAGATGTGTTGCCTTATTGTGTTTTTATTTTTGTCATTGCAGGAACAAATCCTAATGCATCGCTGGAGGTACCCGTCTCTTTCCCTTCACGGCATCGAAGGGGCCTTCTCTGAAGCTGGAGCTAAGACCGTTATACCTCGCAAGGTCATTGGCAAGTTCTCCATCCGCGTTGTCCCTGACATGGACCCTAAAGTTGTGGAGAAGCAGGTAAACATTTTCCCACTACTTATTTATCAAAAGCAACTACATATGGCTACAATACATCTTTCAAAAGTTACATTTTGACAATAAACAAGCCACCTCTTTGTGCTGTTCAGACTAGTTTCAACCTGCTGTTTATATTTTGTTCAAAAAGAAACCGGTTGGTGCTTTTACTGATGGTTTCTCTTTCGTTATGAAGGTGGTCGATCACGTTGAGAAGACGTTTGCAGAGCTGGGAACACCCAACAAAATGAAAGTGTACATGGGCCACGGAGCCAAAGCCTGGGTGTGCGACTTCAACCACCCACACTACATGGCTGGTAGGAAAGCCATGAAGACAGGTGAATCTGTTTGTTTAAAAATATATACTGACACAAACTACGTGCACTGTCATGTTAACCTTTTATGCACTGAAAGTCTGCAAAGTCAGGCTGAGATGCTTATTCAGCAAAAATCATATAATAGTGCAGATGATAAACACAGGAAGGAAAAATATGCACATACAAAACTGTAAAGGTAAGCTTTTACCATATTTCTTTCCTCTTTTTTTTTGTTTTGTTTTCTAGTCTTTGGTGTGGAACCAGACCTGACCCGTGAAGGAGGGAGCATCCCGGTCACCCTGACCTTCCAGGAGGCCACAGGCCGGAACGTCATGCTGCTCCCTATAGGATCCTGTGATGATGGTGCTCACTCCCAGAATGAAAAGCTCAACAGGTTATTGTTCTTAATTTGTAATTAAATTGCACCTATGATTTTGATAAGGTTTTCAAACATAATATTCTATATTTCCATTTTTTTAGATCAAACTACATTCAGGGAACTAAGATGCTGGCTGCCTACTTCCACGAGGTTTCTCTGCTGGAATGAACTGATGTGTAATCACAAAAAATCTTCACCATCAAAGCCATAATCATTTTGGCCCTATGTATATTCCACCTGTAACACTTTTATAAACACTACTGAAAATAAAGTGATTTTGTTTGTTACACCGTGTTGTCTGGTTTTAATTATTGTTTTAAGAGTTTCTGTTAAAACATGCTTAAGAAAGTTTTAAAACTGCTTAAGAAATTTACCATAATAAAACTTTTTTAAAATGAGTGATTTGGTTAAACAACTTCCTGTGTATCCTGATTCATGCTCAGAAATTCAGATAGAAATGATAACAAAGTTAAGTCAGCTCCTCCGGGCGATTCCAAAAATAAAATAAAAATGAACAACTTCCTGTGTATTTGAGAAGTCAGTGGTAATTGGCTGATTTATAAGATTTAACATCCCAAGTTTAGCTTATGAACAACCAGAACCATTTTTATATATTGGGTAGATGTGGAAGTTTCTGATAACTACAAGCAACTTTTAAAAGAAAAAAGCAGTTAAAATTTAATATAGAGAAGTTAAAAGTTCAGTTAAAAAAAATAGATGAAAGTTTTAACACTTATCAGAGCACTGGATAGTCAAACTTTAAATTACAAAAAAAAAAAAAAAGATCTTAATAAATGGATGACTAAATAAATTAATAAAGGGCTTTAAAATTCTGGTCAGTCACTAAAATATTGGCTCATGACTCCATCTACAGTTGACTTCCTGACCTACAAACTGCATATATATCTATATATAGATATAGATATTTATATATGTATATATATGTATATATATATATATATATATATATATATATGTATGTATATATATATATATAGATATATAGATATGTATGTGTGTGTCAGTGCAGTCAAGTGTAAAAAAAAAAATACAATTTTCTTTTCAAATTTCTTTACTGTATCCCAAACACTACTGTCCCTTTAAATCCGACCCGGAAGTGCATGATTCACTTTAACCTCGGTTTTGTTTTGAAACACTCATGCAGCAAAAAGTAAACCGTATAACAAGTTTTCACAATGACTTTTCAAAAATAACATCATATATATAATGCATAATATAAAATCTACTTATTTTTGTCTTTAAACATTTCGCGAACAGTTTTGTATCAAAAAGGTCTAATTGGGGGATTCAGGGAGAGACCTGGCAACATCATGGGCGCGGGAAAGTCGACGGCATTTCCGCCTTGCTTTTGAACGTCGTAAAACCTTTGGAAAAACGATGTTATTCGTTTGTCTAACTTAGATACATTTTCTTTAACTGAAAGCTGAAGACACATTTCATCTTAAAACTCTTAGTTTTTTTTAAGCTTGTTCTTAAAAATTCGCGTTTTTAGCTAGCATTAATTTAACAGTTTTGTTCGAGTTTTTAATGCGTCATTGAGCTAAGCAGATTAATGGAGTAAATATCTTAAAAAGTCACTATGGATCGCTACAACGAGCTCAAGTTTCTGCTGAAAAGCTGGGAGCAGGGGTTTGTCAGACAGCACCAGAGGAAACCCAACAAGGTGATTTAATTGTTTACATTGCAGCTGTTTTACTGTTTATCAGCCACAGTGTTGTTGGTAGTTTGTTTACTTTTTCATTCAAGTAAACAAAGCTTTCTCATTTACAGGAGGACATTGATCAAGCTCCAGAGGAGACAAGAAGTGAGTAAAGACAGTAAATCTTCTTTTTTTTTTAACAGCCTGCAGCACAAAATGCAACTTGGACACTGAAAAAGGAGACTTTCATTTTATTTGTATTTTTATTTTGCAGATTTGTATAAGGAGTACAGGAGTTTAAAACAAGCCAAAGAGAACAGCAGCACTGATGCATCCGGCAGTCCAACTAAAACCACAACACAGCGCAACCCAAATCACAAGGTCATTCATTTAATATTGTTTAACATTGCACATTGGCTTTGTGGAGGAGAACTTGGGAAGGTGGAGGTGGAAGTGCTGTTGACAAAAAGACAGGAGAAAGAACTGGAAGTGGCAGAAATGAAGATGTTGAGGTTCTCCTTAGGAGTGACAAGGATGGATAAGATTAGAAATGAGATCATCAGAGGTACAGCACAAGTTGAACAACTGGGAGATAAAGTTAGAGAGACCAGACTGAGAAGGTTTGGACATGTCCAGAGGAGGGACAGTGGGTGTACTGGTAGAAGGATGTTAGAAATGCAGCTGCCAGGAGAACGACTAAGATATATATGGATGCAGTTAGAGAGGACATGGAGGTAGTTGGAGAGAGGGTGCAGAGGACTGATGGAGATGGAGGTGATGTCATTGAGCCCTGATCAGGGAACAGCCAAACAAACAAAAAAAGAATATATTGTCTTTTATAATCTGAGTTTTCCTCTGCCGTAAATAAACAATCTTTTTGCTGTGCATCATTGGAAAGTGAATTTGCTCTTTTATTTTCTGTTTTTGTGTTGATTAAGGAATCCGGTTGTTGGGGCACCCATTTGAACCGTAAAGCGATGCCGGTGTCCGCTCCAAGACTGACGTCCCGGGACAGAGAAAATCTGATGGCTTCTTCCCAATATTATGGGCTAAAGCTTAAAAACAACCTTGGTGCACTCTGCAAGGTGAGGATAAAGCTCAGTCATAATAGTAAGAGTGAAAAGAATAGTCTTAACCAACAAACCGGTAAAGGAAACATTGATCATGAGGTTCCAGCACTGTTATTGTTTTTATTTTATGATGGCAGGAGAGGCCTGTTTCACTGAAGAAATCCTACCAAACTGGTCGAGTTCCTCTGAATTCTTTGAAAGATTGTCAGACAACGAACAGTTCAAGTTCGTCCATAGATGCTGAAAAGAGCCCAACACTTGATCAAGATCTCAGCCTCTTCTTTCCAAGGTAACTAAAAAGACTCGTTCTGTTACGTTACCGTCGTATCATCAGCAACGTTTTCTGATAATTGTTTAGATTGGTTGTAGGCATTTAAGAATTAAAATCCATATTGGTGCAGTGATTTCTACATACCGGTATATGTAAACTGAATCAAAACATGTAAACAAGGTGCAGACTTGAAAAGTGCAAAAGTTTTAGGAAAGTTTGTCCAAAATGAATCAGAATAAACATACATATAAAACAGTGTTTCGAAATATTCTATTGCATTTTTTTAAAGAAAGTATCAATCTGAATTTCTACAAGTGGTTTAAACAATAGACGTATTTTTCACATTGTAGATTAAAGATAAACACAGTTACAGTAATGTCCACTTTTGGTTCATACAGCATTAGAATTACCAACTTCCAGAAAATGAAATAGGGAACAGATTTAAGTTATTTGCTGTGCAATAGCCTGTGGGTAATTTTATCTTAAAGAAAACGTGACTTTTAACTATTTATCTGAGAAGGTATGACAGCTTTAAATAATAAAAATAAAAAGAATCTGCTTTCCATATTCAGGTGGTAAGAATTTGTAAGATTCTGATCAAAAATGTTTTTACGTGACAAAAAAAAGGTCAAAGTTGTCAAAAGTTAAAATCAAACAAATCGGTATTTATGAAAAAGTTGCATCTTTTGTCTGTTTTTTTTTAATCCTCACAATTTTAAAGTTAGAGAAAAATAGTTTTTTTTTCTTTTGAGGGGATTAAACCCTTTTTCATATAAAATAAGAATACTCATAATAAACTGCACCAGTTTACGAATACAAATTCATATATTGGTCCCATACATATTGTATGCATATGTACACATATTTATTTATATAAATTCAATATAAATTCATAGATCATTTGATGTCAGAAATGGCTCCAAATCTGACCCCCCCCAAAATCTAAAAGTTTTAGCCTGAAATTTCAATGCAGGAAACACTTAGGAACCCTGAGTAAAGTACTTTGCGGAACCTAGATCTGTCATAAATTGTGAGTATTTACCACTCATTTACTAACATTTAGTTTGTTAATTAACATATAGAGACATTGCATACAAAGTAGTGCTAAATGTTAATAAAACTTCAATAATTTTATGGTTTATGTTAAAAAATCTATTTTTCAACTCATTATTAGATCACCTTATATTCTAAACAATACATAATAAAATAGAACTTGCGTTTCAAAGCTTCCTGTATTTGTACTTTATAGCATTTGTAACAGTCTTTATAGGTTTACTGCTCCATTCTTATCTTTAACAAGCCTAACCTGCTGCACATCCTTTCCAGACTGATCTCTCTTTCTCACCAAAAAGTCCTTTTCTTGAATTCTTTGTGTTTTTATTCCAGAGCAATGAAGCCGTGCCAGGGGTCAATGCAGTCCAAAACACTCTGCTCAGATGAACCTGAGGAGCACTTTAAACCATTTGAACCTGAACCTGCAGATGTTATCAGTACCTACAGCAACAACAGTTCCGATGGTGATAGTAAAGACATTAGCTCTAAGTTAAATCCCACTTTCATAGCTTCCTCTCCAACCAGATCCTCAGCTTTCTTATCTTTGTCTCCCCAACGTAAGTTTGGAAACACGGAAAAGCTCACTGAACGTGCAGGAGATGGAGAAGATCATTTTGGCGTGTTAGCAAGTCCATACAGGAGTCCTGAGTGTGCTGCTTCAGCTGTTTTCAGAGGGGGATTGGTAAAACAGCCCCCTCTCACTAACAGGCTGAGCTTTCTTGACAGGAAGTGGCTGGAAAGGTGTCAGGTGTTTGGAGAGATGGAGGCTGAGGAGAGACCCGGAGGAGGCAACCAGGAAATAAAAATGGAAAAGGCAAAAGAAAAGGAGCAAGAAACAGAAGATGAAAGAGGAGGAAAAGCCGAGAAAGCTGAAGATGGAGAAAGAAAAGAATTTGAAACAAAGACGAGGTTTGATAATGTTTCAGAATTGGCTCGACGGCGGGCTGGACAAAGCAAAGCAGAGGGAGAAAGAAAAGAGAAAAGGAACGGAGAAGAGGAGGAGACTGAAGGAGGACAGGCACAGCTTGCTACACCAGGTGACGACAACAAGAGTTGTCCTAAATCACAAAGTGTAAAGAAAAGAGGGAGGAAGAGGCCGAGAGAGGGGGACAACATGGAGGGAAGTGGTACAGAGGAGGAAGGAGTGAAAAAGAGGAGAAGGAATTGTCAAAAGAAAGAGGAGCGCTCTGTAAACTCAAACGATGGAGGAGGAGAGAAGAAAAGGAGAACCAAGAGAAAAGGAAAAGAACATGGAGAGGAGGTTGAAGAGAAAGAAACTAAGGTTTCAACAAAGGTAAGGACTGGATGAATGTTTATTTTATACACTGTTTTTGTGTATTAAAGTTGTTTATTTAATATGATGTAATTTCCATTAAGGTTCCCCATGAGAACCTGTTGGGAGAAATAGAGGAAGAGTTCAGAACTAATGGAACGTGTCGGACACGACCTGCCAAAGCCAGGTAGGAACAAACAGCCCTGCACCTCAGAGTGGCATCAAACCTGTCTGTCTGGAGCGTCGCTTCATTATTGATTTATTTATTATGTATTTGAACAGAGTAACAAAGGGAGCGGAGGGGAACTTTGTGAAGATAAACCTGAAAAAGAAATCTCATGTCAAAGGATACGCACTAAGAGGAATGGCTTTACGCAAACAGGTATGTCTTTTCTTCCTGTGTCTGTCATCGTGTATATGCTAAATGGATATGTCCTTGTAAAACATGGCACGTTTATTTATTTAATCATTTCAGCTTTGTCACAGAAATGCTGCCCAAGCATCGTGTTCGGCATGAATTTTGGCAAACTCAAATCCACCTAGAGAAGCAAAACTGTGAGATGTTGTGCTTTTGTTTCAGAAATTGTCTGTTTCTTATAGTTGTACATGCAGAAGTTCCAGCTGAAAGGTGAGCGTTTTGGTGGAGGACGTGGATGTTGGGGCAGAGGACGGAGGGGGGGCTTCAGAGGGGGCCTCAGTCGGCAGATGGACACCTGCTACCGGTGTGGAGGGAGCGGACACTGGGCTGTCGACTGCAGGGGACCAGGTGACACAGCTGCACTCGTATAAAATGACTGCTAAGCTTTAAATAATAGACACGTCTCCTGCACCATAGTTTCATTCCGCGATTGTTCATTATTCCCTAAATAGATAACACTGTCAACAACTGGCTGATCAAATATATATTAAAACAAACAAGCAAAAAGTCAAATAGCCTGAAAGCGTCATCACCATAGAATAAATCAGAACTTCTTATGCACATCTGTGATGCTTGATGTCAATATAAGAGCTTCTATTTATCACAGCTTGGTATCATTTTTGTATTTTGTAGCTCCTCCCCCTCCTGTTTCTGAGGATCTGCCTGCAGAAGAAGAGCCGTTTGAACTACCCACCCTGGAGGAGGTTGCCAGGGCAACGGGAACGCTGCGACCTCACCCATCGGGTTGGTTGAACTTGCTGCCTGTTTTCTGAACATTATGCTTTTCTTCCCGTTCTGCCGCTTTGGTGCTGTGAATATTATACTTTTCTGGAATGTACATTATAGCTTTTGGGGAGTATCTCCAATAAGATGAGCATAATGTTCTGCATGATTCAACTGACTGTAAAATAACTTTAGAAATTAAAAACATCACGTTTTAAACGCCCAGCCTTTGTTTCAGCTGTTGCAGCTGGTGCTTCCTATACCTAAATCTTTGTATTCTTTGTATATTTTGCCTTAAAAATATTACAGATAATAATAATAATAATTACTAGGGATGCACGATATTGCATTTTTGGCCGATATGCCGATATGTTAAAACTTGTTTGGCCGATAACCGATACCAATACTGATTTTTATTTTTTTTTCCCCTAGACCTACTTACAGAAACTACATAGCTTTCTCTGCTGTGGAATTAAAATACTGCATTATTCTGCACGGTCTTTGTCAGTTTGACCTGCTTCTAAATGCAGATGCCAAAAATGGGGCTGAAAATGATGCAACACTTCAACTTGGATTATGTTTAATGTCAAATTTATTCATGACATTTACTCTCTAACACAATGACAACACTCGAACAGTGCAAATTTGTAAATCTTCACAAATCTAAACAACCTGCTTACAAGTGACACGTGAAAAGTGCATAAGTAGTAGTGCATTAATAGATTTACTTGACAGTTTCTTAAATTAAAAATTAACTTAAAACAGAAGCCTTTTATATCTGTGAGTTATTTAGATGGAATGTCCAATATTTAACTATATCGTTAATATCGGCCGATACCATGCCGATAATATCGTGCATCCCTAATAATTACATTATTAGTTAATGAAAAGGACTCAAAAGTGTTGACAAGAGCATTCTTTTTCCACTTGTATGCAGTTTGTAAATTTCACAAAATTCACCCTGACATTGTATAAAATCCAATATTCAATATAAAGAATCTTTCATAAATGACGGGCCCTAGATAATAAATGTAATTTAATTAAAATTGACAGTTTATTGCCAACTTTTGGTAATAGTCTTCAAACTCAATTGTGCTTTTTATGTGCTGATTTTTCAGTTAATTAGTGAGATTTAAAAATACAGAACAGGTATTTACATTAATCACAAAATTATTCATCAACTCATTATATTATAGCTTCCTGTTAGCCTTTGGGGGAAAATACACAATTTTCAGTGTATTTTAATTAATTTTAGTAGAAACTTGACCCGTTGTTTTTTTCTTTTGCTGTGTTTTCTGGCATTAAAAGTGTTTTTTTTTTTATGTGAGACTTGGCCAAATAAAGTCCTTTGGGGCTGCATGTAACACGGCAATTCATCAAACATTGGATTGAGATTCAGGTCCTGTTGATAAATGACATTTATTTTTATTTTGAAGCAAATATGTTTGGGCATGCTAATCAATACATTTTCTGCAGGTATCTTGTATCTTTTCTTGTATTTTGTAAAACTTTGTGGTTGTGTGTTGCAGGGGCGTCCTCCTGTATCAGTAATGCGCAGCAGCAGGAGGAGGTGAACAGCAACCATGAAGATGACGTGCTGCTGAACGTGATTCGCCCCGACTATGAACGGCCTGCTCCTCCACCACCCATGAAACCACTTTACCATCTTACAGAGGACGGGAAAGTTCGGGGTAAATGCTTTAAACTGTTGAAGCCCATCTGCACACGGCCATATTTATGAAATTAACCTTTTGCGTGTGTGTTTTACATGTTTCTGTTCAGAAACGCCAGATGAGGTGTATTCAGCTTTAAGAGCCCTTGGCTATCAGTCATTTAGAGCGGGACAGGAGAAGGCCATCATGAGGATCCTGTCAGGTATCTGGAGTGCATAAACCGACACGTTCTGTGCACACCTGCGTATCTATAAGCTTTAAACGCGTGCGCTCATATTTATCTCTAGGCCTCTCCACTCTGGTGGTCTTATCTACTGGAATGGGTAAATCACTGTGCTATCAGCTGCCAGCTTACCTGTACGCTCAGCGATCAAAATCCATCACTTTGGTTATTTCACCTCTAGTTTCTCTCATGGATGACCAGGTAAACCCGATCCTTCGAGGTGCATCGAACAAATCTATACATTCTCAGAATTTTGATACACCTTTGACTGCCGTGTGTGTGCAGGTGTCAGGCCTGCCCACCAAGCTAAAGGCCGCATGTATTCACTCCAACATGACGATGAAACAGAGAGAAGCTGCAATAGAGAAGGTACACACAGGAATGTAAGGTGTGAGATAAAGCATGAGTTTATGTTCTTCCTCTTATTTATTTATGTATTTTGTGTGTCAGGTGAAGTCTGGCCAGGTGTGTGTGTTGCTCCTCTCTCCAGAGGCTTTGGTTGGTGGAGGAGGTTCAGGCGCAGGGTGTCTGCCCCCGGCTCAGGAGCTCCCTCCTGTGGCCTTCGCTTGTATAGACGAGGCTCATTGTGTTTCGGAGTGGTCACACAACTTCAGGCCCTGCTACCTAAGGCTCTGTAAGGTGGGTTGATGATAACATCACACTGTGAGGAATGTTAACAGAGCTGTTGTTTTAATCTTTAAACCAGACCAACATGAAGGCACAGATATTTAGAGGAAACCAGTGTAATCATGTGTGGTTCAAAGGGTGAAGAGAATGGCATTAAAGTCTTATCACAGATAATTTGTGGCTTTTTGTGATTTAAGCAACCACCTTTGTTTCTCCTGCATGCTCTGATGCATGTTTTACCATCAAATGTACCAAAATTTTAAACATTTATTTCAGAAGTAAAAAAGAAAAACACTCATGTTTGTTTTTAGGTACTGCGGGAGCGCCTGGGGGTGCAGTGCTTGCTGGGACTCACAGCTACGGCCACACTGTCCACCGCTCTGGACATCGCTCACCATTTGGACATCGGTGATCAGGACGGCATCGCTGTGAGAGCTGCAGCCGTGCCTCCAAACCTGAACCTGTCTGTGTCCACGCATAAGGAAAAAGATCAGGTCTGACGAGGAGTTTTTGCAATGCAAACATTTTATTCCTTGATTCATGAGTTTTTCTGTGCAGTTTTCTTAAAAATCTCTTTTATTTTAAGGCTTTAGTTTCCCTGCTGAAAGGGGATCGTTTTGGATGTTTGGACTCGGTCATCGTCTACTGTACCAGGCGAGAGGAGACGGTCCGTGTGGCTGCGCTGCTCAGGACCTGCCTGCAGGGGGTGCTGGTGAAAGAAAACACCCAAACAAGCGGAGAAAGCAAGACACAGAACAACTCGGTTGACCGGAGAAAAAAAGAACTGGGTTAGTTATTCTAATTTTATTTTATTTTTTTAAACTTATACATTTCCTTTATATATTCATGAAAAGCAGTTTTGTTTTTCTAACATTAATATTTTTAATATATTCAGCACGTAAGAAGATTCGTAAACCCCTGAAATGGCAGGCGGAGGCGTACCACGCTGGCCTGTCGGGGTCCGAGCGTCGCCGCGTCCAGAACAACTTCATGTGTGGAGAGCTCAGAATCGTCGTGGCAACCGTGGCGTTTGGTATGGGGCTGGATAAGTCAGATGTTCGAGGTATCATCCACTACAACATGCCAAAGGTAAGATGAGGTGTTTTTCAATTAGGTGTTTTTACTTTTCTTCCATGTTTGTGAACTCAAGCTTTCTGTAAAATATTTTAATGCATCTATAAAAGCAAAATTTGGTCTTTGTTTACAAACATGTGTCAATTATTAATGTATAAAAACAGTTTCTTTGTGTTTTTTTTTTTTTTTTCCAGAGCTTTGAAAGTTATGTTCAGGAAATTGGCAGAGCAGGGCGAGATGGAGAACCGGCTCACTGCCACCTCTTCCTAGACCCCGAGGTGAGACTTTAACTTTATATGGAAAGTAAAAACTTCATTTTAGTAAACTGTAGTTTTTTTTTCTACATTTTTAATGAAATATTATCATGAATGTACTTTAACTGGTCCAGGTGCCACGGTTTAACCTTTTTTTGTTGTAAGTAAAGTTGTGTTTTTTTATTTAAACATTAAATATTGCTTTATAAAGGTGTCACATGTCCACCTTCAGCACTCTTTGCCCTGTTTACTTATCCTGAAGTATCGGTGCTTTTATTCTAGTGTAGTAAAAATAAATAAATCATAAGCCATTAAAATAAACACCATAAGTCTATTATTGATGTAATTTACTTATAGACTCATTCTCTTGAGTGTGTCTGTGTTTGTGCGGGGCTATAGGGTGGTGACCTCCATGAGCTCCGTCGCCACATCTACGCAGACACCGTGGACTATTATACAATCAAAAAGCTGGTCCAGAGAGTTTTTCCTGCGTGCAAATGTAAAAAGATCCACCAAAAACATCAAGAACTCTGGAAGGTGAGCCACTTTCTGTCCATGTCTGTGACCTGCGTGCTGTTGCGTTACACCTTCCTGCAAAATGAAAAAGATTTTCTTCATGTGATCAGGATGTCGAAGACTCTGAGCTGCTGGAGGTGATGGATGCGTGTGATCAGGAGAGAAACCTCCATCATCCTGTTCAGCAAGACACTGGACAAACAGAGAATAAGGGATCTACTGTCTTGCAGGTGAATAAAGGAAAAAAAACACTGTGTGAATGTTTATGAAGCACTCACCATATTGCGATCCATTTTTCTTCTGTACATTTTTCGACATCTTTCTCGTTACATAATTTTTGCATTATTTGAACAAATCAAAACATTCAGCTCGTTCAGAACAATCCTGCAACTTTAGCTTTTTGAAAATATTTAGCCTCTTAGGACATTTTGTTTTCTCGGCTCATTTTACATCCTTCAAATCTTTAGATCTGTTTACACCTTTTACTGCTCCTTTCACATTGTGTTCTGGTTCAGCTTCTCTCAGATTCTTTGTGCAAATTTAAACTTTTTTGGCTACTTTCAGTTGTTTTTTTCCTGCTGTTTTTTGCTCCTTTCAGATTCGTTCTGCTAAATGCGTTTTTGTGCTTTTTTTTTTAACTTCTTTCTGCTAATTTCAGCATGTTATGCTCCTTTCACCTGATTTCTGCAAGTTTCAGCTTTTTCTGCCATTTCAGCTTCTACTGGCATATACCATAGCTGTTTTTAGCATTTTTTAGCTAATTTCAGTTGTTTTCATATAAAGTTTTTCGTGGTAATTTTTGCCACTTTCAGCCTAATTAACGTATTCTACTAATTTCAGCTTGTGCTCTTTTCAGCTTATTTCTGTTAGTTTCTGCTTTTTCTACTATTTCAGCAATTTTTTTAGTTGATTGTGCTAGATTTAGCTTTTCAGCTAATTCCACATTTTTTCCTAGCTCATTTCAGCTCCTTCCACTGGTAGTTTTAAGCTTTGTTCTGCCTTTTCAGCTACTTTGCAGCAATTTTTTTTCTAATTTCATATTTAACTACTGTAATTTCCTGATATTTGTGCTAATTTCTTCTTATTTAAACCCAGTTCATCCAATGTGTTATTTCTGCATTCTTCTGCTAACTTGCGGATGTTCTTCTATTTCAGCTACATTTCAGCACGTTTTAAGCTAATTTCAGCTGTTTTTCAGCAAGTTCTTCAGCAATAAGCATTCACACAGCACTTTCACAGGCAATGCAATTTCTCTACAGTAGTTTATATTTAAAACTCAAATAAAATGAGGCTGCAGTGTTTTGTTGGTGGTTGATCATTAAAGCTGATCTGTGAACTTGACTAAATAATTGACAGGAGCTTGTTTTTCATGCAAGATGCTTGATCAAAATTCAGCTGAGCCGTTCTTCTGTGAGCCCGTTGACGAAGAAAAAGAAAAGGAAGAGGCGAGCGAGTTGAAAAAAGATGCGGCGGTTAAGAACGAGGAAGCTGATTGGCCGAAGGAGCGAGTGTGTCGCACTCATGAGCGAGCGATCCCCATCCAAGAGACTGTCGAGGCTCTGGACATCACAGAGGAAGGTAAATTTTAACCTACGGTATCCAAAAGACTGAATTATTAATGGAAATAAATTAAATTACTTTAAAAGCATGCTACTAATTAGTACACTATACATTAGAAATTAGATTAGGCATTTTCCAGAAACAAGCAAGTGATGTCTGTGTGTATGTTTCAGGTGTGGAAACGCTGCTCTGCTATCTGGAGCTGCATCCACAGCGGTTTGTCGAGCTTCTCCATCCCACATTGTCTGTGTGCACAGTCAAATGCTACGAAGGACCCAGGCAGCTGCAAAGAATCACTAAAATGTAAGAAATGCATGACAGCATTATAGTTTTGATACATAAATTTATAGAAACTTGGGAAGAACTCTTCTTTTTGTCAACTTTCTGTTCATCCACAGCTGCCCTCCCATCGCTGTGGTGTTGGCCAGGAGGAGGATGGCCGGTGAGCGCGTGGTGAGTTATAATCAGGTGGAGTTTGACGTCGTCGAGGTAGCCGACACTATGGGATGGCAGCTTCCTGTTGTAAAGAGAGGACTCCGACAGCTGCAGTGGAGCACTGACAGAGGTTCGTTGACTGCTAGAACTGGAATGTCAATAAACATGGTTTGCACCTCCCTGTCTTCTACAATTTTCTTCTTCTAATAGTGTGGGAAATGCACAATTTTAATGAAGTGCTTCTGGGATAAAGCAGTCTTGCTACCCCACAGGTGAATGCCTCTCTTTGTGAAGCTGCTGGTTGTTTATGTTTCAGGAAGCAGAAGAAGTGGCGTCCTCGTTGAATTCTCCTCCTCTTCTTTCCACTTCCGTTCCTACGGTGACCTGAGCGATGAGGAGATGGACAGAGTTTGTCACTTCCTCCACAATCGAGTGCAGGAGCAAGAGAGAACGCAGCTCTTCCAGCTCACAGCTTGTTTCAAGGCCTTTAAGAGGTACAGTCGGACTGTTAAAGTACTTTCTGCTGATTTGTCTCAAACTGACTCCCGCAGAAAGGACAGTTGTTGAGTCTTTTCTATTCAGATGGTTAGAAGTTGATTCTGCGTTTTATGGTTTGTCTAAATTATTATGATTTTATAAATGTTACTCAACATTTATCGTAGTTTCTGGCGTACAAGTCACAGTTTTTTGCAGAGATTGGCCAGTCCTTCGATTTATACGCCGGCAAATACAGCACTCAGTTCTTTACCTCGTTAACTGCGCAAAATCAAACATTTGACTAGATCTTGGAGCGACTGAATGTAGAGGTTTATATTTCATCCTTTAATCCCTTCATTTATGTATTTACATATGTATTATTTGAGGGTTTTTTTCTGAGTTTGTTCCTCATTTGTGCAATTATCTTTTGCTGCAGTGTCGCCTTCAAAAATGTGATGTCCTGCTTGGATGATTTGGATGAGGGTCGCAGTTTGCAGCTGAAAAACCTTCTCTCCGAGTACTTTGACCAGAGGAGAGACAGAGACCACATGCTGAAACCTGTGGACCTCGAGGAGCTCAACATGTATAAGGTTAAACCTACATGTTCTTGGTTTCTTTTTACAATTTGTTTTATGAGAGAACAGTGTGGCTTACTTCTTTGTGTTTGTGTTTTGCAGCTGTTGGACTGGGAGGATCAGATCAGAGCTGACATTCGAAGTTTTCTCTCCTGTCGAAGTGACGAGAGGTTTTCTGGACGAGCTGTTGCAAGAGTCTTTCACGGCATTGGTGAGGACACACAGACACACACAGACTTGTCCTGTCACATTCGAAGTATATTGTACTCTTATGCGTTTAAATGTTTGTTTCTTTTGCTCACAAAACTTTTTTTTTTTTAGTTGCACTTTTTATTGTGTGAATGTTTATGAAGCATTCACAATATTGTGATCTGTTTTTCTTCCGTATGTTTTTCAGCATCTTTCTCGTTCCACAGTTTTTGTGCTATTTCAACAAATCATAAATTAAAACATTCAGCTCGTTCAGGAGAAGGGTGATATGACTTTTGGTATTGGTGCAATTTTAGTTTTTTGAAATATTTAGCCTTTTCTGCTACTTTTTTTTTTTTTCCATAGAAAATGAATTTAACTCATTTTACATCCTTCAAATCTTTAGATCTGTTTACAACCTTTTACTGCTCCTTTCACATTTTGTTCTGGTTCAGCTTCTTTCAGCTTCCTTGTGCAAATTTAAACTTTTTTCCAGCTACATTCAGCTAATTTCAGCTGTTTTGTGATTCTTTTAGATTATTCCTGCTAGCTAGAATGTATTTTTTTGCTTCTTTTTACTTATTTCTGCTAATTTCAGATTGGCATGCTCCTTTCTGCTTATTTATGCAAGTTTCATATTTTTCTGCCATTTCAGCTACTATTTAGCTGTTTTATGGTAATCTTAGCTTTTTCAGCTAATTCCACATTTATTGCACTCATTTCATATTTTTTCAGCCTAATTCAGTAAAAATGTGCTCTCTCCACTTCCTTCTGGTAATTTAAGCCTTTTCTGTTTTTTAAGCTACTTTTCAGCTGTTGTTTGCTCATTTCAGCTTTTTTCAGATTATTGCCACTTTTTGTGCTCATTTCTGCTTTTTTCAGCCTAATTGGGCAAACATGGTCTTTCTGCTTTCTTCTGCTAATTTAAGCTTGTTCTACATGTTCAGCTAGCCTTTTAGCATATTTTAGCTAATTTCAACTGTTTTCAGATAAATCCATGTTTTTTGTGGTAATTTCTGAAACTTTCAGCCTAATTAACCTCTTTCAGCTAATTTCAGCTTGTTATGTTTCTTTCAACCTTTTTCTGGTAGTTTCAGCTTTTTCTGCTGTTTTTCTGCTATTCGGCAAATTTTAGTTGTTTTTGTGCTAAATTTAGCTTTTTCAGCTAATTCCACATTTTTAGCAAATTTTAGCTCGTTCCACTTCCTTTTGGTAGTTTAAGCTTCTTTCTGCCTTTTCAGCTACTTTTCAACCATGTTTTACTAATTTAAGCTTTTTTAGCCAATTTCTTAATTTTTGTGCTAATTACTGCTTATTTAAACCTAATTCAGTCAACAAATAATTCAGAAAGTATGTGTTCTTTCTGTTTTCTTCTGCTAAGTTAGGCATGTTCTTCCATTTCATCTACATTTCAGCATGTTTTAGCTATTTTCAGCTGTTTTTCAGCAAGTCCTGACATCTTTTCTGGACCCCCAAGATGTTATTTTAAATGTAAAATACTTTTATCACTTTAATTTTTTTTTCAGTAATCTTTGATTATGATGTCAAAAGTGCAACAGAGAACGTCAAATGAGACCAATCAAACCCTTTTTGAGGAACCTGTGACCAAGAAAAGATGTTGGGTATCTGATTTGAGTTGATGTAGATTCTGAAACCGGCCCTTAGTTTGAAAAGGTTTTAATTTTGGCCCCCTTTTGTAAGTGTGTTTGACACCCCTGGTGTAGAATATCAGCTGCTTACTAGACTGTCCAGCAGGACTACAAATAAAAATAAAATAACTAAACATGTGGACCACAAGAGGTCATCAGAGAACCACTGGTTTGCTTTACTCATGTGTTTTATTTTTAATTGCTAAAGTATCTCAGTTCACAGATAAAACATATAGAACTTAAAAAATTACTTTTTAACGTCGGTTTTCTTAAGAGTGTTATTTTAAAAGACTTTGTTTACACTTTTAAATGTGTATTTTACTACGTTATTTCTCTGATCTCAGTCTGTTCTGTGCTTTACAAGCTATATCACTAGTTTTTATAGGCTTTTCTTTTTATTCCATGCTTTATGGAATATATTTTTTATTTTTCTAAATTAATTTTGGGATTTTTAAATGTCATAATGGTACATTGGAGTCTGGTCATAATTTAAGCTCTTAAATTAAATGTTATGTCTCAACAAATTTTTGATCAACGGAATGATTCTTCCCATTTCCAGCTCAACAGACCACTTGTCAATCTGACATCAAAAATCAGATTTTATGTATTTTTTTATTTTATATTTCTCAGTGAATACGCCAAAGCTAAGCGGCTCATAGCAGCAGAATGCATGCCGTGCAAATGTTTATGAAGAATTGTAAATAATATTACTGTAAACAGTTTATTATTAACAACTATTGAATGTAACCAGATTTGGGGGGAAACACTTTGAATGCTGGTATTAATAGTTCTCAGAGAGAAACTGGAATGGGCCAAAATTGGGATCAGCATTTTATCTTTACAAAAACAGGAATCCATGATGGGTGCATTTTTAATTTTTCACAGAAAAGAATTACCTGCTAGTGTTGTTGTTGGGCCTTAAACAGGCCCTTTATCACTAATATGTTTTTTGTTACAATAGAAAATGTTCAACGTATAAATTATAATATACCGTAATTTCTCGACTATACAGTGCACTGGAATTTTAGCCGCACACTAAACAAACAAACAAACAAACAAAAACAATTTTGCACATAAGCCACGAGTGTTCACATTGTAAAATGAGATATCTACACAGAAAGATTTTTTAAAAAACTTTTAATTAAATACGTACCAGTAACATACACAAATACGTACAGTAAATGTGTTGTTTTTTTAACAATGCTGGTTAAAATAAATAAATAAATAAATATGGTAGCCTACCAGGAAGTCACTGATCGCTATCTTCATATTCCTCCTGCAGCAAGCTTGTGCTCTGTGGAGAAAAAGTTGCTTTGCGAATGCAGGGGAGCCCCCCCCCCCCATCCCCCTTTATCTCCTCATCTCCCCATTTCATTGGTGCGACTGTGACCTGTTCCATAATTTCATTGGTCAGATTTTTTTTAACCTTTATTTATACAGGTAGTCTCATTGCGCCACAAGGACCCCCCCAAGAACCCCAAGAGAGACATGCATTGGAGCATTTCAATTGCATTGCAGCTATGTGAGCACCTGGATGTGATGAAGCTAAATGTTTTTGGTGGCAGGAGGCTCGCTAACCCATCAATAAATAAATAAATAAATTAGCCGCAGCGTTCAAAGACTGTAAAAAAAAAAAAAAATAGCAGCTTATAGACCATAAATTACGGTACTTAACTCCTAATTTCCTCGCTGAGACTCGTTTAATACAAAACAAAAAGCTTTCTGTTTAAGCAGTGTGTTCAATTATGAACAAACTGAGCTGCGTTTATAATCTAATTTAAGACTTTTTGTGTTGCAGGGAGTCCTTGTTATCCTGCTCAAATATACGGTAAAGACAGGCGTTTCTGGAGGAAATACATCCAGTTTGACTTCAACCAACTCATCAGATTGGCCACGCAGGAGATCCTTGGCTTCAAGTGACCGATGTAACCTGGAAACTCCTCAGCAGATCTGCTTGGGTGCATTCACCGACTCGTTTATTCCATCATGCTTTTCATTCATTTGATTTGTTTATTTGTGTTGACTTATTGCAATAAAAATATATATTTTTCTAGTTTGAACTTATGACATTTATTTAAACAAAGGAAAATGATAACTTTAAGTTATTAAAAGGCATGCAGATAATAATAATAATAATAATAATAAATAAATAAAAAAATCTAAGTGTGCGGTAACTCAAAAATCTGGGTCTCTCTGAGTGAAGCTGCGACCTCAAAGCAGAATTTATTAACAGGAATTAAACTAGACTAAAACCTGGGCGTAGGAGTTCTCCAAGTAACCTTTTTCTGAGTTCGACTGTCAACTCTGAAAACAAATATTAACCTTTATTGATCAGAATTATTGTGACGTTGTCTACGAAAGAAAGAAATAAGTCACATTTATAGATTTCTTAGATATTCAGATTAAATATGTTTTATTTACTTAGCATTAGCTGGTGCAAGTGAACACTGGGTTACAAACACATCTAAAACTTGTTTTTAAATAAATAAAAGCAGCAACGATATATTAAACAAGTAAATCACTCTTACACATACATTACAAGACAGATTATTGATCCCAACATGAATGTCGAGAACAGCTGTGTAATCCTTTAACTTTAGTGATTGTAGATTTTATTTACAAAAAAAAATAACAAGGAAGGCTTTCAACGTGCTGGGATGGAAACTCCCAGTGGGGGAAATGGCTCAAGTTGATGATCAAAACAGCTAAGTTAATATTTTCCTATTAGCTAGCAGACTCAATAACCAGACTGACAGCTGGTAAATGACACGTTCTGCTGCTTCCTGACATGCTAAGTAATAAAACACTATTAATGTGTATAATTAAAGTAAGTGAAAAACTTTATGTACCCTTAAGATTTTAAGATTAATCTGAAGTATTTCCTTTTATGATAAACCCTATAGTTTCCTGAGCTATCCCTTAGTTATGCTGCTATAGGCTTAGACTACTGGAGGACAAATTGATCGCATTTCATCAAATGAATATTTACAAATGAATGGCTTGTATTTGTAATTATTTCTGTGCAAAATATCTCATGAAATGAACCACCTAATAAATTCAAAGTAACGTAACCACTGGTAGAACCTCTCCAGCTGCCATCTTCCCTCCCTGTCGCTCCAGTGATCACAGACTTGTTTACTCCAACAAGTGTTTTCCACGTCAACTAATCATCATCTTTGCTCAATAACAGTCATTCAGTTCAACAAAAAAAAATGCAACGCCACGTCCAAAAGTTAGCTACTCCACATGAGGTATTTCTGAAACTGGCTCCTTTAGAACCACACTACAATTATTTTAGTGCACGCATGTCACATAAGACTAGTTTACACTTTAACTGGATCATCACATTAGCTCCTCTTGGTTTGTAAAGTGACGCTGCAAAACCAGCTGCTGACCGTTTTTTTTTTTTCTTAAGCATTTCTGTAGAATACCATGTTGTTCAATAAATCAGACAAGAAGCTCAAAGGTCTGATTTTAGAAGGTATTCCTTTTATTGTTTTATTATTGATACAGTAGGCCAAAGGGCTCTTGAGGTCTAATTATAGATGCAAGTTTTGAAATCTCAGCTAAACTTGGTTATGGTCTTACACCGTGTGATCTGCCCGCGTGTGGTTGCGGTGATTTGTCACCGGACTCTGTCCCACATGAAAATGTTCATGTAGCTCGTAAATCAATCAGATTAGAACAGCGATAATGTTAACTTTCACCGTCTGTTTGGCCTGAGTTAAATAGTAATTGCACATTTAACTGTACATTTGAAGTAGTCTGTTTGAAAGGTTGTGAACAGTTAATATCTTACCTGTTGCAGATAACTTTTTGAACTAAGTAGAGATTATTTCTCCAAACTACTGTGGTTAAAAATGCAATTTACAATAGTTAAGACTTTAATTGGAAAAAAAAAAAAAAAGACGGCAATTTCTATAAGCATCTTTAGCTTTCTTGTTTGCTTAGTTGTTGGAGGAACTCGCATTTCTTTAATGAAATGTCATTTTTATTTTATTAATCTTAAGTCAAGTATTGAGATGGGCGTGGCACCGGGGGTGGTGCTTCCCGTTATCACTACAATAGCTGGTAGCAAAGACAGGTCAAAGACAGGTGAAGTTATTTATTTATTTTTTGTCACAAGAGGAGGGGAGACTATGGCATCCTTGAGTTAGTGAGGAACTCTGGGATTAGATGTGCCTTTGTAAGTTTGTTTATTTACACTCTGGGAGTCAGTTAACTCATTAATAAATTATTTTGTCATCCATTATTTTTCTTTTAAGGTACTTTGTAAGGTTAGTTGGTTATCTATCCATTTGTTATTTTAACATTTTTCCTTTCCGGGTTGAAGGGGTCACTGGTGCCCATATCCAGCTATCCCTGTGTGAGAGGCAGGGGACATCCTGGACAGGTCTCCAGTCCATCACAGGGACACATGGCAAGACAACCATTCACTCTCTCACTCACACCTAGGAACAATTAATCAATCAGCCTAACATGCATGTTTTTGGTCTGTGGGAGGAAACTGGAGTACCTGGAGAAAACCCATGCATGCACAGAGAGAACATGCAAACTCCACCCACAGAGGTCCCGGGTCGGGATTTGATTCAGCAACCTTCTCGCTGAGAGGCGGCAGCTCTATCAACTGTGCCACCGTGCCGCCGGTTAGTGGGAAATAATTACTCTCAGAGGAGCGAATGAATTGAATCATTTTAGGCCAAGAATGTAGTAGAAAGTATTTTTGAGAAAGGACAGTTAACGATTGTGTTTTGTTCCAGGAAAAAGGCTGCATGTAAACAGCTCGTTGTGTAAACTCGTGAAGGGAGTTTTCGGATCAATTCGACCAAAGTTCTGTTTGTGCTTTAGATAAACTGGGAGAAAACTTTGGGTCACCTTGACCCAGGAATGTTTCTTTTTATGTCAATGTAGTAAATGATCAAGAACATGGATCAATAAAAACAAGAATCTCTGACGTAGGGTTTGGAGATATAAACACTGGATTTGTTCAGGAATGGGATGCATTCAGCATTTTCTCTGTCCAGATGTTTTTTTTTTCCAATAAACTCCAGTTTTGCTATCTAAGAGACAGTCTGTTATTTAAGTTATGAAGCCACTTCACTATCACTTTGGCTTCTATTAAATCTTTATTGTCAAATACGTACAAAGCCCTGAAAACTAATTTGTCACTTTTTTTAAATTAAATTTGTCGGGACTGTCTCAAGAGACAGCAAGACGGGGAAAAATACATTTTCATCACCAAGATTTTATTCATGAAACAAAAACAAACAAAAAAAAACCACTTTTTGGAACAAATGTTATATTTATGAGTCACAATAAAGACGCCACAAAAGTAAAATCTTTTTCAACAGGTCAGCAGCAGTTTAAGTTGTCAGCTTTGATTGCGTGTTCATCCATCAAAGCAAACGTACACTTAAGATTACGTCTGCTTTTACCAGAAGTGTTCAAAGAGATTGAACGACACAAAAACATTTTTATCAAAATGCACAAAATGAACAGCTGATAGACAGAAACCAGTGTTTTTAGGCTACAGTTTGTTTCTGGTTCATCACTGCCTGTTATCTTGTGGCTTTATTTGATATACACTGATAAATATATAAAAACCTACATTTCATCCAACTAAGTTTTCAGTATCCTGAACATGTGCCTGAGATGAGTTTTCCTTTTGAAAACTGGGTAATAATTGAGCAAAGTATAATGATTTAACAATCCTCCATATATGTACACAGTATCCTTCCACAGCGATAATGTACTCACTAATTAGAGAAATGCTTAAAGTTAATAAACTATTCGGTTTATTTATAGGGCACCAATTCAAAGCACTTTACAGAAAAAGCTAAACAACTGTGCAAGTCTGATTTCTTAAAGTTCTCATTTTTAAATATACATTTAACATAATATACTGTCGAATCATTCACATCTATATATAAACGATATGAATTTTTATTAATACAGAAATCGGACTGGAGCAGCAGTTACGATGTCATATATATGACATAAAATATAATTATTCAGTGCTTCAGAACGTGTCATCGGAAGGTAAAGAAAATACAATTTGAGCAGTGAAGACAAGCAAAAGCATTTTATTTATACAAAAACATCATTTAACATTCATAGAAGTTATTTTAAGCAGTAATGTGCTCTACAGGCTGGCAGGTTACAACAGTCTGCTACAGTACATGTGATGTGGTCCGGTTCACTTTGCTAAATTTAAAGATTTTAGGGAGACAGTCCACTTTGTGTACGACTTGTTTGTTGGTGTAGAGGATATGGCAATTGGAAACATCTATTTTATTTTTTAAATAAGGAGACTGGACTTCTTGTAGCTTATTTTCATTTCAGGAGCTTTCAAAAGATGGAAGGGTGTGGAGCTCCATGCTTTAAAACTGTAGTGAAAAGTAAGCTGAACTCACATGCAAATCAGTCACCCCCCTCCCCTTCCTGAGTGTCATTAGTTCTTTGATGGTCTGGTTCACATGATGTTTTGGTCACGTACATGGAGGTGAAACTGAGGGAGTTAACCTAAAAACTGCTCTGTTTGAGAAAGATGGACTTTGACACTTCCTCCTTTCTTTGGTGGAGTTTCCCAGTTTGACATAATGACTTCCTTCATCCACCTCAACGTTTGTATCAACAGAGCAACTCAGTTCAGTTTTAACGCTTGAAACTCTGCACTTTTCAGTTCGACTTAAAATGCTCCTCCAATCAGAAGAAAACAAGGAAAGATGTCCAGTTCTGACATGTTTGTTAATGCTTTCCATACGGAGGATGGACCAGAAAGCATAACAACAATGGAGCCGTTTTGCTGTTTGTTTGTTTCAAAATTTGTTCAGACTCATTTGCTAAAAACGTAATTATGTGCTAAAATGTTCAATTACTTATAGGAAATGAAGCAAAAAATAAATAAATAAATAAATAAATGCAATTGTTTAGGGAGAATCACTATTTTCTGCATCAGACTGGAAGTTGTGTGCTCTTGGTTAGGCTTTTTAACTAAAACACTAAAAATATTTTATCATTTTAAAAATGTTCAGAGCAGGGTAGACAGGGTCTTTATTTATTTATATATATATATATATATATATATATATATAATCCTTTTCTGCTCAAGTGCAAACAGCGTTCACACGTAAACTATTTGTTTAAAAAAGGATTTTTGAAAACACAATGATTTTTAAAAACTCCACTGTATCCACATGTACTTGAAAAACAGGATTTTTTACAAAAGTAATGTATACCCCATTTTGCTTTGTGTGCTGCACATGTGCTAGAAACCTCAACAATGGCACCATTTTTATCAGTTTTTCTACCATTTGGCTACTTTTGTCTCAACTTGTTAGCAGAAAATTCAAACATGTGCCAAAAAAAAAAGTATATTTTTAAGAGAAAATGGTCAACAGTGGTGTAGAAAGCTCAAGCTACAACTTTTGTGCAGCGGTGCCGGATTCATTTTTAAGGTGGGGGTGGGGGCATGGGGGTCTTTAGTCACCTTGCCCTCTCTGTTCATACGCACCTTGAACATCAGGCGCACATGTTCAATTTTGCCACACAGTAATGTAAATGGGTACTTCCACAGTCATCAGATTTGGAAAAGTTTGCAACAAAAGTCTTTTTGAAAATGAAAAAGTAACAAACTGCAGTCATGAATGAGGTGTTCTTTCTTCACAGAGTGGTGTTAAGACATTTATGTCGTTTAACCATTTGTGGAGAACTTATGACAAGAGAGACGATTTTTTCACTTTTTAAAAAATTTTTTTTACACGAACTACTGTTGTCTTAAAAAAAAAAGCAGAAGTTTATTGGGGGAAAAATGTTTCAGTGCGCAATGGATATCTGCAGAGATTATATGACAGCTGTCTCTGAGTGACATGCATGGAGAAATCGGAACGGACCTGCTGCCGTCCTGAATAATTATATATTTTTCTTCTCTTATTTTAGAGAAGGCAAGTTCTCTTCTCCCCTGGCTAAATTTTCTCCAAAGCGACCTGCCATTGCAGCGCAGTTGCAAACTCCATCTGGCTTTTGGACGAGCAAAAATGGCAAACTGTCCGCACAATTACCGGTATTTGTACCCCGACAGCAAATGTATCTGCTCTGGGCCAAATATAGGTGAGCATTTAGCCCAGACCTGTAAATGGACTTGGGCCCGGGGTCTCTTGTTTTCCAATGATCCGTAACCAGTGTGGATCTAGGTCAAAGTCAGAGGTGGCCCACAGGTGTTATAAATACTGCATTTGGGCCAGATGTGGCATAAATATATAATTCTTATCTCGTTTTTAGGCTGATTTGGTCCAGACCTGGACCGGATCAGAGCCAAAACATTTTTTGCAGGTGTCAGGCAGGCTCATGATCCCAGCCCGACCCGGAGCTGGCACATGTGTGTAAACCCTCCGGTGATGGTTATGCGGATCTGGTGACTTGAGAATGGATTTGGCCCAGATCTGAATGCTGTAGGTTTTGCCTGTGTTTCTGTCTGTATGTAGACACACAGAGAAAGATGTCAGTCACAGCTTGTCGGCGTTGGGTGCAGCCTGTGTAAATGTCTGCGATCAGCTGACGGCCAGGGACGTAAATTGGGGGGCCAATGCCCCCCTTTGTTCCGACGCCACTGCTTTTGTGGTTGAAACTCTATATTCAGAATAGTATTTGGCTTTTGATGAGTCAGTGTTGAGGTACTTGTGCAGCAACGTTTTTGTAGAAATTTCACCTTCTCATTTGGATGGAGTTCTCTCTTTTAACAAATAAATCAATTAAAAATATGTGTAGTGGTGCAGTCAAGACCTCAATTTATATTTGGTTTAGATTAACTGTACATCGTCTGCTTGCGACCACAACGAGGAAATATCCAAAAACTCCCAGTAACATTCTTGTGATTCTTGTCCAAAGACTTTACAGTTTTTCATGCAACTCCCAGAAGCAAAATTAACTCTCTGGACAGGAGGTCTTCAAATTGAAACTACTAAAAGCTGATGTTCTCTTCAAAAAGTGACAGCAACAGAAGAATAATCCACCCGGTCAGAATACCAGCATTCTGCAGGACAAATTTTAGCCACTTATTCTTGCTGTTGACATGGGTCAATGTAGGTAGCTAAAAGGACAACAAGGAAATATAGTTGTTATTCCTGCTGTATTAATGCCAAATACATTAGTTTACAGTAATACTCACCATATCAGCCAGCCCCACATATAAAAAGAGTCCTGCAGCTACAGCAGCAATCCACTGTTGGGTTGCAAAATCCGTAGCGACAGACAGAGCAATATACAGGCCAATAAAGGAGGTCAAGGCACTGCCCAGGTTTAAAAGCAACGCCTTACGGACAGACAAGCCGCTATGGAGCAGAATGGCAAAATCCCCTGCAGAGAAATAATATTTGTGATATTGAGTCTTTGTCCAACCAGTGAAAACCAGACTGTGTGTGTGTGGTAGTTACCGAGTTCGTGAGGTAGTTCGTGACAGAGAACAGCCAACGATGTGGCCAGACCAGACTTCCACGACAAGGAGAAAGCTGCACCTATCGCTAATCCGTCTGCAAAATTGTGGATCCCGTCACCGATAGTTATCATGTATGGAAGCAGACGTTGTTCTGTAAACGTAACGAGACATAAAATTATAGTTTGTGCTGATGACAGCCTCCATAATCGTCCCATTGTGATGACATCAGGCTTGTTTGTTTAATGTTTTGATGGAAGCTGGTCCTCACCTTTTGTGCGCCTTTTGTGCTCCAACTGCTCTTTGTCTTCATTGTCAACCTGAAATGGAATAGAATAGATTAAAACAGAAAAATATATATAATTTATTGTTCCCTTGAGGACAACTGGTTTGCAACAGCAGCAAACAAATAAAAAAAAAGTTAAGAGCAATAAAATCAACCCTCATTATAATAAACAAAGAACAAACATGATTCGTTAAGTTCAAATGAATATCACAAAACAGAAAAGTATTAAAGGTCAGAGAGAGCATTAAAAGCATTAAAATGCTTATCACATTAAAAAAAATAAGTTTGACAGTGGGTACACTGACAGCTATGAAAGGGTAATGACACATTAATTTCCAATGTCTTTATAATATTCTGTGGACCAATTCTACATGTTCTAAAGTTTCTTTTCCACAAATGAAAATGTTTAGCCATAAAAATGAAATCCTGCTCTTCTGTGTCATATCTTAGATTTCTGTGCTACAAACTAAATATTAAATATAGTTTCCACACGTTGTGCCGATGGTTGCATGCAAACAGACCACACTGTAGTGCAGAATGTTAGTTTGTCTTTGCAGGTGAAATAAAATCTATTTAAATTTATATTCAGTTTAAACTTTTCAATATTTAAGACCTAACATTCTTTTGAAGGAATGAAATCGACCGTCAAGCCAGTTTTGAACAAAGATCATCTCATGATGAGAAATGACGTTATCGCCATTTTGGTCAAACTTTGTAAATGAGATATTTCACAAGATCTGTTAGCTCTCAGACTATTAGGTTAGGATGACTTTCAAATACTACCACTCCAAATTTTAGCTCAATATCCATAAAACTGATGGACTTACAGCCATTTATGTGTTGACTGATCAGCAGTGGCGGCCATCTTGAAATGTGCTAACTGTGCTGATGATCATTTAATGATTAATTTCTTAGAGTTTATTTAAAACATGTCTCACTGTTCGGATATTTTGCTAACATGACAGACAAATGCACACAGAGACAGGATCAAAAGCATTAGTCTGAACTCTTTCACCATCAACAGCAGGTTATAAAAATAGCCCCCTGCGCAGAATGTCTGCATTATTATGTGCTTGTGTGCAAGTTTGCCCCCCCCCATTTTCAGGCTATTGGTCTTCAGCCAAAGATTGAGAGTGTGTTAGGAATATTTTTGTCTGCAAAACCTGTGTTGTCATTTTCACCATTTTATTGTCTGTCCAAACAGGTCTCACTTGTAAATGACTCTTCGAGGCTCAGTGTGGTTTATTTGTAGAAATAAAGGTTGAATGAATGTCTCACCAGGTCTGCTTTGGACACAGACAGTGTCTTGTCTTTCTGTTTCTTCTCCTGTTGATACATCTCTAAAACACCAACATGGTCACAGTGATGGGGCTGGGATTCATCCTAGAAAAATGGCCATAAAATGCATAATTTCAGACTCAAGATCAAGACTGGTGGCAGCGTGGTGAACAGGAGTAAAACTCCTGAAGTCAACTGAGATTCACAATGAAAACAGAAACTTTGGATGTTTTGCTTTGGTGTTTTTTCTCACTCCGTGGTGATGGTGGTGATCCTTTTCTTGTGCGACCATAGAAAAGATGGTTTCCATCAGGTAAAATACATATATCCCACCAATCACAGACAGCATCTTGTATGTGTAATCTGGAGTTCCTTCTTGATTATTTTGTCTTGAATGATGGTGTCTGTCGTCGTCATGTGAGTGCACATGTAAACCTAGAAACTAGAAAAGAAAAAAAATTGAACTTTGTGAAGCTTATATTATATAAAAAACAGCTTTACAAAAGGTAAAATTGATGCATATACTTTAAAGTTTATTGCAACTTTTTACTTGACATCACTCACTATGGGTATCAAGTGCAGCAGGGCGTCACCAGTCAGCGAACCCACAGCCATGCTAATGCAAAACTGGATACACAACTGGAAAACGTTGGTGCACGAGGTGCACATCAGCACCACGATGCCAAACATGGACGTCAGTGTTATAATCACATTGGCGAGGGTCGCATACAGGTATCCTGTGTAAGGAGAAGAGGGTGGAGGAGGTCAGGTTTAAAAACGACACAAACAAAATGCTCAACAGACTTACTTTCGGTCTTGGAGAGCTCGTCTGGGGTCACTGATCCTGTGACGTCTGAGCAGGTTCCGCTTAGGATCTGCTGGACGAGCGCAGGACTGAGCCGGGCCATTTCAGACCGGCTCATCAGAGAAGAGGGAGAGCTTTCGTCAGACAGACCGAAGATCTGAACCAGTTCTTCAGCTGAGAAGCAGTGCTGTGAAAAGAGGAAACACAAACTCTTAAAATCTTTAAAACACCAGGTCCAACGTTTTACTCTTATACTAAACATTATTTTTAGTATAATTCAATTCAGTTCAGTTCAGTTTGTTCATATAGCACCAAGTCACAACAGAAGTCATCTCAGGGCACTGAACAGAAACATTCATATATAAAAAGTAAGTTGATAACATTAAGGAGCAGACTGCTCTGAGTTAAACTTCATCGCAGAAGTTCATCTTGAGCAAGCATGAAGGAGACAGTGGAAAGGAAAAACTCCATGAGGAAGAAACCTTTAGCAGAACCAGGCTCAGGACAAGCAGCCATCTGCTTCGACCGGCTGGGTTTGAAAGGACAGGAAGGAGGAACAGATACAAATGAAAACTATTCAATTGTAATTGTAACAATTCATTTAAGGAAATGAGGTCAATTTGTCCTCCAGTAGTCTAAGTCTATAATAGCACAACAAGCCAACCTTAACTATAGGATTTATCAAAAAGGAAAGTCTTAAGCCCAGTCTTAAAACTGGACAATGTGTCAGCCTCATGGAAAGAAACTGGAAGTTGGTTCCACAAGAGAGGAGCCTGATGACTGAAAGATCTTCCTCTCATTCTGTTTTTAGAAATTCTAGGAAACACAAGTAAACCTGCAGTCTGAGAGTGAAGTGCTCTGTTAGGAAAATATGAAACAATAAGATCTCGAATATAAGATGGAGCTAGGTTGTTGAGAGCTTTGTAGGTAAGATTTAAGTTTTTGAATTCAATTCTGGATTTGACAGGGAGCCAGTGGAGAGAAGATAAAACTGGAGATATGATCTCTCCCACTAACTCCAGTTAAGACTCTGGCAGCAGTATTTTGGATTAACTGACGACATTTTAAATATGTATGTGGACACCCAGATAATAAACCATTGCAATAATCCAGTCTAGACGTGACAAATGCATGAACCAGTTTCTCTGCATTGTTTTTAGATGAGAAGTGTTCTGTGTTGGTACATACACGTTCCCATGTTTCATGTCCTTCATGATGTTCATAGCTGCTCCTCCTCTTTCGATGGTGGTCTACATGTTTGTGAGGCTCGTGCTCATGCTCGTGTTCTTCCAATGGCCCGAGGTTCAAACTCCTCATGAAACCCTCCAAATCTGCAGAAAGTAAACACACACTCAAACTGAGAAAAAAAACTGCTGCATGATTGGCATAAAAAATAAATAA